TCGACATGAATGGCTCAAATTGAAATGAAAACTGTTTATTAGCGTTAACGCAAATGATATGAAAATTTTGAATTATTTACTTATCTTTCCTTGAACCATGAAACGCATTCGTGACAGGAGAATATAAATGTTGATATTCTACTGTTCGTGATTATTTTGCGTATGTTTCATTAGTGTCGCATACACCCAAACCGCAAACAAAGATGATAAGTTTTGCATGTTAAAGTCTAATTAGATATCCAGGTTTATTCAATGACCTGCCCATATAACTCACCAGAAGGTCTCAATGCCGCGATAAACCGTTAGCCGTAAAAAGGGCAACAAAAAAGACCCAGCCGTTAGACTTAAAAATTGATATAACAATATTATAGAGCCTTGAGGGGGGATATAGTTAAACTTTATCGTGACACACCAAAATCTTCTCCCTCCGCCTCACAACCCAGGTAATAAATAAAATATGCCCCCGAGTTTCATGAAATTTCATAAAAATTCCCAAAATCGGGCCAAGTTATTCAAGAGTTATATATATGTCGGTTTGAGCATTGGGCAAAGAATAAGGAAATGAAAGAAAGAAGTCTACATTTCAACCCCTAAAGCCCCGTTCGTATCTTTATTTCTCGGTGAATTGTAAACTACTGATCCTCGCCGTTGTTTAAAAATAATTGTGAATTACAAAGCTGGAGAATACGAGTCGTTGCGCTAAGCCAGTATCTATGAGATCGCGTTTCGAGCCCTTCCGAAACCTGAAGTCTCTTCACTGGTTTTTCCTTGATGTGCGATTTTGGTAATTGCAATTTACTATTGAGGAGCAATTTGTCATGCATCATAAATATGATAAATTACGATTCTTTTCAAACATTTGGCGATCAATTTTTTCTGGGAACAAAGAACTCGCTCATTATTTGTCAGCAATGGCTCAAGCCCTTCTTTCAAATCTAAATTATTGTGGCAGGTCCAACTTTCTGCTATTGCTTTGAAAGCACTGAACCGTTAAGGATCAAAATTGGTTTTTGTTCCGCGTCAATTTTGCGCGGGGGGAAAACGTCTTCAGCAAAGGAATTGAATATCAATATAATAAATTTTCCTGGCGCGAATATATTATCGACAATTATTACATTGAAACTAAGAATTCTCATTTTAATTCTGGCTTGCAGCCTTGTTTCTTTAAATTTGGAAATTCCAACGAACGTCTCGCTGGCATTTTTCAACTCAGCTGAACAACACAAACCAACCGAAAACTCCTCTGCATACGCATAATCAGTTAAAATACAGCATCAGATCTAACGACAACCAAGTAGTAAACGTAAACAACTTTGTTTAATTAGTTCAACAAGAAAAAAAGAAAGAGATTTTCACATTGGTGTAAAACATTTGACCAAAACGATCAGTGTAGTCACTAACGACACAAACATTATAGCTTGTTTACTTCTCAAAAAACAGGAAAATTATTACTCAGAAGTTAATCAACTGAATAAAGAGGAATAACATGCACAGTTGGTTTTCCACAGTGCCGCCAGATGAAATCACTAAACTTCATCAAGAAGTCAGCCAAACGTTTTAACGATTTTAAGCTGCTCCCATCATTCAAGGTCATCCATCTGGAACAAACAGCTGATTCGAACTGAAACAAAACGTATTCAGATGAATAACTGATTGGATAAATCAGTAAAATTAATCAATAGTGTTAGTCCAGATTTGAGAATCAGTAAAAAATAATCTGATTGTCCTCAATGATCTAGAAAAAATTATCATGAAAAATGTGCTCACATGTTTTTGAAAATAGCCAAAGTTTTTCCATACTTTGCACCAGAAATGTATTTGTACATCAAGTTCAAGGTTGCTCAACGAAGTAACACTGAATTTATTGGCATGGACAACATTGAAAGAAGCTCCTTATCAAGACAACAGTATATGTTGCTAGCATTAAACTCCCAATATCTCCCCTATAGCTGCCGCACATTTTCTTGTAAATCAGTAACAAGAATTTGGTGTTAGATCAAGATAACTTCTCCTTCATTAAATTGAGTATTCTCATTATCTATCTGCTGGAGAACGTATGGAAATTATTGGGAGATGCTACATGTTCATCACTTCTACAAGCAAACAGGTTAGGACTATAAGATGACCCACAATAATTGAAGCTCAGAATCCATATAAAAAAATATATAATTTCAATTCTCTTCCATAGCTTATCAACAACAGTGCTCACAGAATCTTTTCCAAAGCAGTTCTCCTCATGTTTAGCAGTAGAAAAAATTATAGGTTCAGACCATGAAATTAACATGTACACACCCTCTAAGTGAATCTCATTGACAAATAAATGGTTCTCACACATTGAATTGTAACAGTCTACATGATCTATGTACCAATAATTACCTTGACTGTACACATTTTCCTTGCACATGCAGTGGACCATCAAGGCTGAGCTTTGCGTATTGCCTCCAGAATCTTCTCCATTTTGCTTCCAGAGTCCACATATCCATCACCACCCTAAAAACAAGATTAATACAAACTGCTGTGTTAGTGCAAATCCTGAAAGGGGGCAGTGCACATTTTAAAGATGTATACAACTTTACATTTTGCTTAAAATTCTCTTTGCTTTGTTCAAAACACATTCAATGTGAGGAAAATAAAAAGTACTCTGAAATCAAACTGAGGCTACATATTTATTTTATGTCTGTAAGATTGGGAGGATTTGCAGTAAACCCTGCCTACTCTAACTCTAACAAAAAATTGTTTGAGTTAGCTGATAGTAAATAAGTGAAAAATAGGGTCAAGGAAAATCAGATCTTGTTCAAGTTACCAGGGGTTTGAGTTAGCAAAGTTCTACTGTAGTTTTTAAGTGATTTGACTTTACTAGCCTAGAAGAGGTTGTCTCGAAAACTGAAGGAGGTCCATGATGTGAAATTTTGAAGGTTAGGAGTGACAACATTCAATACTTTCACCTTTTTGGAATGAACAAGTTTACCAGCCACCTCTACTTCCAAATAACCTGTTACTCCTGGTGTTCCATATCCTTCCTGGAAAATGTACACATGTATATTTAATCAAGGTTTAGAGAACTTTTTTCTTATTCTCTCAATTCAACAAACTTCACATGTACATACCACTTCTACTTCTGTGTCATCAAACTCTTCGAAGATCTCTTTTTTGATCTTCTCAAACTGGAGGGAATAAACGAAGTAAGTCCACTTAATACAAAGTGTTTCCCTCTTCAAGCACCAACCACTAACATTTAGCACCTGTGGAACTTCATATGCCATACAACTTCCTAATCTTGCTTAGAATTCTTAAAAAATTCAACAGGTGATAAGATTTCTCTGCCGGTTTGAAAATCTCTTTTATCCTGTTGTGCAGGGTAAAAGAGATTCAAACTGAATGCAAGTTCATAATTTCATGTAAGGGGGATTTCTTGCCACATGTTACTCATTGAAATAAGAGTGAAAATTAAAACAGATGGCAAACCAATAAATTTTTAAACACAAGAAGGTTGCATGCAGTCCATCACTGGCTACTTCTTATGGCTCTAAACTAACTCTCTGATTTACAGGACCCCTAAATTTCAATGATGGCTGGCAGTGCAAAAGAATTTGCTTAATTACCCACAAAAGTTCTTTCTAGGACATTTTTATTAAATTCATGGAGTTTAAAAACTCAGTGTTGCAGTGTTAACTCAAAAGTTAGCAAACTAGAGCACAAGTAAACTTCATCTTAACCTCCCTGGGCAAGACTTCTGCACAGTGCAAAATTTCAATTTGATTTACAGTTCTTGGATGAAGATGACAATAGCAAAAACAAAAGATTGCCTACTGGTACCACAGCACCTTTCCCATTCCTGTCTTACAGGGGTGAGGAGAAATGTTTACATGAGAAATCCTTCCCCTTCCTCCAATACTCATGCAAAGTGAGTTGCCTTACCCCTCCCTCCTAAAAGTTTGTGATCAGGTGGGTGGAGGGGATGGGATTGTTCCTGCTGCAAAATGCAACGCCCCTTGGAAAGCAACTCATTAAAATGCATAGTTAGGTACGTAGGAAAGCGGATTGTCGATAAATGGTTTAAATGCTAGTAACATCACGGGTCAATTGTAAAAAAAACTAAAGCAAAAAACGTTGGTTGTTGATAATCGTTTGCTTTAAAACGGCAAACCGTAAAATTTTTCTGGGATTTGGCCAATACAAATTCAAATCGAGTAATGGATTTTGCTGCGTCATGCACACTTCTCACTAGTTTGCAAAAACTAGCCATACTTCTGCTCATGTTAATAATCTTGACAAACTCGCATTAAAAGAATCATACCTTGGGCCTGTACCCTCATCCACCACTGCAAAGGAAACACACAAGTTGTGTGATTATTGAGACTCAGTAAAAGCAGTAAGTTTTCAAGTGATTAGGCAACGAGGTAGACAGTGCGAAAGCAAAATTTTGATGCAAGTCTTGCACGACATGTAACGACAAAGACTCAAGTAAAAGTATAAACAAGTCTGCTTACCAATAGGTGATCTTAACCTTTACCGGCATATTGCTGTCGAAAAGTTTTAACGGTCGTAAAAACCTGAAAAATTGCAAAACTCTCGCCACGACGTGTTGCGACAAATACTGCCCACGCTTTCACTAATACAATATGTTTCACCCAGAAATAATTGCGGGTAACGAAGGTGTTTCCCTCGGGTACACAGTTAGGCACCTTTTTCCCATTCGACGTCCTGTAAAACATTTCCGGCAGTTATTTTTTTCTTATTCAAACCTATAAAAAATTTTGTCATTAAGTAATTTTCGGGCTATTCACTCATATTTAATGACTATAACTCTTGAAATAAGGGATTATTGAAGCTTTATTTATACCCTCAGCCTCCCCTCCCCTAGAAAACTTTCTATTCTCCCAGAGTGCACCGTAGGCGTATTCTGCAAAAATTAAAATAGCGCGCGCATTTCAAGTGAGTTTCACGGAGGAAATGTTTTCTTAGCCTTCACGATTTCAATATTTTGTTGACTGTTTGATATGAATACTCCGAGTGTAAAAGATCTACCGGATGACGATTCTCCAAATCTCTACGCAGTGTTCAATGTGTGGGAACCGCCCAGACGTTTGAGTCGGTCTACAAGGTAAAGAAGGACAATTTTCTTTCGCGCCCTGGAAAACCATGAGTTGATAATGATCTTGAGTTTCTATTACCCAGTTGTTCATTTATATGATTGTTGTAATTTAGATCTAAAGAAATCTTGGGTCTTGCAGAAGCTTGTGCAGGTCTTTGTGAAGTGTTCGATCTGCCAAGTATAGCTATTTTGATGAATCGGAATGTTTCTTGTTGGTTTTGAACAAATTTAATTATTGTTATTGATGATTCGTAAGTTTCCGCGCGTTCGATTCCATGATCGCCCCGTTTTACACGCAATGTACATGCTACAGTGTTAATGCTTTATGAGAAAATTGATTAACTTTTCCCGTTGAAGCACAAGTGGCAAAACTATTACCTATAATACTTTTATTACAAAGATTCATAATCTTATATACATTATTGCAGACCAGTTTTGAGTGTAAAAAGCTGCATTAGAGTTCCTTTGTCCTTTTTCTTTTGGAAGAGAAGCCTTTAACGTCATCTATTTCTCATGAGTTGTTAAAATCACCTGTTAAGTGAAATCTTTTTAAGTAAGTAATATAATGAATTATTTTCTGTAGATTTCCTCTCTTGTGTAGGGTTCTTTGAACCCTTTAGTGACCAACACAGAATTTCTCCTTACAATATCAGTACAAGATCAAGCAGGCAAGCAATGAAAATAAAAAAATAAAATTAATCAGGAGATTGTTAGTTGATTCAATACCAATTTCTCTGAACTAACATCAGAAGAATTGCAGGGCAGGCAATAATGAGAATTTCAAATGAGATCTCGGAGCATAACTAAGTTGTGTTGAAGATGATGATTAAGATGATGATGATAATTATAATTATTAAATACATGAACTATTACACTTACTTTATTTATGGTAGAATTTTACTGCTTCTTGATTATTTCTTTTCTCTGTCTGCAGTGATAAAGAAAGAGGAGACAACAAAAAATGCTTCCATTGCCGTTTCCCACTACCGCTGCCAGAACAAATCATAATTTTTAGTCTTGGAAAATGGGAAGTGAATTTCAAGGGACAGGAGATAATAGCAGAAGTATCTCTTGAGGCAGAGACTCCACCCCAGAAAATAGGCACACTATCATGCAGGAGTAAAGCGCTTTGTTGGGATGAGGGATGGAAGACAAAGTTTTTTAAAAGAAGTGAAGAGCTTACAGAAGAGGTACTACATTTGTATTAGAATATTGCTGTTTTGCCAAGGATTATTCCATCAAGAGATCTGTCCCTAATTTTTCTTTCCCCTTGAAGAAAGAAGAGCATTTGAAGAGGAGGGTGTGAAACCAACCAGTGTCAAATCTTGTGCTATGTCTCTTTGACTTCCCCTTATTTTTTTAATATTTGCCTCAAATCAAGGCAGACCATTTTTGTTCATGTTTTGCCCTAGTTTCATCTTTTGATTTAGAAAAATATTGTATACAAAAAAAACCCAGTCTCATTTTGGCTGTCATTGTGAGTCATTGTGAGTCCTTTGTTGTAACTATAGCAATTGAATTTGAGTCTTGAGCATCCCATTTGTGTTCTGTTCTGCTCTGGCAGTGCCCAGTGGCCTCTGGTACCTTATTTTTGCTCCTGGGCAACCAGGGAATCTTAGTTTTTTCATAAAAAGCATATGTTGGGCACCCTGGATTTCACAATTTCAGAGCACTGAGCTCCCTTCAATTTTTCATAAAGCACAGCCTTGTGTTCTCAGAACTGTTTTTGAAATCTGAATTGACTGGATCTTACAAGCTTTCAAAAAAACAAGTTTAGCAATTGTTTATTAAAGACAAAAGTAGGTTGCCCGTGGTGCTTGGGGTTCGTTCAAAGTTTACTCTTTACTGCTATTTTATTTTTAGAACATTATAATGCATAACTATGCAATACAGACTAAACTAAAAAAATAATAGCCTTCTACAATGCAGACCCACATTTATCATAGATTATGAATTGATTTTGATGCTTTAATTTTTAGGGGCGAATGGCTAAGCTGACCCTAAGAACTGTGAATGAAAAATGCAATGATGAAAAAGAAAACAAGAAATTTTGTGAACATGCTGTACTATCACCAACACAGGAAACTCAAGGAGATTCTTCCAATAGTCCTGTCACACCAGGAAGTTTAAAAAATCTGAAGCAACAAAAGCTCAATTTCAATGAATGTACAAAGATGGAGTATTCTCCTGTGGAACCAAAAGATGTCATTTCATCGCCACCCACTAAGAAACGGAGACAGAGCAATGCTGAAACGTGAGTAGATTCTTAACCCTTTACACCTCAACATCAGTAGGCATACTCTCCATGCAGCTCCCTAAACATTCCCTAAGGTGCTGACAAGGAGAATTTCAAGAGTTTAGCTTCTTTAGTTGGTGATCATTTTAAATATTCTCATGACCTTAATGTGTGATTCAGTGATGATATTGTAAGGAGAAATTAGATGCTAGTCATTCTTAGGGGTCTAAGGGTGAATTTCTCAGAGGTCTGTGCTACATTTTATCAGTTTTGGAAAGTCTGATTAAAGTATAGACATATATGCCCTACTAATTTCTATATAATTAGCTGAATTGCACAAGTTTTTTAATTTGCTCTTGGTTGATCTATTGGAGGACAGATGCATAAATGAGGTCACCATTATCAACATTTTGCTTTTTTATCAAATAAATGAACCCCTAAGAGTGACTAGCATCTAATTTCTCCTTACAGTATCACCCCTGAATCAAACATGAAGGTCAGGAGAATAGAGGAACTGATCACCAACTATAGAAGCTCTTGATTGTTAGACAAATTCTCCTTGTCAGTACCCTGAGAAATGTTTAGAGAACAGTATGGAGAATATGCATACTGATGTTAGGGTGTAAAGGGTTAATAAATTCCATATTGCCAGGTATCTGTTCAATAAAATAGATCACAGAAGATGTTGTAATGTGATATACCACACATTAACCCTTTAACTCCAGTGAGTGACCAAGACAGAATTTCTCCTTACAATATCAACACAATATCAACCAGCTAAGAGATGAGAATAAAGAAAGATATCAATTTGTGGATAATTAGTCAATCCAATACTAAATTCTCAGAACTAACATTATAAGAATTGTATGGTTGACAGTAAGGAGAATTACAAATTTGATCTGAGAGTTAAAGGGTTCATCTGTGATCTTACCGAACTGAAGTACAGCAATATAAAAAGGAATCAATTTGTTGATCAGTTAATCCCATGTCCTTCATAAAGCCTCAGGTAAATTACAGTCTTCATTGGCTAACTGTTCCTTTTTTTTTCTTGCTTTTAAAAGTCCTATTCAAGGTCAGAGACATAATTCCAGAAGAGGTTCAAGTAGTGCCAAAAAGAATCACAGAAACAATCCAGTTAAGAGCCCTGATGTGCTGACACCACCTGACACTCCATCGACCATCAACATGGGTGATGGTAAGTTTATGAAAATCTCACGATACACTTTATTCTAAATGCAACAAACTAATATGTTAAAGAGATCATCTGAATGAAAGAGTTGCATTACATTCTATGGTGGTCTAATAGCACCCCATTACATTATTGGAAATGTATCCTTTGCACTTTAAAATTATCACATCCTATATATTTTCTATGCAAAATCTCAAGAACATATCAATTTGGGGTACATTTTTTGTCATGCATCATAAACAGAAGAAGTCCTAAAGAGTTAATTAATGAATTTCTGCATGGAAGGCAACTCATATTTGTTTTCAAGTTTTTGTTGTATTATATGAAATTACAATGGCAAGTAGTTACATGCTTTATTTCCTTGAATTAATACCCATGCTCTTATACTTGCCCTCCCTAAAATAAGTGCCCACCCCCTCAGGCTAATACATCAATGACTGCCCCCCCCCCCTCCTTTGTCACTTTTTCAAATAGAAGGAATACAAGGAAAACCTGTTTCTGTTGCCACTTTATTTATAACTTTTTAAGCTTTGACTACAGCGGAATCAGTACAGTTTAGTAGCTTCTTGGTTAGCATCCCTTCTAATAAGCGCTCTTTTTTTCAATAAGTCCCCCTCCCTCGAGCCAAAATTTAAAATGAGCAGCTGGGTGCTTATTCAAGGAATATGGTAAACAAGCTGGTATATTTACTTGTATTCATTAGTGCCATCAGGCCGATGGGGGCATGACATGTGTTTGATTGACAAGAGGAAGGCTATTCTAATTGGAGGACAAGGAAACAAGCAACAGATGGCAAAAGATTCTGTTTGGACTTTGAATTTGTCCCAAGGTTAGTTATGCCATGTCTTTTCCACACTTCCTATGGAAAAATTAGTTTTACAGGGCTTATAAAATATGTGTAGCTCAGCACTCTTTAAGTTGCTACATGGAAACCTTAAGTTATAAAATGGTTGTGTCAAATAACATTTCAGTTCCTCATCCCAAAGTGGAACTGAAAATTTGTACAACATTCATAATTACTTATTTAAAATATTTCAAGCAAATATATATCACTTTACAATTTATACCATGATAAGCAATAGATGATAAGGATACTGATAAATGTACTTGCTGCATGACTGTAGTAAACAGGTCACTAAAGAGACGACTTTTGCTGAAAAATTAGTTGACAAAATTTTTTTCTACTCACCTTGGGGACTGAAACAGGTGCAGGTTAGAGCTCCTTAATATTGCAAGCATAGCACCTGGTAGAGTCTGATTGTTTAGATTTTGTTGTACAATGTTGCACAGTGTCCTTCCTTACTACTTTTACTATTTTGTTTTTAGTGACAACACACCATATTAATGATTTAAGGTTACCAAAGGCAACTTTGAGAAAAGTTTTCCTTTCATTCTGTGCTGTGATATAATGTTGAATTTGCTTGATGGAATATTTTTTTAAGGATGCCCATCTTGGCATGAGGAGAGCTGCATAGGAGGTGGTGCTGATAGGCGAATTGGACACACAGTCACGTATAACCCAGAGAAGAAAGTGTTGTATGTGTATGGTGGTTCAAAAACAAAGAGATGGTTTAGTGATGTAAACATTCTGGACTTGAAAACAAATACCTGGTCAGCTGTTAAGGTTAGTGAGAACAAATGTAAGCACATTGATTTGCTTCATTAGGTCAGGTCCCAAGATTTCATCCATGCCTGTCACCTCTGATTACTAAAAATTTCCTTTGTAACTAGAGGAAGAAGTGGTAAAATGGCCATCACCCTGGGCTCTGGCTGATTTTTTATTGATTCTCATCACCTGTTTGTTAAACAATGTATGAGAAAGGCTAGGAGAAGTTATATTTCTATCACTTTTCAGATTGAAATAATCCAACATTAAGGTGGTATGCAGCAAATCAATTTCAAATTGCTTGCTTCCTTTAGCTGCTAATCTGGCTGGGTTTTTATGATAGGTAAATGCTTACATCTTATGATAAATTCTTTTGTCAAACTGTATCATATGATTTTTAACTCTCCCCCGTCAATTCTTCTGACACATTGCAATGCAAATATTTGCTCTCTCTTTCAGGCTGTTGGTAATGCTCCCACTAGAGCCTATCATAGCTGTAACTTGTTCTTTGGGGAGCTGCTTGTATTTGGTGGTGTGTTTCCAAATCCTGATCCAGAACCTGATGGCTGTAGTAATGAGCTTTATATCTTCAACACAGGATCAAACAACTGGTACAAACCAATCACAAGAGGAACCCCACCCAAACCAAAATCAGGGTAATTGAAATTAACTGTTTCCTAGTAAAAGATAAAGTCTTACATGTGATCCAAGTGACAATGCTGGTGTTCTACTCCATGAGTTTTGTTGGCATTAGTGACCAAAGCAGCACTTAATCATCTTATTCAAAGCTTCAACCTCCCCCCTGCCCCTCAGGAAACCCACAGGTATTTGACTGTTGTCAGAACCCAGGAGTGGGGAATTTGAACCTTGCATGGGTGGGATGGGGATATGGACAGACTACACATGTTTTAATTTTAAACATAGAGGAGATTAAACATAAAGAGTCAGCTTTTGTGAGCAAATGGCCTAGAAGGAAACTTCCTCTTTTTAGAATGATGCTTTTGAGCAAAAAATCAAACAGCAGCACTGACAACTGCTACATGACCTTGCTAGATATTATAAAATTTGCTGATCACACAAGAAATAATTCAATAACAAATTGTAATTTAGTATTATCAACTAAGTGGATGATGTAAATTGGCCATCATAGAGTTTAAAAGCTGATGTTCTGAGAATTAGCCCTTCGTGAATTCTCTCGCAAAGGGTTAACACTCAACTTATCAATTTATGTTATCAACTCAGTCGACAAGGCTAAATTACCCTGTTATACTCTCCCACCAACACAGTTTCTTACCCCCTTTGATTAAAATTTGTGCTTGAGTGGGGCATTTCAATGCATTTTTCCCATGGGGGTGGAGGGGGGGGGGAAATTGAATTAACCATTCTACAAAAGTTCGAAAGCCAGGGGGGTGGCCCAGGGGAATATTGAAAAGTGAAAGGTCCAAAATTGTGTAACTCTTCATAGTGCCAAGTTGAGGCTTTGCAAAATGTTTAGAGTATGTACTGCTTTGGTTGTGATTGGTCTGGAAATGAAGGGAACTCTGTTGTGACTCTTGTGTAGAATTCTTTTTGGCAGGGATCTGTTTGTTGAGATTTAACTTAGATTTTCTCCTTCTCTTGACAGACACTCAGCATCTTTATTAGGTGACAGATTGGTTATATTTGGAGGCTGGGATTTTCCACAATGTTACAATGATGTTTCAATTATTGACTTGGGTGAGTTTCAGAGCAACTTGCTTTTAACAAGCAGTCTATAATGTTTGCTTCCTCCTCTGTAAATTTGCTGTTAGGAAATTATTCAGCTTGCTACAGAAGTGCAGGGACAAAACAAACTTCACAGCTATATGGGGGATGTTGATACCTTGAATTGAAAGACACCTAAGACACCTAACACTCCCAAGTCCAAACCAAGTATGATTTAAAAAACTGTTGATTTGGTTTTGAATTCAGCAATGATGGAGTTTTCTAGTCCTATTTTATCTGGCACCCTTCCATCACCTCGTAGTTGGCATGCCTCAGCTGTTCTTCCCCAACAAAGGATTTTCATTCATGGTGGTTATGATGGTGAACAGATCCTCACAGACTCATTTGTACTTGAGCTAGGTGAGTTCAATTTTTTTTTCTTTTGTATTGGTGTACTTGTCAGCAACTCACAAATGTCATAGATTACATATTTTGGCGCATTATGTGTGACCCTCTCTTAGTTCTGAAGTTTGTTATGTTCCTTAAAAGTAAGTATTTTAAGGTTTATTTATTTGTTAAGATCCCTTCTCCCCACCCTTGGAGAGATCCTGTTTCCCCCCCAAGTACCTTCTGTTCCTACCTCTGTGCCATGAACATGGTAGTTCATCTCCCCATTAAAGAATGCTAACAGAAATGATGTACAATTTTTAATTCTGATTGTAGGAACTTTAACTTGGATTACAGTTAAGACCAGTAAAAGCCTCACAGCAAGGGCAGGGCATGTAGCTCTATTTCTTCCTGTGGAGGGTGAAGAAAAAGAGAAGGAAGAAATTGCTGTGTTTGGTGGTGGTGACAATGCTGGAGGATACTTCAATGATCTAGTTGTCTTTTCACCCAGCACTTGTTAACCTTACAATGCACCAGGCAACTTATTGTGTCAGAAGATTATTATGAACATCAAGCTGTTTCTAAAGTAATTAATAAGAAGGAAATATTCAAGTGAAAGGGTTCAGTTTTCAGTTCATATTTGTTATAACAAATAGAGTAGTTGTGTGGTAGGATTCTACTGCAAACTGTTAAATAAATTATAGAATCTGTAGTGTTAGAAATATAACATATGATGTACTTATTGACATTTTTAAGTATTTCATAACCAGACTAGTTAAATAAGCTGATCCAGGGTGAACATTTTGATGTAATTTTGATTGTTTTTTTGTATATAGTGTGTCAGAGCTTTGTTTTGAAAAGCATGTTTTGAAGGCAAGGTTTTAAATTTTGCATTGAATGTAAGGTAAAACTGGACCCAACAAAAAGGCTGAGTAAACTTCAGTAAACCTCAAAAACACAAATTCATGCTAACCTTGGTTCATTTTAACCCTTTAACCCTTAAGAGTGACCAGCTTCTAATTTCTCCCTAAATATCACCCCTGAATCAAACATTAAGTTCACGAGAATCAAGGAAATGATCACCAACTTATGAAGCTCTTGATTGTTGAACAAATTCTCCTTGTCAGCACCTTAGGAAGTGTATAGAAAATAGTATGGAGAATATGCATACTGATGTTGGGGTGTGAAGTGTTAATCATGTTTTGAACTACCAGCTTCAAGTTCTAGTTTTTTTTTTTAAATTAAACTTCAAACTGTTTGTAACTTATTTTACTTAGTATGTTAGACTTGCGAGTATTAAACATGTTGATTCCAGGATGCAGGAGTGAATATTACATAAACAATTATTACTTACTTTGCTAAAGCATATTATTCTTTGTAGAGAAAGTGTAGCTCAAAAAAAAACTTTCCCTCTTATCTTCAAACAAATGCTCTTATTATATACCTAGACTTTCTGTCAACAAAACAAGCACTGTGATTGATTGATTCTTGGTCACATGCCCCTGATCCAATTCAAATGTATCCTGACTGGGAAAAAATTGCGCAGTTGTTGCTCATGTGCCTAGTCCAACAGCATGTTTTTGCCATTTGTTTAAGAGAAAATATAAAATATATAACAAAGCACTTAATATATGGTCCCTTGGGAAACTGGTTAGTTTTTGTTTTGCCTGATATTTCCCTCAACTTCCTCTTGGGAAACATCATGACTTTCGCAAAAACAAAACTAAATGTTTCCCTCAGTACTATACCCTAAGTGTATGTTGTTTGTGGGGAGAATAATTCTCAAGGTAGAACCAGTAATGGTCAAAATTAAGGAAAAAGGAAAGGTGACTTATTTACTTGACCCTTTCACTCTCAAGATCTCTGTTGTAATTCTCCCTACCAACTGCCATATACCGGTAATAAATTCTTATGAAGTTGCCCATAGTTTGGAGAATTTGGTATTGGATAATTTAAAATTCCCTAATTCATATTTTTCTTTATTCTCATCACTTGCCTTCTTGACATTGCATTGATATTGTGAGGAGAAATTTTGTATTGGTCACTTATGGGAGGTAACCCCTCAACTCCTACCAGGGACTAGCATCTAATTTCTTCCTATATCAACCCTGAATCACACATTTATGTTACAAAGGAACTGGTCACTGACTAAAAAATCCATTGATTGTTACCCAAATTCTCCTTATCATCACCTTAGGAAATGTATATAGGACAGTGTGGAGATTATGCATAGTGATATAAAGGTGTAGAGTGAAATATAGTAAAACAACAATATCAAGGAAGGTTTCTTTTACTTTTAATACTTCAACTTTTCATTTGGTAACAATAATATCAAAAGCCTATCTATACACAACAGTTCACAAAATGCACAAAAATATAGATACATTTAATTTGGCATGTTGCCATGATCAGTGAGTGGTGGACAATGCAAAGCTATGCATACAATAAATACAGCACTAGGCTTAAATACAAGTACACTACCTTTTAATATGGGTACAAAAAGTTCTAAGAAATGATAACTCGATTCAGGAGAGCTGGGGCACGAGTGTAAACTACCTTTTGATGTGGGTATGACAAGTGCTCAAAAATTAGTGACTCGATTCAGGAAAGCTAGTGCAACGAGAAAATTGTAACATTATTAATAACTGACTCTGATATTTTGAAAACTAGGGAACATTCTAAAGTTTGAAAATTCTCTTCTTGTTGCTATGTTACCTGTGAAAGAGTAAAGTTCATAGATTCTTTTAATGAAAGATTTCTAACATAGTACTCAAACAAAGAGTACAAGCAAGTTTACTTAAACTGTTGTCAGAATCTATTGTCGCCAATTTCCATAAATTTAAAATATAAAAGAAAGAAGATTTTTTTAAACTTAATTTGTTTGCTACTAGAGCAGAAATCACTTGTGTCATTCACTCTTAATTTGTTTTATTCACATGACTTAAAAAATGAAATAATGTGAGATTTGGCTGGACTGGGTTCAGCATTTTGAAAATTTCAAGAAAGAATTAAATTTCATAAATTAATTTGCTCCAATCTGGAATCAATGTCTAGTCAGTATTAAAACAGCAAGTGTGAATGCAATTTTATAATCTGTATGCATGTATGGAAAACTCTGATGATTTCACTTTGGTCTAGTTATGGATATATTTATTTATATATATATATCTATATATATATATTAACCTCACTTTGAAACTTTTCTAATGATAACTTTACAAATATCTCAGTTTGTACATGTCTGTGCAGTCTGAAAGAGAATACTATGCACTTGCCAAAATAAGCCTTCAACTAATGGTAGCCTTGATGCACACATTGCAGTCAACCCTCTCTAATTCGACACAGTTGCTGGAGGGGGGGAGGGAGGGAGGGAGGGAGGGGAGGGTTCACTGTGAGGCATCTGTTCCACAGGTTATAACAAACACCTGCAGGAGAGTACTTTTCTTGCTTTGCATGTACAATGGGAAGCTGTCGTGAGACAACTTGACTTCCACACTTGTGTCCCAGGTTTAATTCCCAGACCTTTTGCCACGTGGGTTTTAAGTTTTTTGTTGGATGTGGTCCTTGTACACTTGTTTTCTCCCCTTCAGAAAAACTAACAATTAACATTCCAATTTGTGGTAATTAGGACATAAAGAAATCTACCTCAAAATATATACCACAACTTAAAATTCTCCTTATTGTTTTCAGTTCTAGATATTGCAAATTGAGCTTACAGTACAATCTGACTTGAAACATCAATAGTGCAATACCCCATTTAATTTTTTTCTTTTTCAAGGATGAACAGCATATCTGGTTTAGAGAGAGTTGACAGTAGAGTTGGAGTGGTAGACAATACATGTTCTTTGCTATGCAACGCTATGCGACAAATGCTTATTTCCATATTTTGCTTAGCAACTTCTACTAACATAATGCATGAAGCAAAATGACATCCCCTTTGACTTTCCAGAAAAAATTTTAAATATACAAATACTCAACACATTGTTTTCATAAGACATGTCATTCTAATTTCTACAATGGCTCTGTGGTATATCACTAAATTTACAAGCTAGCCTTTTTACGAAACACAACATCAAAATTTCTACTTTGATGGATGTTGCAAAAGCAAAGTCAAAAACTAATATAGTTTTTGCCTTCTTGGTTGTGGAAATACAGTCTTGCAAAAAGGTTTTTGAGACACTTGATGTGGTAATTTGGGTAAAAAATATTCAACACACACTGAGAAAGAATTTTGCAGATATAGGTTTTTATTTGCTTCAGAGTGGTATGAAAAAGTTGCAAAAGTTATGGGTGGATTATCGATTTTTTTTTTTGCCAGCATAGCACACTAACACATGCAAATGAAAACAATACAGCAGCAAGTATCAAGAACACTTACAACATGCATCAGTGAAATCCTAACAACTTAACAAGTTTCTATATTATATCACCAAAGTAAGGACCACACGAAAACTTTGCCCAATAACTTAACATAAATGAGGCTGTCCCTAGACGTCAAGTGGAGAATGTACCTCTTTCCAAAAAGCTTTCATGTTGTCAATGCATTCATTCCTTGCCTTCTTCTCTTCCTCTAGAAGCTGTTGTTCCAGTTCTGAGAGCGAGTCTGCACCACAGTGTGTCTGCAAACAGTCATCATAAGACATTCCATTGGGGTGACTCATAGCTTTGAGTGAGGCTGAAACTGTTTTTGTGTAGCGTGCGTGATTGAAGACTTCAGATGCTGAATGCAGACAATCAAGTTGAGAAGTGGGTACTTTGTGCCCAATCAGGATTTGTTCATTTATTAAAGTATGTCCCATAAGCTTTGCAAAACTGTAAGGGACACGTCCCTTGGATACATTCTGAAGAGCAACTGGCTCACCAAGGGAATCCTGCAAAACAGGAAATTAAGTTGAAAAATTAATAATCAATCTAATTTTCCCAACTGCACATCTACAGTGTAGCTCTTTGCTGACTGTTTCAAGAATAAATGGCAGTTTGATCTGCTTTTGTCAGTGGGGGGCAGAAACTTGGAGAGCCCAGAAAAAATATTCAGTGAAAACATTAGAACCAACAAACAGAGATAATCACCATCATCATTAAACATTTACTTGTTACATGTATTTCAGTATTTCAATAATGTACATCCTAAGGATTGTAATGCAAAACAACAATACCCTTGTTTACCCACCCACCTCATCACAAACCAAATCACAAAGAGAAACAAGCATTGCACCCAATCCTAAGGCTGGCTTCTTGATAGCTGCAACCACTGGCTTGGGAAAGTCGATTAGCACCTGTACCAAATATCTATAACAGGATAAAACATAACCAACATATTAGCAACAACAATTTGCTCTGATGAAATACAATTGCTAGAAACATCACCTTTAGAATCTCTTTACAGTGGCCAATTCATATAATTAACTTGGCTGATAGGACCAAATCATCTTGTAAAACCCCACATTGATACAGCATCACAGTTTCTTTCATTAGAAACTTAATCCTTTTATTCAGTTTTTGTTGAATTCCTGCAAACCCTAAACTCTTTGTCTTGAAGTTTTGTTTAATCCAGAACAGACTATGATGAAGGGATTACAACTATAGAGTCAGCTTTAGAATTGCTTCACAGTGGCCAATTCACATTACCAACTCAATCCGTAGATAAAACCCAATTATCTTGAATTTGCCTTAATTAACACCTCTATGCTGCTATCCTCAAGAGGATATCACAGGCACCTATAACTTCTGTCAAAACTAAATGAGGCTGACAAAATCACATGCTAGTAGTAATATGTATATGAATTTGATCTTGTCACCATGGCAACATAGGGAACTCAGACAGGTCCATTTGTATAGGGCTGTTTTGAAAAAGGTTGTCAAAAAAAAAAACCAAAAAAAAAACATTTAAGTACACCAGACAACCCCAAAAGATATGGTGGGTAGTTTTTAGGTCACCAATCCTTGATTTTGGGATTTCAGGACAAAAAGAGAAAATGTCACTATAAGGACAAGGCAACTGTTTGATGAATTTAATCGTTTATTGTCAGATGTCCAGATTACTTTTCGAGATCTTCACATGGAGGCAAAGCCATAATGTTGATAATTGTGGACAACCTCTTTCAAACAACTTTATGTTGCTGGAGTAAAGTACTTATGTTGCTTTCAACCCTTCTATTCTCATAAATGACCAAGATAAATTTCTCATTACAATATCAAGACAAAATCCATGCAGAAAAATAAAGAGATAAAGAGAAATACCAATTAGGCGATTACTATACGATCCAATACCCAAATTCTCCAAATCAAAAAATTGTAAGAATCCTGAGAATTGTAGAGCAGACAGGAAGGAGAATTACTAATAAAATCTTGGGAGTGAAGGTAGTGTAACCTTATTTCTACATTAACAAAATCAGTTGCTGCAGTAACTGAAATTGTTTACGAGTTAAAGTTTGGATAATTTTTATGTGAGAAGCTCTGGATACCTTTTATGTGGCTATTTACATGAGCTGATTAGCATTTGAAAGATATAATTATAACCTTGTTGCAAAAACCTTACCCAATGTACATGCCAAAGGATTACTTAAATAAGCATGTGTGATCCACCTTTTAACTCATGAGCTCCACAGGAATTCACATTTGAAAATTTTTAGTTTTTTACTGTTGAGGTCATCAAGCATGAGCACAAGTCAAGGATTTTGATATTTAGATTTCAACAAACAATTGAAAAGCATGTAATAAAACTTTGTGGATAGGACAACATCAGCAGAATGCTTTCACATGCTTTGAACATCAAAAATTCTGCAGGTATAAGGTATTTTCAGGTGAAAGTGGAAAAACCATATGAGGATTTTGCTTAGATTATACCATTGCAAATCCTCGGGTCTACAGCTTCAAATTACAAGCTATAGTAAAGGTATCTAACATACCTGACTTTATCCACATCTCTTCTGTAATGTCTTGGCTCTTCCTCGCATGGAACTTGTGTCAAATCTTTGAGATTGACCCCACAGAAAGTCTCTTCTCCTAAGCCACTAATAATAACAAATTGTGACTCATCTACAGCAGCATCCTCCATGACAAGAGTGAGCGAGTCCACAATTCTTTGATTGATTTTGCTTCTCTTGCTGGACGACCGGCTGATAGTTACATGAACACAATCATGGAGTTTTTGCACTGATACCTCTTTACAGATGTAATGTTTTTGACAAGGATCAGAATCATCAATTTGTCCATCTAAGTAATGCTCTCCTGAGCCGACTTGCCCTGAGTGCACATCATCAGTTGCAATCAATCTGTCAATCTCATGTTGGTTCCTATGGTATTTGATCAAGTCTTCCTTCCAATATGCTTTGTATGCTAGTCTGTTTACAACTGTCATGTCTTGGTAGTCATGCCCAAGAAAACATTTAAAGTCTAGTTCATAATCAGAGAGTTCATCTGATGGAGCCCATGAACTTGTTCCATCTTTCCACTGAACTAGATACTCATATGTCCCAGAGAGATTTCTTCTCATTCCAAGTATTCTGTCAGCTTTGTTTCTTCTTCTACGTTTGTGGACATTTTCAGAACTTTGTTTAGTTTCCATCAATGGCTCACAATCAGATTGTGACACATTAAGTTGAGCTCTTACTTGAAGATTTTTTCTGGCTTTATTCAAGACCTTACGTTTGAGTTTTTCCGTAGCATCTCTCTTCTTCAGAGCACAAGTTCCAAGAGGTCTTTTGTCGTGCTTTTTTTGAAATTTCAACTTCTTCAACTTACGTTTCAATGTCGGAGAACCATCGCTCTGTTCGTCTTCTCCAGTAAAATGAAACGCATCACTTAGAATATTGTCTGATTCAAAAGAAAGCTCGGGTTTCGGCTTTGGTGGACGGCCACGTTTGCGTTTAACCTCCTTCCCAGACGAGAGGATCCTGCAGCCATTAACCCCAACAAACTTTGAGTTTACCCCGGTCACGAACGTTTCCGGTGAAGGTAGCATTAAGTCCAGCGATTTCTTAGAAGGTTTCATGAACGAAAGTTTGTCAACAGCTTTCAAATGCGGCCGCACCCTAGGTTTTTTAACGCCATTCGGTGTCCTGAATATTTTGTGTTTTGTTTCGCAACTCGACAATTTCTTCGGTGGTCGACCCCTTCTCCTGGGAGTTGACGGCGCTTTTTCATTCTCGTCGCTGCTCGACGACAAACAACTCTCCTGCAAATAGCGTATGCCTTTCGGCCGTTTTCTTTTCTTACCAAATTTTGAAGTTGAAGGTGACGCGAGAGATGCTTTCGTGGCACTTGTTTCACAATTGCCATGTGGCGAATTCGAACGAATGTCAACTGAATGTAATTTATCTAAAGATTGTGTTAGATTTTTCGGAGGTCTACCTCTTTTGCGTTTTAAAGGTGTCTCAAAGGAATTTGAACTCTCTGACTCCGTTTGCAGCTCACTTGTCGTGCTTTTCACGCAAACAGATTCACCTGGCTGAGTGCGAGAAGGAGATGTTGACAAAGAACTCACCACGCCAAGCGTCGATCTGAGGTCCAACGAGTTCTTCAAGTCTAAACTTTCGCCGTTTTGCCGCTTAAAGGACAGGAGTTTTAATCTATGATTCGAAAATAGATCAGAAGAATCTTTCTCCAGAGACTTTGTTCTACCATTTTTACATTTTGGACGCGAAGAATCAGAGAGCAGACGCTTTCTTTTCTTCACCGAAGGAAACTTCCTTCGCGCACTAGCTCCCTCGTCCGAGTCGGATTCCATATAACGTGCAGGTTTTTTCAGTACCCTTCCACCGTGAGTAACTAAGGAGGGATTAAGCTTTAAATCGTTGAAGGTAGTATCTTCTCTTCGGTCACTCGTAGTCTTTGTGTGCTGTTCAGGCGGCCATTTAATGCCATTCAACCAATTGTTTCCACAGCCAAGAGCTTGTACGCTTGAATTGTTCAAAGCTGTCTCTGAACTAGATGTCAAAATCATGTCCTTGACTTCTTCCCTAGTGGGAGTAACCGTGGAATCATCTATTCGCATGTCTACCATACAACATAGGCGGAAATCTCGCTTTTCAAAGAAAGCGGACACAAATAAAAAAAGTTTTAATATTATTGAATGGTGCACGCTATGCTCGGCTTGGAAGTTTGAGCGCGTGCGCCTTATTTAAATTCCCCCGCATGAGCGAACCAAGGATAACCGCTGAACAGAATTACATATAAATTTACTCATAAGTCAGGCACTCCTGTTTGCTCATCTGTCTTCGTAATTTTTTTTACTTTTCTTTTCCGTTATTATTTTATATAAGCTGGTGTATTAAGCTGATACATTAAGTCAGGTTATCTTCTGGCTCTCATTTGCAATATTTATTCAATATTTTTATGCTTCAATTTTGAATTTTGGGATTTTTGTTTTTTAAATCTAAACCTTTTCATTGGTTAGTCGCCTTCTTGCTCATTTTAGACCACGTGACGGTACAGGAAGTCATACAGAGTAAGCGTGACTTCTAGTAACAAGGCACGTGAGGATAATTTCACGGGATCCGTCCCTGATTTTGTCAATATTTATTCGGAATAAGCTGCGATAAGTTTATTCTACTTTACTCCTAACAGATCTCCTCATAATTAGGTGGAAAATCCGTCGCTATGGTGTAGTTTATTCAGAATCGATTTGGTTAATTACACTTCATGTCTCTCCAGACAAGGTAAAATGATATCGATCAAGTGCATTTTATTATTTATAGATGAGGCAGGCCTTGCGCGAGACAATGATAACCCAGTCAACATTCATATTTTTCTATTTTTCTCACCATGGACCAACGCACCCTCGACGAAGGTTCGTCTTGCAAACCTAAATATTTATTCATGTTTGATATTGTGTACAATTTGCGTTGTAATGATTACAAATTCAGCATCAACAGGCCTCCTTTTGAATAACCAATTCATATTTGTATAAAAGATTTCACAATTTTCATCGGCTCGAGGAATGGCGGCTTTAGTAGGTTCGCTGTTTGCAAGTATAACAGATTACTCTGCTCAAAACACCCGGAAACCTTAGGACATCTCAGAGCTAATGAAATGTGGTACTATCATATTGATTTAGACTAATTTTTGCAACACTATTAGCACTAAAAATACCACCAAACTTAACAATGTACAACGCTACAGAGCTAATAATACTTACAGCAATACTATTGTTAATCGTAATATAAATAATGGTGCGATATACTTAACGTTCCTGCTGGTACAACTTGATGTTACAGTATTGTACCTTTGCTAAATTGAATAAATATTTGTTTCATTCTCGTACGAGCTAGCTTTAGGTCAGATGATTTGCCTAAGGCCATTTGGGTATAGTCTCCCGCGAACCAGATCATAATCAATAATGCTGAACTGGCGAACATTGCATTCAATACATTTTGAGACGAAGACAACTCACTGAGGATTCAAGGAACAAATTTTCAAAACATGCTTCTTTCCTCCTCGGAGAGCAAAATGAGATCTGAAGGGTGATACTTGGTTAATAACTAATCTTCGTGGGAAAAAATAGATGCTATTCAGTACCTGCCCGGCAAGTATGAGTCAGTAATATTTTTTTTTGCTAGCCATTAACTTTGAATGGAAAAATCAAGATCCCAGCTTGGAGAATCTAGAATAATTTTTTTTTATCAGCAAACTTCGATTTGCTCTGAATTACCACCCAGAAAGACATCGTAACGTTCTAATACCCAGAAATACATAATTTCCTCTTATAATTAACCACAATTATCAAGTAAACTTTTTGTTTTTTACTGAAAAGGATTTGGCTTATAACTAGTCTCGAGTTAAACGCGTAAACGTTGATGTTCATTAAAGTAAATTCACTCGATCATGAACCATGAACCACATGATTGAAATGGTACAGTTCGGAGAAAGGTTGGAGGAGGGGCCGCATAACACACCCCGTTTTGTAAGATTTATGTTGTAAAACTGAATTGAAAAAAGTATTCTTGGAAAGGAAGGATTTTTTGGTAACTATTAGCTTTCAGAGAGCCAGAAATACAAGTGTATTGTATCAAAGATATAGAGAAATTTTCGATTGAGCATTGTAAACTTGAACATCATTTCCATGGTCAATTAGGTTATAAACAGTAGAATAATGTAGTTGATTTGTTAAGTTTTGCAAGATCTAATATAACTTCGGCACTAACGCAATCACCAGTTTTGCAAGACATGCGCAGGAGTCACAAACCTATTTTTCTCAATTGCTGTAATTTGGAGAAAATTGACTGGAAGAAATGATCAATACAAAATTATTTGCCAGTGATGTATTGGCAAGGGTGACGAAAAAGAACAAGGACCTTCGGACCACAGTTGAAGTAAAGACCGCCGAGTTATACAAAATTACCTGGACACAGAAATCCCGAAAATGGCCCAGCAATCTATCGGGAAATTCTCCAGAAAATGTCAACAAATCTCATTTTTATCTCAAAAAACCTCGAAATTTCTCCTAAAAATCCCGATCTATCTCGAAAATTATTTGAAAATAATCGCATAATTTGCATGAAATGCGAGATTCCTGTAGTGAATTTGTATGGACTCGAAGCACCTTCAAACTGATTCAAAAGTATTGGTTCTTCTCCTTAAATATATCTCTGAAACAAATGTTAACGAAGATAAACAGCTAGCAGAGTTAACTTCTACAAACCACGTAAATTTGTCAACTGGACGAACAGCTTTTCTTCGCAAGGAAAGAAAAGAGTCTGGTTGTATACCTTTAGTCACTTAAGTGGTATAATTTTGTTAGTTTTTGATAAACGTCAATTCACAGATAGTTCTTCAAAAACCGTAGATAATATATTTACAGAGACCCGATTAGTCTTAGTGGCTGCTTTACAGAACAAAACAAACCACGCACAGCTAGATGCTGAATAAAAAGATTTTCACTCGATAAAACTTGTTTATTAGGATGAATGAAATCTCACGACAGTTTATCGTCCCTGACCAATGGGCATTCTTCGCCCTGGATGGCATGATCCGTTTCAGGTCAGCAAGCTTTCGCCACGGTAAAGAAGAATGGTTCCGGCTTCGACAGTTAACTTCCATTCTTTGTGTAATCGTTAAACTTTGCCGGTCAATTTTTACGCCGAAAGGCCATAATTTTTTACCATTTTACGACCATCGGTTAACCACATTGAGACCCTCAGGGCAAAATTTCTCGCTTTCAGTTCATCTGTTTAGTATAGACGAATAAGATAGATAGAACGAACTCGAGCGATTATCCCTCTCGAAACGTTTCCTCATGATACCCTTCCCCTTCGAATTAAACTGAGTTCCCGGCTCAATCTCGAAGAGCAGACTCGGTTCGTGTCAATTGTAAAGAGATTTAAGAAACGTTACGGTGATCAACTCCGAGCTACAATTAAACTCAGGCTCGCGTGAGGAGGCCCTAAGGCTGAGTTATAGGAAAAGGGACTTTAAGATCCAGGACGGCGAGCGAGGCCGAGGACGCAGCTGACCGGAGGTATTTTTCTCGAACAGCGCATGCGCATGAGTGATAAAAGTTGTTTGCGTGTATTGCGTGAATCATGCGTGACGGCGTCGTGCTCACGTCGACAGCGGCAAAATCACTTTTTGTTTTTGCATTTGTTTTTCTGTGTACCACGGTATTTTAGTTGGTTCCTGAACCAGTCAGCAAAAAGCCATCACCGTAAGTATCTCAGTGTGTTGTTACTTTCGCAGTTGTTCCGTGACCTATCACGAGCTGTGTTTTACACTCGTTAATTAAGTAGTAACATCAACTATGAAATCTTCATTCCTTGCGATAAAATTTAATTTAGTTATTTATGTCTGAAGACGTGATTGTGTTTTCTTTAGAGAAAAATGAAATCGTCTTTTTTAATATCACTAAAAGTACTTGAGAAACGGTTCAAAGGAAATTTGCAGCAGGCCTTTGAAACTTACCGTTCGAATTCCCATTTTCATCTTTTTTTCCACTAACTGTTGGTAGCAGGAAGGCAATTTTAAGGTCAAGGTCCCTCCCTTTAAATGGACATTTTATCTCTTCTACTGAAGGGTCACAACAGTGAAATTTTTCTAATACCATTTAGACTTGCTCTTATCCAAAAATAACTGCTACTAAGAAGGAGACCTGGCTCCAGAAGATCAAATGAACAATGTGGTTTTTCACTGAATTCTGAGTTGTAACATTTTGCATTCCTTTATAACATGTTCTATGGCTTCAGGATACACTTGGTTTTCTTTAAATTCTTTTTATTCAGTGAAATTTTAATAGTGAGTGATACATCAGTATGAGGATCTTTTTCTAAAGTTTTTTGTCAGGTGTAAAGAGATTTTATTTTGTTCCCCGTGACTAAAAGGTGTCTCATCTCATGCAGGTTTTGTTTTTGTGTTGTGCCATGGTTGCTTTGTCTATAATCATTCTATCATTGTCTGAAAAGGTGAAGGCTTTTAGAAATTCTTTGGCAAAATTTGAAAGGTTGTCCACTGATAGCTTATTAAAATCTGTCTTAACATAATTCTTAGCTTGAGATAATATGGTCAGGTGAGATATATTATTATCAAAATGTGAAGAAAAATGTTCATTCTCATCATAGTTTGGGGAAAATGGTAAAAAAAAAAAAAAAGAAGAATACCAGAACAAGAATCAATTTTTCTTAGTTTCTTTGCAAAATAAATTTTTCTATTTGAGTTATTTCCTTTCTACCTTTGATGAGTCTAGGATGAAAGGAATCAATCCAGGAATTATCACATGGTGTTATTTTTCTTTTCTTTTTTATCAAAGGGCTTTTGGAAACTTTCTTTTCAGACGTAGGGACAGGTTTGTGTGTAGGTGTTGGCTAGGGGTTCCAATATGTATACATAGTCATGACAGAATTTCTTTGGTTTGAAAGAAATCATCTAGTTCAAACAAAAATTCACCTAAACGTCTGCATCCTTGATCAGCTCCACCCTGGCACCCACAGAATGCAGAATACACAGACCTAGTTAAGTCCACAATAAACCAGAGCCTGTAAAGTTTATCACCCTCTTGAGTTTTTTCTTTCCGAGTTGGTATAACTCCAGCTAAAAAACAGAAAAAAAAATACTGCCATCAAGGCCCTTTGAACCATTTACTCCAAGGTTCTGAACATGGCCATTTTTACATAGATCATACTCTTCAAATGAGTGCCAGGAGGATAACATGCTTTTATCATAATCAGTCTAGCTCATAATTAGGTGATTACAGTTCAAAATAACTAAAATGAAACATGCATGATTCTCTGTTACTCTGAGTTTCATGCTTATGCACTCATCAGACAGATTTAATGAAAAACATTCTTGTAGGCTAATTTATATATATAAAAAAGATAGCTGCTGATTACAATAGGTTTTTGTAATTTAATAGGTGAGGAAAATGCTGATGCTTTGAGAATTACCTAAAATGTTATCTTTTCCCAAGCACTCTTGAAAGTCCTCAATACTATCATTTAGTTTCCACTTCTCATTGAAGGTTATACCTTCCTCTTTATAAAGAGAACTGTTGAGTGAAAGCCACTTAGCTGCTTGAAAAACCCTATGTGGTCTGACATTCAAAGACAAAGCTGAACTTTTATATTTTAACTTTCTCTTTAACTAAACTTTAACAGTTTCACTTGCACTTTCAACTCTTGGTAAAATGTGAACAGTATCAGTTATATCTGCAGGGACATTAACAAAATTGCCACTTATTTTTAACTGTTTACCTCTTGAAGCTTGTAATAGTCTTTGAAAAGCTAGTCCTGGTGCAACCAGTCTACATTCCAACTCATTTAAGTCAATAAACTCTGGTTTCTTAGGAAACTGCAATCCATTTATAGCAGCTTGAGGTGAAACTTTATTCTTCTTTAAGTACTTGTGACATGAATTGCACAACCACTCCAGATCATCAAAACTTTTTTTATCCAGAGTATATTTTCCAAGGTTATTATTAGATGACTTAAATGTTTCAGCCAAAATGACACTATGCCTATACCATAATTGGTCACAACAGCTACATGTATATATTAGACCTTTAGATACAAGACTGTGAAACAGAGATAGCATGTCCTAACATGGCTTTTGTCTCCTTACAAGCATCTCTTTGTACTTTAAGTCTTTTTGCTCTATCATCATTACTTTCATTAGCTCTTCTCTTTCTCATATATTGTCGCATATAAGTTGTGCAGTTTTCCTCCTTGTCGATAGCACAGGTTTTTGACTTCTTAGAAGGCACATTACCTGTTTTGTTACTTTTCTCTACTGGTATACAGTCATATATAAGCAGTGTTTCCAACTGTTTGTGTATTATTAAAATGACTGTGACAATTTCGTGATGAATTCAATTGGCCAGAGGCTTGAATAGTTGAGACATAATGATATTCGTCAATATGTCCTATGAAAATGATTCTTGCACCTCTGAGGCAATTTAAGGGATGTATAATAGTTTGTTCAGCAAAGTTATGATGAGATTCAACAAAGTGAATTATAAGATTCATTGACTCGGCAACTCCTTGTATTATAAGAGCATCACACTACAGCTTCCAAATGTGTTTCAGTGTTATTGAATACGCTTTCTAAAGTTGAAAAGTCGCCTTTTCCATCGTTCCGAAATTGGGGATTTTCCATGAACCCATTTTCAATCATTTTGACAACAGTACGTATAAGGGGCTTTTCAAAAGTTCCCAAAAAGGGAATTTTCATGAATCCTACGAGAGGATTTGCAATCGTTCCCACGAGGGAATTTCTCTTCGTTACCACATGGGTAATTTCCTTTTGCGCAAGCCTTCGTCGTTCTCTTTTTTCGAACTGGAAAATTATTAAATGCAAATAAAACACTGTTTGAAGAATACCGTAACTCGTAGTTGATCATTCTCCACGTCTTTTACAGCACAAGCCGTAAGCAACGCCTTTTCTAGAAGGGTATTCAGAAACACTGACCGAAAGCTGTTGCGAATCATGTCCACCTTTAATATCAGGCAAAATAAAACGTACTTACCAAAAGAAAGAAGCCACAAACAGTGTCGCTACTGCTTGAAAAGAAATCCGTCTCACATGAACCAAGCTACTTAGTACGATGTCCGAAATCGTCGAACCGGTTTTAACCAGTTAGCTGCATCGGTTTTGCGAGATTTTTTCGTTCTGATTGGATAGATCGCTAATTAACAATTGGTTCATGCTTAAGCGTGCGCTATAGAGTTTTATATGATAAGCTCAGTTATGCACGCATTCTGATTGGTTCTCACTTATAATCTATTGGATGACAGACGTATAGATGACGTCATCATTAAAACTTTTTTTCCCGTATATTTTAATTCTTTATTATATAAAACAAATATATTCCAAGTTGCCGTGCGTCTGTTCAGTAAGATCTATTACTGAACAGACGCACGGCAACTTGGAATCTATTTGTTAAATGGAGCAAGTGGGAAGTTTGGAGAGCACGAAAGAAGCGTATTGCCTCGGGCAACTCTAGCTTCTTGAGTGCTCTCCAAACCTGCCACGTGCTCCATAACTCGCTAGTGCACAACTAAAAGCACGGACCAATTGTTTTATAACATAGCCGGTGGAATTGTGCGTCAAATCTGACGCGAAAAACGGACCAACAATATCAGAAGTGATTGTTCGCGGTAAGCCAAATATTAAGCAAAATAGGAATAGGTTTTATTTCAAATTTTCTGTTGAAAGCTCGAGTTTTACTTTACTGCAGTTTAAATACAAAATTCTTTATTTTTAAATTTCTGGCGAAGCGATTTGCTCACGCTATCAGCGTGCACTATCGGGATTTTGAGCACGCTTACACATACTGAATTTGATTGCGCGGCTCTGCTGGCTATGTTATAATTTCTATTGTTTACACGAACGGCAATAGCATAGTGCCTACGGCCACGGCCAAGGCCTGGCCCTAGGCACAAAAACTAAGCCAAGTGCGAGGCAATATGCAAGGCACGCAACATTGGTAGGGAAAAGACTGGGAAAGACATTGACCATTAAGCGCAGAGTCTGGGATCTAATGATGTTTACGATCGACACGCAAGACAAAAAAAGACGCTAGAGGATGATAGGTTTATGCCTTCTTTATTGGTATTAAACTTGATTCAAATTTAGTGCGGAAGATGAAAAGCACTACATGTTTACACCTTAAGTCACCTGTAAGGAAAAGAGGTGTCGAACGTGCTAAATTAAAATTTCAAAACTATTTTCTGGATCGGGAATTCGACATGGATTTAGCCTAAAAACGAGAATATTATAGAGGTAAAGCATTGGGAGGGTTATTTCCAGGAAATTCCTGTACGGGATCAATTTTTATAAGGTAGGGTCATTTTCTTAGTTATTAAGTGCCGCTCCCGCTAAGAGCGGTCCTCTCAACTTCCCGTCGGAAAAAGGTTTTCTTTTATTTTTTGCCCATGAAAAGGGTTTAGGACACATGTTTCAAATGTAGTTTAGTTGTTCTCCAATTTTCGTTTTTGCGTCACCACAAGCCAAAAATGATTTTTGGCCAGACCACCGCTGTGGACAGCGATCGAAAGTGTAAACCTCAAACCTTATCTCTAGCTTCCATCCACCAACTTCTTAAAAACAACGCAAATCCATGTGTTTGCTCAATTGCACTCGTGTCAAAGATCATTTTCATGATTCTTAGAATTGACCAAGATCTCCTTTTGACCGTTAAAACTTCGTTCGTTTATCTTCTACGTTGAGGATTTTAGGTTTTCACAGCAACTGAATGGAGATTAGATGCCGAGTTGTCTTAAGACGTTGCGTAAACGTGATCGGTCGTTACGCTTGCGCAAAAGGGGATCTTGGTCAATTCTAAGAATCATGAAAATTATGGCAATCCGTGACCTCATTGGTGTATAAACTATGCACTGATATGCTTTTTCAGCCCGATTAACGCCTGCATTTTGAGAATTCTTTCGTACAAAGTAGTGAATTTTTGATATGCAAATTAAGGTCGAAGAGAAGGGTCTCCTCTGATCACGCCGGTATGAAAAATATTTCAGCAGAAGTTTTCTTATTTTGTGTGTGAACTAACTGAATACACCTTGTAACTTGTAGCGAGATAGAATTCCGTGAGCTACATTGTTGCAGTCGCTGCGTGCTGGACAAAATCTTTGAAATTTACACTTTCGATCGCTGTCCACAGGGGTGGTCTGGCTAAAAATCATTTGTGGCTTGTGGCGACGCAGAAATAGACAATTGGAGAACAACTAAACTATTTTTGAAACATGTGTCCTAAACCCTTTTCATGGTCAAAAAATAAAAGTAAACTTTTTTCCGACGGGAAGTCGAGAGGACCGCTCTTAGCGAGAGTGGCACTTAATTGTCTTTTTAGAAACACAATGGGACTATACTGACATCTAGCCGCAAATCGCAGTTTACGCAAAAACATCTGTCACCATGTTAATTCACGATCACAGTGAGATTTATGCTAATATATTATTTCTATTCGTTTTCAACGTTCAAAGAAGTCAAAAAACACCTGTCTTGCTAAATGCTAATTTTGTCTTTTAACATGGTGAACTAATGCTTGACATCGAGGTAAGCTTGATTTTATCAAACCTACGATAAATTTCTCTGTTCCTCTCAGACATCTCAAATTTATTCTTTTTGTGTCTCAAATAGGTAAATTAAAATAATATACAACATTCTGCTGTGAGATTTTACCTCGTAACAACTAACTTCGTGTCTCAATCGAAGCGTAAACATCTTTCTGTATGCATCAGCTCTAGCTAAACAGCCGCTGGACCATGCTTTTCTCTAGTTAGAGTTTCTCCATAATCATGGCGTGGAGGTGATCGGCGACTAACGAAGACAAAGAGATAATAAATCGCTTCAAAAAAGAACAAACTAGCAGCTATGAAGCCAAAAATACCTGATCCAATCATTACTTCCCCTTTCATATAGATGTTGCCATTATGGTACACAATTCCAGAGCCAACGAATAAGGTTACCGAGAGAAGAAAATATCCGATCATTCCAAGCATCGGTGGCACCTTCTCGAAACATCTTAAGCTTCTGAAAATGATGTACAGGACCAGGAAGACGAACGCGCAGGTGGCTATGCCGATTTGATATTTGTATCCCGTCCGGTAGCGATAGAACTCGTAGCAAAGCGTAAGAACAGCCGCTAAGAAAGTCGCTACCGTCTCGATGAGTTTCACCCATCCTTCCACCGTGGTCAACATCCATGCCCAATTGCAACATCTGCGTGAATTCGGTGAATCCTTCCTATCCGCCATAAAAATTGTCTTTCTTGTACTGAGGATGGTTATATGGTATGTCGGCGTCTCAAAGTATAGGGCATAATGTGTATTGGGGACAATAATTCCCAAATACATGACGTACTTACTATGGAGCATAAACATCCGCTATTCAAAAAGGAGCCCGTGCTTCTCAAACAAAATGACAGTTTCACGCGAAGATTTTATGCGTTGTTGACCTCTCCGATCCCACCAACCATCGAAATGAAAATATGACAAGATTACTCACTGACTATAGTCTTTCAGATGATCGATACTAATCTTTTACGCAGATCCTACCGTGTAACTGTAATGAAAGAACTTTTCCACCGCTTGGCCGATGAAGGTCATGGTACGAGACTAGGCTAGGCCTGTCCCAATTGTGTCCAGCAACTTTTGGTGTTTGGAGCAACTTTAATCAACTTGCAGCAATTTCGCTTTTCAGAGCATTTTTCGGGCAAAATATATGTTTAGAGCACTTATCAAGCATGAAAAAAGTCGACGATTTCATAGAAAAAACTAACACATAACTTGTCAATTGACAATTTATTGCGATCTCTATCTAATATTGTCACAGATAATTGGCTAAAATGACGTTCGGCGAGACGTCAAATGAACCTTGCGTTTTGTCCTGTTAGACTTAAGTATCCTTAAATGTCGCCCATGTTTGCGAGCAACTATTTAAAGCCAAGTTTCAAGCTATTTTTCTTGATCAGTGGTAACAATAACTGCGAATAACGAAAAATAAAGCCTTAAATGTACGTTTACGCAAAAATATCAAAAACTTTAGATAGCAACTTTTTTCTTTTTGGCAATACATTTTAACCAACTTTTAGGCATTCCAGTGAGAAGCTCTCCCGCATTTTACGATCACAATCGCGACAGGCCTAGAATTGAACCGTACCTCATTTTTGGGAAAAAAATGAGAAAAAAAGAAAGAAGAAAAGAAAGAGGAAAGAAAGCAATGAGTAAAAGAAGAAAGATAGAGAGGGAAACGGGCGCACTTTCCTGGAATTCTCCGGCCACTGAAGGCAGTATCCAAGAAGGTCACAGAATCGATTTTGTAACTTTAATGAACAGTCACAGGTTTCAAAAGGTCTTCACACGATCACGGTCAAAGGCTTCCTTAAATCACATTGCTTTGAACTGACAACTTATTGGGTGCCAACGATTACATAATAGCGTAGTATGTTCCCCAGTCCCCGACAACATATCACAATGTTTTGCACGATCTAACAGAAGTCATAAACACAATCGCGAGTTTTGCACGATCTAACAGAAGTCATTGATACAATCGATCGCGAGTTTTTCAAGACATGCGCAGGAGTCACAAACCTATTTCTCTCAATTGCTGTAATTTGGAGAAAATTGACCAAAAGAATTGATCAGTCATCGCGCAGAATACCTGGACATCATTAATTATTCATCAGCACTGAAGCGGGAGATTTGAATGCACTCGCGCTTTGAAAAGCCCATATTTAGAGAAGAAAGGGCCGAAACTAGCGCAGCAGAGTTGATAACATTCGCTTTTTCAATTGCCAGAAGCAATAAGTGAGAAACCCAAGAGCGAGGTTTTGAAGAGGAAGGGTTAATCTTAGATTTAAGCTTAAAAAGAAGAAGTTTGAGAAAGTATAAGGACCATTCCTGAGCCTTTGAAAATGACGAGAAAACGGACATTTTTGGCATGAGTGCCGATTTCAAAAGCGATTTTTCAAAAACTCAAACCGGCTTCCAACTACCTAAGAGTGGGAAATGGAAGATGGATCTTTTCTGAAACAGAACCCGTGTTAACTTGGAAAATTGGTGAACGACAACCACAATTTCTCGCAGTTTTAAAATTACTAGTCGCGCAAAATTGAACTATTGGTTGAGCGGGGCCAACTACACCGAACTACAACAAACTAAATACGGAAATAAGTAAAGCAAACAGTTGGTTTAAACTTAATGGAATGCAACCTAACATCAAAAAGACCAAGCACTAACTTATCGGTACTGCTAAGAAACTCTATCACAGTGAAATAACTACATTTGAGCTTTTCATTGACAACGCAAAAGAATGTTTTTGTAAATAGGCTTATCTTTAAATATAATCTTTGATGTTTCTATTATTTTATACAGTATGTCATATGTAACTTAAGATATGTCTTTTTATCTCAGGAAGAATAAAGATTGATTGATTGATTGATTGATTGATTGATTGATTGATCGCAAGACTTGAGGAATCAGTCGGAGAAAAACTTCTTGGTGTCGTAATTGATTCCCCATTTTTCTTGGAACTTACATATCGACTATCTAATAAAAAAGCCGAACTCTAAAATATGTTTTCTTTAGAGAGCTTAAGTCTATTTAACTATTGAATGCAGAAAAATGTTATCAAATGCTCTCATTAAGCCAATTCTTGATTATTGTCGTACTGTTTGGGGTAACTGTTCTGTTGAAAACCTTCTAAGGCTGCTACAAGTACAAAAACGATGTGCGAGATTAATATTGGATGCCACCATTAATGACAGCTCCGTAGAACTTTTTGATAAATTAGGCTGGCTACCTATAGATGACATCGTATCCATTAGAAAACTCTTTATGCTACACGAAGTTAGCCAGGGTCATTGTCCCGAATCTTTCACCTCATATTTTAAACATGTTAGGTCTACACATGGTTATCGAACCAGATAACATGTAAAAGAAACTCAGGACTTTCCACTCAAGTGCATGTCGTCTATGGAATAATCCAGGTAACATATACAGAGACATAATTTCCCATTCAAATTTCAGAAAAATGCTACAGAATAATTTTATCAAAGAAAACTCTTCACTAGAACATCTTAAGATTTGTAGGACTTTTTGATTTTTGTAATGAATTTTAATAATTTAGTTGGAAGTGTAGTAATTAGTAGGATCAGTATGATTTTTGTTTTTGTTTTTGTTGAGGGCCATTATGTAAACTACCGGGCTACCGATAAATAAAATATTTGTTTGTTTGTTTGTAAGTTCCTTTCGAAAATGGAGGATTTCGAGTTTAACACCATCAACCTCGTTCCCATGGCCTTTTCCCTTACTTGAGAACGAGGGTTAAGACACCATTGTTTTCAACCTATGCTTGAATAACAATAGCTGTCAAAACTAAACAATGGCCTATTCAAGAAAACCACTCATTTGTAAAATAGACGATTTACCACCTGTTTTAAAAATGCTCTTAGTGCATCAGCTGGTTTATTATGGGCTTTTCTTATTATGTACGTAGGAAATGGATAACTCGCCAAAATGGGTTCTTTTCAACATAGTAAGCGGTAAGAAAGCAAGCGATGCACTGTGGAAGTAAGGTGAGGTATTTTTATTGAGAATTTGAGTGTATTTTTTATTCCTTAGAGCGGTCGTAAATATTTCACTCATATAATTTCGCCATGACTCTTATTTTGCAAGATGATCATCTCACAGCTGGAGCTTTGGCCACCTGTGATGCAACTAGGCCACGCGATGATGAATGATCAAAAAAAAAAAAAATGATCGTGATCGGGAGCTCTTTTCAGAGCTTATAGAACCCCCGATCCACCCTAATCTTATATAAGTAGTTCCACCTTTTCTTGAGGAAAGAAATCCAGTGTACATGGTTCAAATGAGCGGTGAAGAAGCCTGGAAATGTAGAGTGTTTTACTGGCTGCCTCGTAGGGTATTTGATTCACTTCAAGCGAGCATTCTGCCTCTCGGCTACAAGCTGAATGAATCCTCCTGCGATCGCGTTGATCGCACAGTCAGCGAAAAAATATGGAGATTTAAACGCAAGATGGACTCAATTACAAGCGGTAAACAGAGGCAAAAAGCACGAGCGGAGACGTGGGTTAAAATTACAATAAACCCGCCCATAAACCCCCGAAGAGATCGCGCTAACACTAAGTGACGTGTTGGCAAGGATGACGTAGGAGAACAACGAATTTTATCAACGCTTCGTCTCCTTACATATATCCGTCAAACAAATAATAACGACAATAAACAGCTAGCAGAGTAAGTTCGACAAACCAGGTAAATGCTATCGGCTGTATTTTGTATCTTTGTCCGCTTTTGGGCAAGGCCAGAATGGAATGGTAGCCGTTTACTATATATTAAAATACGGTTACGACTTTTTTTACCGTGAATCTTCCTTTTCGAAGTCAAAGTCTCAAAAATGTATAACCCCATTCTAGTAACTCTACTGAAAACAGCCGAAAATGCAACGCCATAAAAGTCAATGCAGTCGTGAAAATGCGACCCTATCCAGCGGCACACTGTAGCCTATCTCTAGGAATTTTAACCTCACCCGCCCCTCCCCCCCCCCTTCTCTGAATTAATATTTAAGTGGTAGAAATGGCAAAGTGTGATGAAGCAAAATATCGCACATAATCACTCCAGGTTGAAAATAACCATTCTACCTTGCACTGCTTGTACCGTGATTGCAGCATTCCCACGTGCGTAAAGTGCTTGTGACTTATGGGAAACACACGCATGTTACACCAAAAAAACCCGCGTGTAGCAGAAGAAGCCGATATTACTCGAAATTTCTCGTAGTTTTGAATTTCCAATTTGCTTTTCAGTACACGCATATGTTTATATTTTTTTTTACACGTATGCGAGAGAAATTAATTGGAAAAACATTCCTTGAAATAGGAAGTGGTCCTGTGTCTTGAGCGAAAAAGATCGTCAAGTGGTCAAAATAACACCGACCAGATAATGGTCACGTGCTCGGCAAAGACTTGTAGAAACCGATCATATTTCATTCTTACCATCAAACAGTACGTTTGCAAAGAAAGACGACCATAATGAAAAGGCCGAAATTGGCGTAGCTGCCGAAGCGTCCGAAAAAAAAAACCTGAAACGAAAGAAATAATGCTGTGAATTATCGTTTTTTATCTCATGGGTACATATTTCCGTGGGAATTTCCATGTCAACAGCTTGCTCTGTCACTCACAAACTCTTCGTGATTCTCGCTGCTCCTCGTTATGTTTGGCGCATGCATATGGACAATTCGAAGACCGGCTTCAACTTTGGTCTTTAAGTTGATCATAGTACTAATCTGAAACATTTCAATTTAGTAAATGTCTAACCAGCCGTGTAAAGATAATAAACATCGCAACGAGCGATGCAATCACAATGGCACCAGGACTTCGGACTTCTTCGGAAGGACAGATCTCGAGTTCGGAGCCGACTAATTACGAAGAGTCCGCGCCAATTTGCATATCCCAAAGTGCCCAGAACAAATCGTTTCTACGCTATCGCGTACCCACGAGTTAAAAATGGTTCCGACTTCAGCAGTTAACTTCCTTTCTTTGTGATACAAAAATAAAATCGCTGCTCCATCCAACACAACGTTGTAAATTTTTAAGATCTTAAGTCACGCATAGGGAAACAAACCTGTAAACATTAAACGATTGTATTCTCTGCATGCCAGCAAGCACATATTTGCATGGAAGGATCAAGCTGTGAAGTGAAGCTTGAGAAGCAACTACTGTAAATTTTCTCTCTTACATCGATTAAGCCTGATTTTCCACTAGCGACGCAAGAACAGGTGTAGGCGGCACAAACACCGGCAAGCTTTAGGTAAGTATACCAAGTGAAAACGGACGTCGACAAGCACAAACACTAGCGCAAGAAAAAGGAGAAATTTGAATCTTTAAACTTGTGTGTTTACACGGTGAAACAAGAGTTGCATTGCTTGCGTCTCTAGTGAAAATCAGGCCAAGGCAGCAGAAATCGTACCAACAATGAAACTAGGGTCTGTTAAGTCCTACTGTTTTATTTTAATAAGTTAATCTAAAAAAGAAATAGAACTAAAACATGAGAACGCATGAAACTCGCCGGAAATACTTGGCGAGTGTCAGGCGACCTAACGTAAACATTGATTGTTATGAACTGAAGCTTGACAGCGAGGGAAGCTTGATTTTATCAAACCTGCAATATCTTTATCTGGTTCTCTCAGACATCCTAACTACCTTTTTTTGTGCTTCAAGTAGGTAAATTAAGATAATAGACAACATTCTACTGTGAGATAATATCTCGTAACAACCAACTTCATGTCTAATTCGGAACTTGAACATCTTTCTGTGTGCACAGTTCTTCCTGTTCACATCAGTTCCAGCTAAACCACTGCACCTACAGTGTCTTCCGCTGGACCATATTCTCATGTAATTAGATTCTCTCCATCATCATGACGTGGAGGTGATCGGCAACAAACGAGGGCAAAGAGATAATAAATCGCTTCACAGAAGAACAAACTAGCAGCTATGAAGCCACAAATGCCTGATCCAATCATTACATCCCCTTTCACATAGATGTTGCCATCATGGTATACAATTCCAGAGCCAGCAACTAAGGCAACCGAGAGGAGAAAACATCCGATCATTCCAAGCAGCGGTGGAACCTTCTCGAAGCATCGTAAGCTTCTGAAAATGATGTACAGGACCACGAAGACGAACGCGCAGGTGGCTACGCCGACTTGATATTTGTATTCTGACTTGTAGCCATAGAACTCATAGCTAAGCGTAAGAACAGCCGCTAAGAAAGTCGTTACCGTCTCGATGAGTTTCACGTATCCTTCAATAGTGGTCACTATCCACGCACAATTGCAACATCTTCGTGAATTCGGTGACTCCTCCCTGTCAGCCATAGCTGTTGTCTATATATACTGAGGATGGTAGAGTCGCTATTTGAAGTGGACTACGTCGGCTTCTCGATAAACATCCGCTGTTCAGAATGGAGCCCGTGCTCCTCATACAAAGTGACGATTCCAAACAAAGATTCGCTGTGTTTTATACTTCCCAGATCGCACTGTGTTTTTGGACGGTTTGGAGAAGCATTCCTGCCCGTCATAACTTTTGTCTATACATACCGAGAATGGTAGAGTGGGTAGATAAGAATGGGCTACGTCGGCTTTTCGATAAACATCCGTTGTTCAGAAAGGAGCCCGTGCTCCTCAAACAGAATGACGGTTAGACGCAACGATTTGCTGTGTCGTTGACTCCCCCGATCCTACTAACCATTGGGATGAAAATATGACAAGATTACTCACTGACTATAGTTTTTCAAAATGATCGATACTAATCGAGTGCCCAGATCCTACCGTGTAACTGAAATGAAGGAACTCTTCCACTGCTTGGGCGTGGAAGGTCTTGGCACGAGACTAGACTAAGCCTGACACGATTTTGCACAGCAATTTTTGAGCAACTTTTGGCATTTGGAGCAACTTTTATCAACTTGCAACAATTTCGCTTTTCAGAGCATCTTTTGGGCAAAATATAGGTTTAGAGCACTTATCAAGCATGAAAAAGTCGACGATTTCATAGAAAAAACTAACACATAACTTGTCAATTGACAACGTTTCACAGGCATGTTGCGATCTTTATCTAATATTGTCACAGATAATTGGCTAAAATGACGTTCGGCGAGACGTCAAATGGACCTTGCGTTTTGTCCTGTCAGACTTAGGTATCCTTAAATGTCGCCCATGTTTGTGAGCAGCTATTTAAAGCCAAGTTTCAAGCTATTTTTCTTGACCAGTGGTAACAATAATTGCGAATAAGTTAAAATAAAGCCTTTAATTAACGTTTATGCAAAAATGTCAAGAAATTTAGGTAGCAACGTTTCGGATTTTTGGCAATATTTTGAGCAACTTTTAGGCATTGCAATGCGCGACCCTCCTGCATTTACGAGAACAATAGGGAAAGGCCAAGGCTTGACCCTACGTCATTTTCCGGAAAAAAATGAGAGGAAATGAAAAAAGAAAAGAAAGAGGAAAGAAGGCAAAAAGGAAGAGAGAGAAGGAAACGCGCGCAATCCTTACCTTTAAACCATCATTACCAAAAAACTCAGCGAAACATTTGAAACCTTTATGAAATTAAGTAAAGAGTACAAATTAGGAAAGAAGAAAGCACGAGTTTTGTCGAACACGAAGCTCATTTAGTTGCAAGTACTCTATTCAGTGATTCAATTCGACTTTTGTCGTTGTAAACTCCTTCAGGACAGTTGGCTCTATGCACGCCATTTCGCCGCGAGGGCGAATATGCAAAATAATTTGACCACTGTTTTTCACGTATCGTTTGCGTTTCCTCCCCCCTCTCCTCATATTTAATGGGGAAGGGGAAAGGGGAGGGTGGTGAGTTGAGATGTTGGTTTCAAGGAATTGTCTGGATGTCCGTAGGTTGTTCCCACAGTAAAACTGACTTTCCAAATACTAGTTCAACTTTAGTTCGACCAATGGTAGACGAAAGGTCCTACTGAAGGTGAACCACTGATGAATATGATGAATTAAGTTGGATGTAAAATTAATGTCATTTATTTATCGTCACTTATAAACTTAAACACACCTTCAGGAGTTCAAAACCACCAAACTCCGAAAAGAAGGCCAAGGGATTCATCATGAAAATGAAAAAAATATTTTCCCTTTTCTCACGCGCGCTTCCAATCTGGCCTGGAAAAGATACATAACAACTGGAAGAGGGATTGTGTTATGCAGGCACTTCAGAAACCGTTTTGAAAGAGATGGCCTTAGACCAGGATCCCATTAATGGGCTCTTGCCCTAGACTAATTAAGAACGAGCTTCCACCAGCCAGCCAGTGGCAGTTTCAGACCTTGAGCGAAGGGGGGGTCCGGTTTTTTGTCGCTTGCCTTGCCGGCTTTTCTTCCTTCTGTGATTATTATTATTAAATTTTTTTACTTAAAATAAGAGGGGGGGGGGGCGGGAGCAGGCCCTCTGGGCCCCTCCCCTCAACCCGCCACTGTTAGCTAACTGATTTTTTCATTGTTCGAGGCTATAGTTAGCTCTTCGAATGTTCTTCAAGGGTCAGCGGATTGTTCCGTTTTGTTCCCTACGGCAAGAAATCCCTGTCTAGAATTCAACGAACTCACATTGGTGTGTTGTATGAAGAGTTGAAACAAGCAAGAGAAATATCCTTCTCTTCAGCCATGATAGACTGTAATAAAAAACGGCATCAAATTATCCATTGCAGCTTCTACTTCTTCAACGATATGCCTTGGTGCCGATCTGAAACAATTGCAGTAGAGGAGGACAACGACGAAAGATCCATCCGCGAGGAACAAAGCAGAAGCCATGAAACCAATGATGCCGTAGAAGTAGGCCTAGATACAGAAATTCCGAAAAATGGCCCGACAATCTATTGGGAAATTCTCCTGAAAATGTCTACAAATCTCATTTTTATCTCGAAAAACCTCGAAATTTTTTGCAAAAGTCCTGATTTGTCTCGAAATTTATTTTAAAATAATAACATAATTTGCATGAAATGCGAGATTCCTGTGGTGAAACTGCATGGAAGCAACTTCAAACTGATTCAAAATGATTGGTTCGTCTCCTAACATGTATCTCTCAGACAAATGATAACGACAATAAACAGTTGGTGTAGTTAAGTTATACAAACCACGTAAGTTTGTTTTTTAAGCTATCGGCTGTATTTTTCTAGACATTATCGTCTAAGAATCCTTGAATGTTCCAAAATCCTCGAATTTTCTTAAAATTCCGTTTGACTTTGAAAATCCTGAAAAAAGTCCGGATTTTGTTTCTAGCCGTACTAAAAGAATCTTCTGGATATCATTTTTCTTTCCTATTTGTCAACGGGACTAACAGCTTTTCTTCGCAGGGAAAGAAAAGAGTCTAGTTGTATGTATTTAGTCTCTCAAGCGTTTAATTTTTGTCAGTTTTTGATAGCCGTCAAAAACCGTAGATAATTATTTTACAGAGGCCCGATTAGTTTTAGTGGCAGCTTTGCCGAACAAAACAAACCACGTACAGCTAGATACTGAATAAAAAGATCCTCACTCGATAAAACCTACAGTATCTTCCGCTGGACCATGTTATCATGTAATTAGAGCCTCTCCATCATCATGACGTGGAGGTGATCGGCGACAAACGAGGGCAAAGAGATAATAAATCGCTTCACAGAAGAACAAACTAGCAGCTATGAAGCCACAAATGCCTGATCCAATCATTACATCCCCTTTCACATAGATGTTGCCATCATGGTACACAATTCCAGAGCCAACAACTAAGGCAACCGAGAGGAGAAAACATCCAACCATTCCAAGCAGCGGTGGCACCTTCTCGAAGCATCGTAAGCTTCTGAAAATGATGTGCAGAACCACGAAGACGAGCGCGCAGGTGGCTACGCCGACTTGATATTTGAATTCTGCCTTGTAGCCATAGAACTCATAGCTAAGCGTAAGAACAGCCGCTAAGAAAGTCGTTACCGTCTCAATGAGTTTCACGCCTCCTTCTATCGTGGTCACTATCCACGCAAAATTGCAACACCTTCGTGAATTCAGTGACTCCTCCCTGTCAGCCATAGCTGTTGTCTATATATACTGAGAATGGTAGAGTAACTATATGAAGTGGGCTACGTCGGCTTCTCGATAAACATCCGCTGTTCGGAATGGAGCCCGTGCTCCTTATACAAAGTGACGATTCCACACGAAGATTCGCTGTGTTTTATACTTCCCAGATCCCACTGTGTGTTCGGACGGAATGGAGAAGCATTCCTGCTCGCCATAACTTTTGTCTATACATACTGAGAATGGTAGAGTGGGTAGATGAGAATGGGTAACGTCGGCTTTTCGATAAACATCCGTTGTTCAGAAAGGAGCCCGTGCTCCTCAAACAAAATGACGGTTAGACGCGAAGATTTGCTGTGTCGTTGACTCCCCCGATCCGTACTAACCATCGGGATAAAAATATGACAAGATTACTCACTGACTATAGTTTTTCAAAATGATCGATACTAATCGAGTGCCCAGATCCTACCGTGTAACTGAAACGAAGGAACTCTTCCACCTCTTGGGCGTGAAAGGTCTTGGCACGAGACTAGACTAAGCCTGACCCGATTGTGCACTGCAACTTTTGACATTTGGAGCAACTTTTATCAACTTGCAGCAATTTCGCTTTTCAGAGCATTTTTTGGGTAAAATATAGGTTTAGAGCACTTATCAAGCATGAAAAAGTCGACGATTTCATAGAAAAAGCTAACACATAACTTGTCAATTGGCAACGTTTCGCAGGCCTATTGCAAACTTTATCTAATATTGTTACAGATAATTGGCTAAAATGACGTTCGGCGAGACGTCAAATGAACGTTGCGTTTTGTCCTGTCAGACTTAAGTATCCTTAAATGTCGCTCATGTTTGCGAGCAGCTATTTAAAGCCAAGTTTTAAGCTATTTTTCTTGACCAGTGGTAACAATAATTGCGAATAAGTTAAAATAAAGCCTTTAATTAACGTTTATGCAAAAATGTTAAGAAATTTAGGTAGCAATGTTTCGGATTTTTAGCGGTATTTTAAGCAACTTTTAGACCCTCCTGCATTTACAAGCACAATAGCGACAGGCCAAGACTTGACCCATATGTCATTTTCCTAAAAAAAATGAGAAGAAATGAAAAAAGAAAGAGGAAAGAAGGCAAAAAGGAAAAGGAGGAAGAGAGAGAAGGAAACGTGCGCACTCCTAACCTTTAAACCATCATTACCAAAAAACTCAGCGAAACATTTGAAACCTTTATGAAATTAAGTAAAGAGTACAAATTAGGAAAGAAGAAAGCACGAGTTTTGTCGAGCACGAAGCTCATTTAGTTGCGAGTATTCTATTCAGTGATTCAATTCGACTTTTGTCATTGTAAACTCCTTCAGGACAGTTGGCTCTATGCACGCCATTTCGCCGCGAGGGCGAATATGCAAAATAATTTTACCATTGTTTTTCACGTATCGGTTGCGTTCACTTCCCTCTCTCCCCATATTTAATGAGGAAAGGGAGAGGGGAGGGTGGTGAGTTGAGATGTTGGTTTGCTTCAAAGTTTCAAGGGATTGTCTGGATGTCCGTAGGTTGTTCCCACAGTAAAACTGACTTTCCAAATACTAGTTCAACTTCAGTTCAACCAATGGTAGACGAAAGGTCCCACTGAAGATGAACCACAGATGAATATGATGAATCAAGTTAGATTTAAAATCAATTTCACTTTCGTCACTTATAAACTTAAACACACCTTCAGGAGTTCAAAACCACCAAACTTTGAAAAGAAGGCCTTAGCATTCATCATGAAAATGAAAAAAAAAAATTTTCCCTTTCCTCACTCGCGCTTCCATCTGGCCTGGAAAAGATACATAACGACTGGAAGAGGGATTGTGTTATGCAGGCACTCCAGAAAGCGTTCTGAAAGAGATGACCTTAGACCAGGATCCTATTAATGGGCTCCTGCCCTAGACTAATTAAGAACGAGCTTCCACAATTAGCCAGTGGCGGATCCAGACCTTGAGCTAAGGGGGGTCCGGTTATTTTGTCGCTTGCCTTGCCGGCTTTTTTTCCTTCTGCGATTTTTATTATATTTTTTTAATTAAAATAAGGGGGGGGGGCGGGCCCTCTGGGCCCCTTCCCTTAACCCGCCATTGTTAGCTAACTTATTTTTTCATTGTTCGCGGCTATATTGAGCTCTTCGAATGTTCTTCAAGGGTCAGCGGATTGTTCCGTTTTGTTCCCTACGGCAAGAAATCCCTGTCTAGAATTCAACGAACTCTCATTGGCATGTTCTATGAAGAGTTGAAAGAAGCAAGAGAAATATTCTTTTCTTCAAGAATGAACACAGCTATGACAGACTGTAACAAAAATGACATTAAATCATCCATTGCAGCTTCTACTTCTTCAACGATATGCCTTGGTGCCGATCTGAAACAATTGCAGTAGAGGAGGAGGACGACGAAAGATCCATCCGCGAGGAACAAAGCAGAAGCCATGAAACTAATGATGCCGTAGAAGTAGGCCTAGATACAGAAATTCCGAAAAATGGCCCGACAATCTATCGGAGAATTCTCCTGAAAATGTCTATACATCTCATTTTTATCTCAAAAACCTCGAAATTTTTTGTAAAGGTCCTGATCTGTCTCGAAAATTATTTTAAAATAATAATATAATTTGCATGAAATGCGAGATTCCTGTGGTGAAACTGCATGGAAGCAACTTCAAACTGATTCAAAATGATTGGTTCGTCTCCTAACATGTATCTCTCAAACAAATGATAACGACAATAAACAGCTAGTAGAGTAAGTTCTACAAACCACCTAAATTTGTTTTTATGCTATCGGCTGTATTTTTTCTAGACATTATCGTCTAAGAATCCCTGAATGCTCCAAAATCATCGAATTTTCTTAAAATTCCGTTTGACTTTAAAAATCCTGAAAAAAGTCCGGATTTTGTTTCTAGCCGTACTAAAAGAATCTTCTGGATATCATTTTTCTTCCCTATTTGTCAACGGGAGTAACAGCTTTTCTTCGCAAGGAAAGAAGAGAGTCTAGTTGTTTGTATTTAGTCTTTCAAGCGTTGAATTTTTGTCAGTTTTTGATAACCGTCAATTGACAGATAGTTCTTCAAAAACCGTATTTTCACAGAGGCCCGATTAGTTTTAGTGGCTGCTCCGCAGAACAAAACAAACCACGTACAGCTAGATACTGAATTAAAAGATCCTCACTCGATAAAACTTACCAATTAGGATAAATGAAATCTCTTTTATTGGACAGTTTATCGTCCCTGACAAATGTGCATTCTTCGTTCTGGATGGCGTGATCCTTTTCGAGGACGGTAAGCTTTCGTCACGGTAAAGAAAAATTGATCCAGCTTCAACAGTTAACTTCCTTTCTTTGTGATACAAAAATAACACATTTTACGGTTACCGTTTGTAACGACTAATTGTCAAAATTTGCCGGTCAACTTTTACGCCTAAAAGCCTTAATTTTTGACTGTTTTACGGCTATAGGTTAACCCCATTGAGACCCTCAAGGCAAAATTTCTTGCTTTTCAGTTCATATGTTTAGTATAGATGAATAAGACAGATAGAACGATAGAACGAACGCGAGCGATTATCCCTCTCGAAACGTTTCCTATACCCTTCCTCTTGGAATTAAAATTCTCGAGTCAATCTCGAAGGGCAAACCGCCCGGTTCGTGTGAATTGTAAAGATATTAGGATACGTTACGGTGATCAACCTTGAGCTACAATTAAATAAACCCAGGCTCTTATGAAGAGGCCCTCGGGCTGAGTTATAGGAATATCAAGCGGACTGCAACTGTGGTTGCAAATAGAGCGCTGAAGGAAAAAAGATTTCAAGAGAAGAATTATGGCTCTGCACGTACCTTTCACAACTGAGGGGGGCATTGGGGCTTATTAGAAACCGCAAAACCATAGAAGAAAATCATCCAAACCCGAAAAACCAAAAAAAATACAGTGGTGACAAGTGGAGCATACAGAGTAAACTATACTAATTTCATTACAGAATTCATGAATGCCATGGACTTGGCATTCGTATCTTCTAGTATCTGCTTCAATTAACAGCTGCACTCTCGAGGACCTCGATCGTGGTCTCTGCGGACTCAGCAGCTGATAATGGAGCCTAGTTAAATTAAGGAAATTTACACAAAATTCCTCTATAGGTTTGCAATTTTGCAGTCGCAAAAAGCTATAGCTCCGGAAAGTTTCATCGAAAATCCCTAATCTAACATCTCATAACATCTAATCTAATTTGCGAATTAAGGCCTGAAAGTTTGGAAATTCTATTGGAATGTTGAATCAGTCACATGTGGCCTGTAACTTGGTCACCAACTTCGAGGTGGCGTTGATGAAGAAACTCTGGCAATGTTCCGTGATGAACAAATTTCCTAGGAAAATTACTAGTCGAAGCGTTTGCGCTCAGCATGCGGCTGGCGCAAAAGGATCGCCAGGCGAGAGAAGCCAGTCCCCTTCCCCCCTTGGGGGGGAGGGGAGGGTACGGCTACACGTAGGCTACCTAGGGTTCCCTGCGATATTTCAATTGGTTTGTCACGCATTCCTCTCGATAACATTTGCGTTTAGCGGCAGCGGAGGCGTGTAATTGCCACTCAAATCGAAGAGAAACCGGAACCCAAATCGGTCAAATACCGCATCGAATATCAAATCCGAAAACCCATTGGTATTTTTGGCGAAAATGCTGGCAAACGGAATATCCGCAAACCGCAATGAACACCAAAACCAAAAAACCGACCTAAAGAAATAACCAAAACCACAAAACCGAAAATCCCAATGCCTCCTCACAACTTGGTACATTTCGTAGCCGCTCCATCCAACACAACGTTGTAAATCACCAAATTTTACGTTCGTAAGTGACGCATAGGTAAACAAACTCGATAGGTTTTGATGTAACAGGATACATGTCTAATGTAACAGGAACTTGATTCGAACAATTGTCTTCTCTGCATGCCTGCAAGCACAAATATGCTTGGAAGGTTCAAGCTGTGAAGTGGAGATGGAGAGGCAACTGTTGTAAATTTTTCCTCTTGTATCGATTAAGCCTGGTTTTCCACTAGCGACGCAAGCACAAGTGTAAGCCGGTACAAACACCGGCAAGCTTTAGGTGAATATGCCAAGTGAAAACGGAAGTCGACAAGCACAAGCACTAGCACAAGAAAAAGGAGAAATTTGAATCTTTATGACTGGGCGCGTGCTTCCGTTCGTGCTTGCGTTGAGGCTGTTTACACAGTGAAATAAGAGTTGTGTTGCTTGCGTCTTTAGTGAAAATCAGGTTAAAGCAGCAGAAACCATTCCAACAGTGAAACTAGGGTCTGTTAAGTCCTACCGCTTTATTTTAATAATTTAATCTCAAACAGAAATAGAACTACAACATAAAAACGCATGTAACTCGCCGGAAATACTTGGCGAGTGTCAGGCGACATAACGCAAACATTGGTTGAATGACAGCGAGGGAAGCTTGATTTTATCAAACCTACGATAAATTTCTCTGTTTCAGACGTCCTAAATACTTTTTTTGTTTCTCAAATAGGTAAATCAAAATAATAGACAACATTCTACTGTGAGATAATATCTCGTAGCAATCACCTTCTTGTCTAATTCGAAGCTTAAACATCTTTCTGTATGCATCAAGTTCTTTCTGTTTATCTCAGTTCTCGCTAAACCACTGCACTTGCAGGATCTTCTGCCGGACCATGTTTTTCTGTAGTTAGAGTCTCTCCATCATCGTGGCGTGGAGGTGATCGGCGACAAACGAGGGCAAAGAGATAATAAATCGCCTCACAGAAGAACAAACTAGCAGCTATGAAGCCACAAATGCCTGATCCAATCATTACATCCCCTTTCTCATAGATGTTGCCCTCATGGTACACAATTCCAGAGCCAACAACTAAGGCAACCGAGAGGAGAAAACATCCGATCATTCCAAGCAGCGGTAGCACCTTCTCGAAGCATCGTAAGCTTCTGATAATGATGTGCAGGACCACCAAGATGCACGCGCACGTGGCTACGCCGACTTGATATTTGTATTCCATCTTGGTGCGATAGAATCCATAGCTACGCGTGAGAACAGCCGCTAACAAAGTCGTTACCGTCTCGATGAGTTTCACCCATCCTTCCACCGTGATCACAATCCACGCACAATTGCAACATCCTCGTGAATTCCTTAACTCTTCCCTGTCCGCCATAGTTGATGTCTATATATACTGAGGATGGTAGGGTGGGTAGTAGAGAGTTTGTTATATGGGGTGGGCTACGTCAGCTTCTCGATAAATATCCGCTGTTCAGAGAGGATCCTGTGCTCCTCAAAAACAAAAAAACAAAAAACAAAAAACAAATGACGGTTCCACGCAAAGATTTGCTGTGTTGTTGGCTCCCCAGATCCCACCAACCATCGGGATGAAAATATGACAAGATCGTCACTTATGCACACTTTCAAAACCTCCCTGGCAAACTTTGAAAAGAAGGCCTTAGCATTCATCGTGAAAAGGAAAAAAATATCTTCCCTTTCCCCACCTTGAGCTAAGGGGGAGGGGGGCCTGGTTTTTTGTCGCTTTCCCTGCCGGCTTCTCTTCCTTCTGCGGTTTCTTTTCTATTTTTTTTAACCAAAATAAGGAGGGGGGGGGGGGACTGGGCCCCCTGGTCCCTCACCGAGGCCCGCCACTGTTAGCTAACTCTATTTTTATCGTTTGCTGCTATATTGAGTTCTTCGAATATTCTTCAAGGGTCAGGGGATAGTTCCGTTTTGTTCCCTACGGCAAGAAATCTCTGTCTAGAATTCAAAGAACTCTCGTTAGCGTGTTGTATGAAGAGCTGAAACAAGCAAGAGAGATATTATTCTCTTCGTTTTGTTCCCTTTTGAGGGGGAGAAGATTTGGATAGGAACATCGTTCCTCTGGGCCGGGGTTGACTAAAGCAGCGATATTGAATGTTCCCTTTTCGTCGTTTGAGAACATATTTCTGCCTGCTGTTTCTAAATACTACTTCAGAAGGCAGTTCACAAGTAGCAAAATTTTACGGTTTGATGGTCTTCCAGGACCTTATGGTTACATGGAGGTTCGCGTAGTGTAATTTTGCGAAATAATTATTTTAGCAGAAAAGCCCCTGTAGTCTATTCGCCAAGAAAAAACAAGGAAGATTTTTCTCCCTTTTAAAGAAAATGTCGACCTTCATTTCATATTTTTACGTTTTGCAGGAACTGTTAAACGACAAATTCAACCCCAGGCCAACTCTTAGCACTATTTTCGGTTACGATTTGTGATTCCGTATATGACATACGAACTGTTTTAATTAATCAAAAGCTTGCATGACATTACAAGTATTTTACTAACAAAGCTTTGGCACTCGATCCGTTCGCTTTGTTACTGGTTTCTACACCTTTACCTTTGGTTTGACCCTCTCCTGGTGATTCTTACACTACACATGGCAGATCAGGGCGAGGCAGGTCAAGAAGTGACCACGCGAAAGTGTAGCTGCGGTTGTTGTGATCCTCTGTGGATTGTGACAACGAAGGAAGGATGGCTAAAACTTGTCGAAGCCATCTTGACTTTCTTGACGTTTGTCATTGTTTCTAGTTTTCCCGGTAGCTTCAGAGCTGAATACGAGTTTTTGATTTTTGTTGCTACCACCGCCTGGATCTTTGTGATGCTGCACATCCTCCTAAGAATTACTCATATCTTTGAGAAGCTCCCGCCTGTTCTCACGCAGCCTCTCCTTGGAATGATCGCTTGTTTCTTCGCTGCTTTGGCCTTGGTCATCGGTTCTGGCGTTGTCTACGCCAAAGGGAAAGATTACAACATCGGTGAATTAAAAGCTTCAGGGATCTGCGGTTTCCTTTCTGCATTGCTCTTCTTTTGCGAGGGTGTTTATTTCGTCTTTCGTTACCGCCGAGCGCCAAAACATCGTGCACAAGAGAAACCAATTGAAGATATTGAGGCTGACGATTTTGTACAGCCCTCCAAGCCAGCCTACTGAGCTGATTCACGCGAAGTTATACAGGTCTGTAGAAATTATACGCATCTGTAAATGTGTATATATTAAAAAATTTTGTAAAAGTTAAAGCACTGTTCATATTTCCATAGGTTTTGGTTATGGGTAGCATTGATATACAGCGATTTAATTGGGTTTAAAATTTTTGAAGTAGGTAATCGCGTTTTTCAAAATAGTAAAATCTGGGTTAAGATGAAATTTTTTGGGGCCCTCTTTTGAAGAGGGTCGTAGAAAAAATGTATTTATTGAATATTTTACATTGAAGGCGAGGGGCATGAATGATTTAGTAAGCAGTAATCATTCACAGAGTTTTTCTGTGTAACTCTCAATTAGATTGGTTTGGAATGGAATTTTAAATCTGCTGCCAATCATGTGTTAGATGCTTAGCTTCAAAACTTCTATTTCATGGCAGGTCACTGCTTTATTCCAAGCTGAAAAAAATAATTGATACACTGCTGCATTGATGGATACATTTAGTAAAACTGTAAAGGAAAAAGAACTCATTCTAATTTGTTTGAGGGACAAAACATTCAAGTAAAAAATCTTAAAGCATGCTTCCGGGAAATCTTTGGAATTCTTGTAAATATAGCTGTGGATATCTTTTTGGTTTGTTGGACATGATCAGGCTTACAAAGGAAAATCTTGGTCCTTTTAAGGTAAAAATGTCTCAACATTGACTCAGATAAATTTGGCAGGTATACATTGCACTAGTTAATTAATTAAGTAAGTAACTTTATTTCAATTGGGGTTGCTAATATGCATAGAAAAGAATGAGGAAATAACAAACAACAAAAAAATAGTTCAATTGTTTGTTCAGTTATTTGGGTTTTGGGCACAACACGTGTGACTTGTCTTTTGGGGCCAGAGTTCAAGTCCTTTGCTACTTTGATCACCTTTTTCTGTATCCTTGTAAAGTTGTCTCCAGAGGGGGTAGCTACTTCCCATACATTCTCTTAAATGAAATCGAAATGATGTTCTAACAACTTGCAAAGCAGTCTCACTGGGAATTGTCAGGGGATAGCTCCATTGCAGACAAGCCCTAAATAGTATCAGGGAAAAACATAGCGGCTAACTGAGGAAGTAGTTAAGTTGCCTGGCAGGTAATTTTTTTAAGGATCCGAAGATGCTTTTTGTTTCGTAACAAACATCAGGCTTGGATCAATACTTGAAAAGGTTAATACTTTTGGTTAGGTTGATTTATGCTGTGAGAGTTTAGGTAGGTCTTTGCATTGTAACACTTGCAAAACTTAGACTCAGGGCGTGAAATTGCGCCTAATACAGGCGCCAATGCGACTACATTTTTCACTTTGGCGACCAAATCCTGAAAGTTAGTCGCCAAATTGGCGACTATAACGTTTCATCATAACCTTACTAAGAGATATAGTGAATTAAATAAATTTGCAAAGATAAACCCGCGGCAAACTTCCTCGTTAAGTTTGTTTCCAAAACGTATCACATGCATCTCGATCGATAACTAGACGCCATCTTGGATTTAGATGAACCTGAATGTTATATATCATACATCCTAGTGTCCACTTTGTAGCACGTTAAAGATATTTTCCCTAACTTAATTTTGGAGGGTCTATCTAGAACGCTGACAGCGTAAAGAAAGATTTTGTTTGTCTTTGAAAATGGCGACCAACTTTTTTTTAATTGGCTACCACTTTGAAGAATTTAGGAGCCAAGTGGCTATCAGAAAAAAAGTTAATTTCATGCCCTGTTAGTTAGTAAAAAAAGGATTTTCTTTGTCGTTCTTTATGCAGAAACAGAGTACCTTACTCAAATGTTTTTATTTTTCAGAATAATGATTATAATTGTAAAGTGCTTTGAGCTCAAAGAAAGGGCACTATATAAATCATAACAAAACTTTATTTAATACTCATAAAAAAGACCTATGTACAGTGCTTCATTTAAAAAGAATTAAATTTGTACCTTAACATCTGTTAGAAAGAAAAGAAAAAATCATAATGTCTCAATATCTCTTGAACTATAATCCACGAAAATGTTTCTCTACTAATTATTATTACTATTACTATTAGCAATCACTACCAATATTTAACATCTTTTCACTAATTCCTCTTTAAAATCTGCCAACAACGATAAAAACATTAAATAGTAGTAATAAATAAAATGCAATATTCAATATCTTTTCTCTAAATAAAAATCTAGCGTCCTAAAAGTCCTGCTAAAAAAAAAAAAATAATAATAATGAAATAAAAAGATATATATGAAGTAAGGAAACACATCAATAGTCCGATTTAATGGCTCCCTCCTCCCTATATAAATCATTGTATTATTATTATTATTATTATTATTATTACCTTTTTGAAATAATGTCAGTGAAATGCTTTGCTGACGGGAGAGTAAAATTGGCAAAACTTAAGTTTTGCTGATCTTGTTACTCCAAAATTTCCATGTAGATGCATTTACAAGATGTGCTCAAAACATTCTGTGGGTACTTTTTCCTGCTTTTCTTGAGCAGTGTAGCTCAGTCTGCTTTCAGGTTAGCATGGTTTCATGTTTTCTGTTATTCAGTTAAGTGGCAGAGTATAATTCAGTTACAATTTGAAACCAAACATGTGAAAAGAGGAATGGAGTGTTTTTTACTTGTTTGGAAGTCAGGCCATGGTCGTAATGCCAACTTTGAGCCATGTTGTACATGTACATCATCAATAATGTGGTGGAAACTCTCCTTGAATAAGAATGGAAGAATGGCGGCAACTGAGTCTTTCCCACGCTTGAATTTCTGACCTGAGGTGGGATTTGATTTTTAAGGTTCCCTGCAAATTCAAATAGGCTTTGCCAAAGAAAAATCAACAAACAGGCAAAAGAAAGGAGCTATCCATGATAAACAATTTTAATATGATAAAATTTTCACACTGTGGTAGGAAAACATCAGTAGGATTTATTCAAAAAAAATTTTGCATGTAAAGGATTCAAGCAGTGCATGGCTTAGGGAGCCGGATGACAAGCCTAAGAATTGACCGCTTTACGTGTTACGTGATCAAAATTTCTTTGTCCCAGACCTTGTGGCTTCCCTCCCCTCCAGTTGGTCTCCCTTTTTTAGTTTCTGTTAACTTTGGAAAGCTCATTTGTGTTTGTGGCCATTAAAAGTTGTTCATGTTGCTTGTTTGGTCTCTTTCAGGTATAGGAACACTCTGAAGACAGCTGTTTATTTGAATAGGAATTTTTAAGCTGTACACTGGTATATTATTTTTCATCAAGAAAGTAGTGATGTGTTGTCATGTTACACAAATGTTTACAGTTTGAAACTGTGTGCACTTGTTATTAGTTTTTTTTCAAGAGGTTCAGCTGCAGATCATAAGTAACTGATAACCTTTCCCATTTGTAGCCAAGGCAGAATTTGCCTTTCCAGTATTGATACAATGTCAAGCAGACCAGTGAAATAAATAAATAACAATATCAATTAGTGGCTTATTAATTTGTCCAGTACCAAATTATCTTATCAAAATTATAAGAATTGTATTAAAGACAGTAAGGAGAACTACTAATAAGATAATAAATGAGTGGTTATAGAAAAAAAGAGAGACTATCTTAAGTTTATAGATTTGGTAGTGGACAGTCATTATAGTCTCACAAAGACGAAGTGTTCACCTAGCATAGCAGTCTTGAAAAAAGTAATTTGAATAAATTTTTAAGAAAAAAGTTGTTTTTAAGAAGGTTTCCAAGGGCTCCTAGCTTAACTCTTTTCAGAGTCACCATTTGGAGACATAAACTGTTAAAGAAGTGGTTGCTAGAAATAAATTTGTTGTCACCAACCAAATAAATTAAAATGGAAAAAACATCTTGTGCGTGCAGTGTTACATTATATTTTATGCAAGTATCTATTTATCTCACTTAAACTTTACATTATAAATGCTAAATGATAATCTTTGAATATTGTAATTAATAAATAATTACAGCTTGGTAGTTAGCAGCCAAGTACAAGATGCAGAATTGGTAGCTTTATCTGTACCATCAGAGTGTGTACTGCCTTTGCTCTAAGATGAAATTCTGTGTAGTAACCAGAGGTTTATGTATGCACTGATGTATTGAAAGTAATGAAGCATTTGTCAACTAATTAAATCCCAAACCAAGGTAAATCATGCACTACACACAGTCTCACATGCAAGCTTCCTGTGATCCCTTGAGATCTTAAAATTTCAATGTCACTCAAATAAGGTCTTAATAGGTACAAAGCTTTGATGCCCATGAGTGACTAGCATCTAATTTCCTCTTGCAGTAACATCCCTGAATCACATGTCAAGGTCATGAGAATAAATGAAATGATCAGAAACCAAAGAAGTTCTTGATTGTGAAACAAATTCTCCTCGTCAGCCCCTCAGGAAATAGTATGTATAGTAAGCATACTGATTTTAGGGTGAAAAAGGTTCACCTCGTATCAGCCCTTGTCGCTTTTTTCGCTCACAAAAACTTAACGCTTCGTTCCGAAAGCATCACTTCCCGACCGTACTTCGTATAGTAGAGTTTCCATGCCGACCACTGTTGTGGCTTCACAGTTGGTAGGATTCCAAAAGGCGTTGCATGGAATTATTGTCAACCGGCGAAATCAAGTCGCGCCGCAATTGCGCGATGAATTTAATTGAAAATGAGTTGAAATTGAATTCCTCTGCTCTATGTAAATCAACGGAAATCTAGAAAGTGAAATTTCAGTTTATTGTTAACTGTGGGTAAAACCAAATGTGGCACGCACTCCCCTGCACTACAGGGCGGTAGGAACATCGCGTGACAGCTTGTATTTTAAGAGGGAGGTTGAATTGTGGAGGAAAATCATGGAAGTCGTGAGTTTCTTTTGAGTTAAGGTCGGAGAAAACTTAAACTCACCTCGACTGATGAGGCTTTTTCTCGCTTGGGTGAAATCCTGCATCCTGTGTCGTCATAGGGGGTGGGTTTGGGTGACATATGGCTTGAATCTCATTGAAAAGACGCTGTCAAACCTTCACTATCGGTCTCTTGAATGTCAACATGGCGGATCAGAGAGGGGACGGTTTTATACAGTTTACCCTAGACTATATCACCAAGACCTGGTTAGGCCGGCTAAAATGTACAGAGGTGATATTTTCTCTTCTCGCTGGTGCGTGTGGAGCAGGCGTTTTATCGTGGCCGGGTTGCAATTGTGTTAGTAAAGTAAGTTTCTCCAACTTCATCGCATGGACTGCTTTCGTCAACGCGTTAATCGACATGATTATACATCTTGCTGGTTTATGGGAAAGGCTTATTTGGTGGTTCCGCCATCCTACTTTGTACCTAATCTTATGTGGACTGGCTGTTGTGGGTTTTTTGATCGGAGCGTCCCTCGCCGCTTCTTGTGCAACACAAACCTGTGTAAGCAATCCTGGTACAGCGGGAGCAGCTGCTTTTTTCGGTTTCGTCTGCTTGGCTTTGTTCGCAGCGGAGTGCTGCATACACTTTCAGAAGTACAGGAGTATGCAGCTAGAAGCACAGCATCAATCTTCAAGCGGAGGCAAAGCTCCAGATTTTGAAGAGCCACCACCACCTTACTCTGAGGCACCTGGAGCTATTTGAGTGATCGAGTGCTGTTTACGTGGACATTTCCGCTAAGATCATTATGCACATTTGACATTTAGCTTAGACATTTAGTAAGAAAGAGCACTGGAGAAGACATATCTTAGGACTCAAGATAGACTTACATAACTAACATCAACTTGACATCAATTTTCATCAATCTATGAACAGCTTCGCCATTTTTGTAAACCTCGAGCTCCCTTTAGATCTTACTTTAGCTGCTGGCGTGATCGATCTTTCCTGTATTGCTTTATTTCTATTTCTCTTTTCTTGTAATAGTGAGGAAAATTTCTGTCTCGGAAACAATCAATCAATGATCTATCCATTCGTGCAGTGCTGTTATGTAGAGTATAAATTCAATATATAGTAGTGTTACATGTAATACCAATTTTCACGGCAAATAAATAAAATGTAGAGAGTGTGATTAAATCTGCTCTCTTACAAAACTTTAATTGGAATTCTGAAATTGTGCTGGAATTTTCTGACAATAATTTTTATTCACCAATTTAAAGATGCACATCCTTCAGCACAAAAATTCCAGGTGAAATTGAACAAGAACCAAAGTTGGGGAAGAAGGGGGGAATTTTCCTAAGCAACTGTGGTGCTGCATTAGTGGAGGTATTGAAAGACAAACCAGTCTTTTCAACTGAGTTGTTATTGTAAATTGGTCACTGTAAAGAGTTTTTTGCAGACATTTCAAGCGTTAGCCCTTAATCAGAGCTCTGAAATTATCCTGCAAAGTCTGGTAAGTTTTCTTGTGAAGACAAGCAGAAAGATAGGTTACAAAGCAATTGCTTAGGAATATACATCTTTGTTCCACTCCCCAAATGAAAAAGATGATTAACCCTTCCAATTCCCATGAGTGACTAAGGCAGAATTTCTCCTTACAATATCAAGCAGACAGTCAAGTGATCACAACAACAGAAAAATATCAAGGGGGATTATTAGTTGATCCAATAACAAATTCTCCGAACTAACATTATAAGACTTATGAGATCTTAAGAAGGAAAGGGTATAAAGAGGGAAAAAATGCTTTACTATTCAGGGCCAATTTCTCTGTGGGCTGGATGAAGGATTGGAATGTTCAGCAATTGAGTGTTGATAATATCTTGCATCTGAAAAAGAGAGCAAGTGAGAGATATTAACTTGAGAAAGTAAATTCCTGTTCAGAAGTGGACATGCGATGATCTGTGTATTATTAATATATTGATTGCATATTTGAATTAAAGAAAATATTGACACATTGTGAGGACACTGAATGCAGAGATCTCCTGCTTGAAAACTCAGCTTGCAGAAAAGCTTTTTCAACCTCTGAAATGAAGAATTAAGAAAACCAGTTCTCATAACAAGTAATGTTTTCTATTAAAAAAGTTGAACTCGATCTTGGTGATATTTGTAAATGTAGTAAAACCCTTTCATGAAATGTGAAACTGTCATGTAGACATACCTTTTACCATAACAACACTGATAATATCACCAGTAAAAAAATAGTTTTACTGCTCATGATGAGGAAATCATGGTCTTGCAACAGGGAATTGTGGCATTTCATCAACATCTGTTAAAAAAAAATCATACAATTATAATTACAATATAATTACTATATGTGATATTTAGGAAGTTTGACTTCCTCTAGATAAGTCTCTTGGACAAAAACATGCTGATTTTTGCCGACACACTTCTCTCCATCTATTGCAAGTCTGGTAAAGGCTTTGGTATTTTGCTGTGCCAGTATTTATTTATACTCCTGAGTAGAGAGAGACACAATGAGGACTGCTAGAGCCTAGCACACTAACAGCTCAACCACAGAACCCCCTTAAAAAAAAAAAAGAAAACTACAAAAGCTTGTAGTAATCAAGATCAGATTAAGCCCTCTAATGGAATGGTCATGGAATCCCCCAGTATTCTAAATTTTGTGTGTTTTATACCCCATTCACAATAAAACTTTAACATGTTTTAGAGATGTTTTGTTATTGACAGGAGAGTTTAAAATTCTTTTCTTTATAGAAACTGCTTCAACCGATCTTTGTCGACTTCAAATTTAGCACACTGAAACTTCAAGTTAGTGATTTCTTGAAACCTATGGAAAATTCAGTTCTTCAATTTTCTGTTTCCAAGTTTCATTTAGTTAAATCCGGTGTAACAGAACAATTATTTTGCTGGTGTGGATGGGGTTTATATTATTTCTGATGGAATTTTCCTTGCAATTGTTGAGCTTGGTTATAAGAAATGTTGAATATTAGGGCAATCCAGATTGTGAAACCACCTATGGACGTTGACTGAAGGCGTAAGACTTCCCTGTGGCACTATACATCACAAACATCGCGTGACAGCATTATTGATCGATGGGTGAAGATCATTCAAGTCTGTAATTTTTATTTAAGTTTAACTGGAAAAAACCCACTCTTGTTCACTCGCTGTTATATTCTTGTCTTTATGGTTGAATTATCATGATAATGAAAATCTGAAATAAGTCATGCCCCAAGTGTGGGCTGCCTGTGTTACAGGATCTTGCCCATAACAACTTCCGTTAAGAGTAACATGGCGGAACAACAAGGGGATAGTTTTTTTGAGTTTTCGCCAGACTTCATCACCAAGACATGGTTAGGCAGGCTAAAATGTGTAGAGTTGTTGTTTACGCTTTTGGCTGGTGCCTGTGGCTCATCAGTTAGTTCGTGGATTTACATTAATGGCAGCGGGTATGGATGCGGTTGTGTTGGAAAACTTACCTTCTTCGATTTCGTCGCATGGACCGCGTTCGTAAACGCTCTCATCGACATAATTCTCCATCTGATTGGTTTTTGGGAAAAGCTACTGTGGTTTTTCCGCCATCCTGTCCTATTCCTAGTTCTTTGTGGGCTGGCTGTTTTGGGTTTCTTAATTGGCTCATCGCTGACAGCTTCGTGTGCAAAACATATTTGTGTTACAAGTCCAAGCACCGCAGGTGCAGCCACCTTTTTCGGTTTCGTCTGCTTGGCTCTGTTCGCTGTAGAGTTCTTCATGCACTTTCAAGTGTACAGGGATATGAAACGAGAGACACCGCATCCTTCTTCAGCTGCAGGCATGGCACCAGATTACATAGAACCACCCCCAGCTAACCCATAAAACTACCAGCGGTGTTGTTCAGTTGAGTGGTTGAGACTTTCTATTTGTTCACAACCAGTACTAGTTCTTCTGTTTACAGTTTTATATCATTGTTTTATTCAAGGCTGAAAATTTCGCAAGTTTTAGAGTGAGATAGATTGGTCAGGCCTAGAGAAAGACTTCAACCCTAACGAGCAACGTACTCTGCGACAAGTTCTGTCTGCGTCCTTAAATACAGCCTTGCACTCAATTAGATTCCTAACTCCCTGTATTAATATTATATAACCTGTTTTGGGATCGATGTTTTTACATATGTTTATGGACTCACGTATCTTTTTAAGGTAAGCTGAAACTGCTGTTTTAGAGATAATCGATCGACGATTTAATTAATTGAACTGCGATTTACAACCTACCAACACCCTCTTTTATGAAGAGAAAGCAAATTAGGGTGTGTCTGATCTGCTGTGTACTTAACTAATTAAACCACTTAACCTTTTAACTCCCAGATCAAATTTGTAATTCCCCTTACAGTCCACCATACAATTCTTAGAATGTTAGTTCAGGGAATTTAGTATTGGGTCAACTAATTATCCCCAAATTGATATTTGTCTTTATTCTCATCACTTATCTGGTTGATATTGCATTGATATAGAAGGGAAAAATTTTGTCTTGATCACTCATGGGAGTTAAAGGGTTTAATGGCTGTTGATATCTGGCAGCCTTTAAACTTTAATTACAAAATGACTTGAGAAACTCCATAATTAAGAGGGAAGTTTTTGACCCTGTGGTGTTTTTCTAAAGGTATTGATCTCACAGAATTTTCAAATTTGTGGGGAGGACAAAGGTTCATGGCCAGGCTGATAAACCCTTAAACTCTCAGCTTCTGGTTCTCCCTTCTCCCTGCCACATATTACTTTGTAAACTATTAAAGAGAATTTGTTGTTATAAGGGTGGTATGCTCTTGCTGAAGAGTCTGTATTTTCTGGAGATATAATCAGAGTTCTTAAGTTAATTTGCTGGGGTGAGACACCTCAGGCCTCACTTACCTGACTGGGAGTGGGGGGGGGGTATGGGAGCATGCTCCCCTCCCCCAAAGATTTGTGAGAATTTCTACTGTGGGTAATTGTTCTAAAGCAAACACAAGAGGAAAAGGAGTAAATTATGTTCAAAGGGAAAGGAACCCTTTAAGTAATGGGCTCCTGAGAGGGATAATTAATTTTATCAGCACTAACTAATTAAAGCTGTGGTTTGCTATGTCAAAATTAACAGTTTAAATCAGAAACCCTGATTGTATGAGAAATAATGACTTCAGTGCAAAAGCCTAACTTTGAATCGGTTTGTGTGAGTCTCATGTTCAATGCATGAGACTTGAGAGCTCTCTGTAATGAGCAGGACTGTCAGTTGAAGTCAGATGTAAATAACTTCTTGGAATTAAATTAAAAGATGGAGTATATCTAATAAAGTTTTTTCAGGAGCCCAAAATTCTGTCTGCCTTTCATTTTTACTTACATGATATTCATAAATTTCAGAAATTTGTACCCTTACAAGTCAAAATAAATGTCTAAGGAATATTTTGTCTACAGTTCTGACTGATGTATGTCAATAGTTACAATACCTTGATAAAGTATTGTAACCATCAAACATCAGGTGAATGATAGTAAAGGATGATGTAAAATTAATGTATTGCTTCTGTCAGCAAAGTGCATATAGTAAACAGATGTATGGAGAGCCACCAAACAGTTTCAGCATGAATTAAGCTGACCACTTGCACAAAATTGTTTAGTGAGATTGAAATACCACTGTGTTGGATGTAAAAGTTACAAATTTGTCATTAAGACTCTCTTTCAAGTGTTATAGGTCTTTGATAGATGGTGGGCATTTGAGTTTATTGCTACAAAAATTTCCATACCCAGGAGCCCATCACCCGGCCTATTGCCATCTCTCCATGTCCAACCCTACCCTCTGCAACATTTCATCGGTTTCAGATCCCGCGCGGTAGGTGCCAAACTACCCATAAATCCAAGCTCATAGGAAAAATCCAAAATGTCGGCGTTCTTCTATACATATCATCGAAAGCTCCACTGTTTAAATGTAGATGACTACGTGGTGGAAAATGGAAAACAGCTGAAAAAGATCGCATCAGATCTTTGTGGGGTAAGTTTTGATACAAAGGCAGGGATAGCTTTATCTTATGAAAGCATAACGTGTTCGTGGTGGAAGTTTAAGAATAACGATTAACATACCCACGTAAGGTTCTACTGCGAAAACAAATTTTTCCACGGATCGAACATGGGTTGGACAAGCGATTTTTAAATCACATATAGATTGGCCTTAATAGATACTGATATTTACTGTCAGGGTATACCAGAACAAGCCTTGTCTGTGATCCATAATGGCCGTCTTGTCACTGATGACAGAGAACTGCTACTTCAAGATGGAGACGTGTGCTATGCTAGTCTGCTTCTACCGGGTGGAAAGGGAGGGTTTGGTTCCATGTTACGCGCCATCGGAGCACAGATTGAGAAGACCACAAATAGAGAAGCATGCCGAGATCTGAGTGGAAGACGAATGAGAGACATAAATGACGAAAAAAAGTAAGTGGAAATTTTCTGACAGACAAAGCTTGATCATGTCCATCCTTTTATCTCCTATATGACTGACTCACTCAGTTATACAATTCTAGTATGTGTTCAGCACGAGTTTCCATAACTTTGTCCATTAGTGGCTGCCAATGGTTGAATGTGTTCTGTGCCTGAAAAGAGACGGTAAGGTGAAAGCCAAACACGATAACCAGCTCATATGCTAAACAGACTGTGGTGAGAGTTCTTATAGATAGCAATAGACTGCTGGAAACCTCTTTTATGGAAACCCCATTGTGTTAAGCCAAGAAAGGCAGAAGGGAAGGGAGCAGTGAGTGGAGGTGGAAGAAGTTCACTGTCATATTGACTAAACTGGTGTGTACTGTGTGATATGGTATGGTTTTTATGATCCTCAGTCTGAGACATGAAGATTTACCACTAAGTGTCTTGAAGAAGGGATCTCTCTGTGCTAGAAGCTTCTAATATCTAAGTATCAATACTCTGGATTGTCTGTGATGAATTTTTATATTGATTTTAGCTCTAAGAAGTTGGTGCTGATTCAACTGGTATCCAGCTTTTGATATTTGACTTTCTTCTCATCACTATTATACTTGATAAAATAATTATATTGGTCACTCCTAGGAGTGAAAGTGGTGGGGTGTAGTTCAATAAACCCTTTAATTCCCATGAGTGACCAAGACAGAATTTCTCCTTACAATATCTATACAATATCAACCAGGTAAAGTGTTGAGAATAAAGAAAAATATCAATTTGGAGAGAATGAGTTGATCTAATACTAAATTCTCTGAACTACCATAACAAGTATTGCATGGTTGACAGTAAGGGGAATTCCAAATTTGATCTGAGAGTTAAAGGGTTAATAAATTTTTCATCTGTGTTTCACAAAAATGTCACCTTTATGAACCAGGTCCATGGTTATAAAGCTCTGTATTTTGCACATAATTTTGATGAACTTTTAATCTCTTGTTATCTTCAAGGATTGCTGAATGGGTTTCTAAACAAGCTGAAAGAGAGCGAGAGAAGGAACAGAAGAAACAGGAGAGGTTAGCAAGAAGAAGATCAATGCCAAAACACATGTTTGATGATAAGACATACACACAGAATATTCAGCAAAATTCAGAGAGAATAGAAGCTGCACTGCATCAAGGTGAACTACTTGCCTGAAATTTTCAGGAACCGTCAAGAAAATGCTGTTTCAAGATGTACCTATACTTAAAAAGCCAAACTTCTATTTTTTTATTACCTATTTCTCTTTATTTTGGATCCGTCCCAGTTGTGTCCATCCTCCCATTTTGTTCCATCTCTTTTTTACTCCCTGTAAAGCTTCCCTTCCACTTTAAACTGAATGTTTTCTGGTTTTTTTTTATTACTCATGTCTTTCACTATTTTCTCGAATTCTATGTTGACATCCATACTTAAATTGATAAATTTAGAAAATTACAATCTTTTTACTTTCATTCATTTTTTTTTTTTTCACATGTAATTTTATTTCAGTTGTAATATGTAACACCTAATTGGCTTATCTATTACCTATAAAACTGTTTTTCATTGTTTCAGTATATGCATGCTGTCCTACTCATTTCCTCTGTTCAGTCAAACTTGTTATTAAAGAATTTATTTTGATGTTTGTTTCTCTCCGGCCTCAATTAGCTTCACTATTTTGTGGGAAGCAATTGTGAGATATGTATTTTAATTGCTAAAATAAATAAATTTTTGTTTGTTTGTTTCAGGGCTTAAAGCAGCTGGCAGTTCAAGATCATCAGGTGCTTCAAGCACTTCAGAGAAGGCAGCTGGAAAAAGAGTTCATCCAGGGGATCCTACAATTTCAGGAGGAGGGAAAAAAAGTAGATTGTGGTAAACAGTCCCTCCTTATGCTCTCCGAGGTTTAAATTTTTGTCCTTTCCATCGAAATCCAAGTGATTACATGAAGGAGTTCAGAGGAAAAGAAGAGTCTATTAATGTTTTGTGAACTGTTTAATATGCAGTTGACCTGAAATTTACTAAAAACCACTGTTGTCTGTCTGTCTGTATAAGAGCTTTGTTACCCTGGAATCAGAAAAGATGTTTCCAAAAGCATTTTTTCTTGTTTTTAACATGAACATGCTACATTATGTTCAAGTTTCGTGATTTGAATAAAAAAGTTTCTTTTGGTTTAAGAAGAAAATTGCCTTTTAGAACTACTCTTTGACAGTTTTTCACAAGGTATACTGGTATGTATTTCTTAGTAAGGGCATCAAGGTTTGGTTAGGCAAAAAATAATTTCAGTTTGCTTTCAGGCTGGGAATGGAAGACCTGTCAGACAGTGGTGATGATGAAGAAGGGATGGCTCCTGTCAGAAGCAACGATAATGAAGATCCAAGCAGGCACACATGCACTTCAACTGGTGTGTCTTGTAGCAGCACTCAAGTAGAGGTTGCAGTCCCTGAAGAGGCTTCAGACAACAGACATTGTGTAGACACAGATTGTAAGATAGCAAAGCCACCTGCACAGCCATCAGAAACAAATGCTGAGTCACAGAAAGAAGACACAAAGACAGAGCATATTAGAGCAGCTGTCGCTGATACAAAAGATCAGAGAGAAGATTTTCAGGAAAAAGATGGAATGACAGAAACAGTTACCAGAGGAGAAGACAATAAAGCTACTGAAGAAGAGACCATTAGAAAGGTTGGGATTTTAAATATTAAATCAAGGTTATCCAATTGTCTGTACTTAGATATGACATCCAAATTTTCACACCAGTTTCTAATAGGGGGAGTTTATTTTACAGAAAATTAGGGATAAAAGCTCAGGGCCTGCTACCTTAGAGTGGTTTTCACTCAAAGTAGGCTGTAATAATTGTGGTATAAAATTTAAGTTATTAATTTGTGATTGGCATCCTGTTCAAAGTTACTCTTCTGAGTAGTGAATATTTGAATCACCCTGATATTTATGCTGATTTATTTATTACACTAAACTCACCAATTGATTTTATTATTACAAGCTCAGCTATGCTAGGAGGGCAGAAGAAGCAAACCCTCTCTTCTGGTTGGTTACTGAAGTCCATCTTGCCACTTGAGATTTCCCAATTTGAACACCCCCTCCCCTCCCTCCTTCATAAAAAATTGCTCTTACATTAACCCTCTACACCCTAACATCAATATTCATATTTTCCACTCTGTTCTCTATACATTTCCTAAGGTGCTGACAAGGAGAATTTGTCTAACAATCAAGAGTTTCTAGAGTTGGTGATCATTTCCTTTATTCTCATGACATTAATGCTAGATTCAGAGGTGATAATGTAAGGAGAAATTAGATGCTAGTTATTCTTAGGGATTGAAGGGTTAAGTAATTGAAGTAAGGTTCTTATTTTGTTTTTTCTTTCTAGGTTGAGTTTTGCCTTGATAGCTGCTCATCAGCAGAGGAGCTTGAATCCCTAGGATTGGAACATCTGAAGGAGGAACTAATGTCAAGGGGGCTCAAGTGTGGAGGGACATTACAGCAGAGGGCTCAGAGGCTGTTTGCTACAAAAGGAGTCCCCATGGATCAACTGGATCCCTCTTTTTTTGCCAAGTCAACAGGTGGCAAAAAGTCTAATGGGAAGAAGTAACATTAAAAGAGAACTGCACCTGGAATTCTGTTCATAGTTGTAATCTTGTCAAGTTCTTAGCATGGTATTCTATCTTGCAGTTGCAAGGCAAATGTATAAAAGGTTTAAAAGGTTTAACAGCCATGAAGAAGTTACTTTACGTTTTGCAACAGAACAAATTTATTTCAAAATGTATTTAACTTTTACAATACTTCAGCGTTTTCCTAATAATATTATGCGTTTGTTACTTGAATTTTACATTGTATTTTCATTGCTATTACATTAAAAAAATTAATGATGCTGTCACTTTTAAGTGCCTTAAACAAACCACTTAAGGGGGCATGTAAAACCCCAAATAAACATGACAAAACAAACAAAATGTCATGGAGAATGAAAGGTTATAGGGAAGGTACTGTTACTGTAGTTACTTTAGCATCTGCTTCTTAGCTTTGAGCTAAGGGGTAGTCAGAGATACAGCTAATATTTCCTTCATTTCCTAACAAAAGAGAGGCTATTCTCATGGTAGCAACTTTCTTGGGGTAAGCACTCTTGAGAAGTCACTATTTGCCAGATTCCATTTTATTCTTTAACTCCTTGACATGATTAATATGTAACTTCCTCTTGGATTTTCATTACACTAATCCTTCAGACTGGGAATAAGAACAAATAAGGTTGTTGGGTGGAGGACAATGTCTCATTCTATTATGAAATTCCTTGATCTTTTAAGCAAGGGATTGAATGACAGTTAGAATGGAAAGTTACTAATTTGATCTTGGGAGTTGAAGGTTGATAGCATTTTTCTGATGCTGCACAAAAATTAAGAATCTACAATAGTTTTTTTTCATTTCAATTCACTTTTATTTGGGAAATATCTCAAGTTCAAGGTCACTCTCATAAGCTCATTTGACTCTTGATTATGTATAAAGATGTATTAAATGTATAAATTTTGAGCAATTTGTAACTTTTTTGTCTGTCATGTCTATTGTGGAGACCACACTACAACAAAGTATCAACTGGAAAACTTGAAGGGTTGATGTGTAACCAATTGTTTTCTTGCATAAAAAGGACTTTCACAGGTTTCTTTTTGTTTACCATCACATCTAGAAGAATGCAGTCTGGTGGTTTTTCTGTGTTTATGGAATACGCCAGTTTCCGCTTCTGTTTGGGTTTAGTCAATTTAACATAAGTTGTACAGTCCTTTGTAAGAAAATAGAAAGAATACAATATTCATTCAAAAGGCCTTTAGGCACACAAAGGAGATGTTAACCCTTCAACTTCCACATAAGACCAAGACAGAATTGTACCTTAAAATATCAATACAATATCAAGCAGATGAGTAACGAGAATAAAGAAAAATATTAGTTAATCCAACACCAAATTCTCTGAACTAACATCAAAAGAATTGTTTGGCAGACAGTAAGGAGAATTGTTATTGAGATCTGGGAGTGGAAGGGCTCTTAATTAGAGTATTAGTTCAAGATTTAGACGAGGTCAAAGCCAGAATCATCTATCATGCACTGAAACAGAGAGCAAATATTAACCTGACTGTTATAGTGTAAATCTAAAAGTTATCCAAATAGAACTACAAGAGAGACTTAACTTTTTACAACCACAATGTGACAGGCTCCTCATTTGACCAATTACCTATCACAGAGCACAAGCTAGTAGCCCAGCTAATCAGATTATAGTATTTGTAAGAGGATGCTAGCAGATTTATACTAATATGAAACCTAGCATTATGAACAAGGTTACGAAGATCAAAGAAAACAAGACCCAAGGTGTGCTCTAGCACAAATTGTGAGTGCTCTAGATACCCACTGTTTTGGAGCCAATCTGTGGGGTTAAGTTGGGGTCATTTGCTTCATGTGTACAGAGTTCTGAATTTACAGTCTGAAAGTAACAAAAACATGGTTAATACTGATATGTTTGTTTTTTTCTTTTGTAATTGATTAAATTAAAAATAAAAAACAAAATGAACAAACAAACAAACAAACATTCACTTCTTGCTGGTGTAAATGAAATTAACAAGCTTAAATTGCATAAAGAACAAGAAACCCAAGTACCTCCTCGGTTTAACTGGTAATCTGAGAAATGAGAGAAAAATGTGAGTGACTAGTGATGAGTGCAAAGTGTGAGGGACCTCAGGAAGGAGAAAGAGGTCACTAATGTTTTACTATCACAAATAATGCCCAAGCATCTAAAGGGGTATTAAGAGATACAATGGACTTTAAGGAAAGAGCATGGGTAGATGCCCTTTTAGAGTAGAGAACTGAAAGAGGAGGTGTTCTACCTTTTGCTTGTTTTTCTGCTTGCAGTTTTCTTTGTCTGTCTTAGCCCTTTTAGGAGATTCAATCTGTTTGTTGTCCACGGGCTCCTCTGAAAATTGAAAGATCACTTTAATGAATTCCATTTGTAGCACCATAAATCTTGGCACTAACTAAATATTAAATACTGTAACAACCACAGTTCAGAACTTGTGTACTATTGCTATTTATAAGGGCCAGCCACCAAAAAACTTTGCAAGATACTCTGTTGGTTTTAGCTGAATACTTCTTTCTCAAGCCTAGGACCCTACTGATATGTGACCATAGAGATTTACTGCAAATTCTAACAACACTTCTATCAAGTTTTAAGTTATTAACAACTCCCATCTACTACAAAGCTTACAAAAAAACCTGTTGTGTCTGTATGCTGCAATTAATAGCTAAAAGGCTTTAAAACTGAGAAGTCAAGACTTTCTTCTAAGGAAAGAGAGTTCCTTAAAACCATAACCACAAACAGTCTTTGGCGATCCTACAGAAATAAATTTAGTCAAGAAAAAAAAAATTTATCTCTAGGACACCTCTGGTGAATGCAGCAGCTGGAACAATCTTCAATGTCTGAGTAAACAAACAAACACATTTTAAAAAGCTTACCCAATATGGCTGAAAGGTCTTGAGGAAAAATGTCTTTCAGTTCTAAACTTAAGGCATCTTCTCTGAGGGTTGAATTTTGAGGTTGCAACACTTCTGACTCTGCAAAACTCAAGTCCAAGTCATCTAAAGAGTGGCATATTGTCATGGACTTGATAGTTGCTTGTTTGGCACCAACAGAATGCCCACTTCTACAAGAAAGACCCCCACAAGCTGTACAACAAGACATTGACCTTGAAGAATATGTAGTTGTGGAGGCTAAAACCTTTGATTTCTTCATTTTCTTGACATCCTTGGGTCTGTAATAAAAAGTACGCAATCAAATGAAACAAATAGCTGTTAGTAATGGGAACAATCAATTCATGGAAAATGCAAACATTTGAAAAAGGTATATGTATTAATTAAAACATTTTAACAAACATTCAGTTTTTACTTGTAAGCATTGTGGTATTATTACCAACAATACATAAATATGTGCTAAATTGCATTTCAATGGACTACATGCACTGTTTCAACCACACATTTTACACTACAAAATTATAATAGCCTGACTATACTTACTGCATCATAGGAATTTCAAAGTTATAACACTGCTAGTTTATATTTGTCTCATTATTTCTCATCTAAATTAGTTGTATCACCATCAGACACAGGTCACGATGTCATAGATGTTGGAATGCAAGTGCAGCAAAAGACTTCCAGTATAACAGTTGTAACATTGCATGCAATCACCAATGGAAAGTGACTTTATATCATGGCTCATATGACTCTCTATACAGTTGGTGCATACCTCTCTAATTCTGCTTTGTATATCTTGCAGTCTTTATTACCCATGGAGCTAACTTTGGCAGCTGAAAAGCCCCTAAGGAGCAGCCTTCTGTCTGAAAGGATACATAGAACATTTTTCAGTACATTGTAAATTACCAGTAATATTTCAATTCTTAACTTCCTCTTCATAAGTTGCCCTGCTTTGTAGTTAAAGGTTGAGAAGAGCTTATCAACTGTAATGGGTGATGAAGCCATGAAAAATTTTAGGCAGTTGAGATTAATCTAGACAGCCATCTCACAAGTAAAGAGCTGTCTTCACTTAAAAGATTGTATTATCTTGTTTAGTTGTTCTATACTAGCTAAAATTTGAAGAGTGATGATGTTATTTTTGACTGAACCTTAGCAAGGAGGGAAGCAAGCTAAGGTAGACAAATCTTTTCTGTTCTTGAAATTTTTCAAGAAAAAAGCACATTCAACTCCCACGAACTCCCAAGATCTGATCATTAATTCTCCCCTCAAGCTGCTACAGATTCCCCTGTAAATTAGTTTAGAGAATTTGTTATTAGGTCAAAATAACAACTTCTTCCAGATAAGTTTGAGTATTCTCATTGTCTATTGGCTGACTTAAAGATGTAGATATTATAAGGAGAAGTAACACATGACTCACTTCTTGGAGTTAAAGGGTTAAGAGAGTACAATCTATTACGATTTATATAATAAGCTCAGTTATGCATGCATTCTGATTGGTTCTCACTTATGATCTATTGGAGGACAGACGTATAGACAACGTAATCATTAAAACTTTTTTAAATTCTTTATTATATAAAACAAATAGATTCCAAGTTGCCGTGCGTCTGTTTAGTAAAAGATCACAGAGGACGTCAAAATGTAGTAAGAACATCAGTGACACACTCGGCTGCGCCTCATGTGCCACTTTTCTGTTCTTACCACATTTTGACGTCCTCTGTGATCTATTACTGAACAGACGCACAGCAACTTGGAATCTATTTGTTAATTTCTTACTGGATTGTCTTGATTGTGGTTCACATGGTGTTTGGCTTAAATTTTTTTCAAATGGTATGTTGGTTATATTTCGGAGTGCCAGAGTAGACCCTCGTCTGGTTGCAGGTCGGGTGAGTGTTTTGGAACCTTTGAAATAAAAACAAATTTAAAATGGCTGATGTTTTGCTGCAGCATGTATCCAGTACCCTTTTATACTGATGTACATAATATTTTTTAGTATGTTATGTTACCAAGCTCATTGGTGCATATTTATGTCAACAAGAGGATTCACACTGGCTGTTCAAACAATGTTTGTTTTTCTTTATGGTTGAAATTTCAGACATAATTGGGTTTAGTTTTGTATCCGGTTAATTAATTAAGTTTCATGAGTTTTCTGGACCAATCATAGAGTAAAGAAAAGCAAAACTAAAGTGATCCCAGATTACTTTTGACACTCAGCTGAAAATTTCTCTACTAGAGCTGATATATATGTTTGCCTATTCTGCTTTTCTTGTTACCTCTTAGCTGATTAAGAAAATTATGAGGCCCCTATTCAAACCAGCTTGAAGCTGAAATGAGCCAGCCTGCATAAATGATTATAAATATAACCAACAAATAGAATTGTACCTTTCTTGCTCATGTCTTCTTTTAAGCTCATCTCCTTGCAGGATGGTAACCAGTCTATTTCGGGGGTATCAGGTGTAAGAAAGTGCTCCTTCTTAGACAGTTGGATTGGATGATTCTTTGAGTATGTTGCAACCGTTTTTTTCTTAGTACTGGTATCTGATTTCATGCTTCTGAGATGCTGACGTAGCATTTTGTTCTAAGGAGGTCACCATTAAATATTAGGCCAACAGTTAAATATTAGGACAGTAATGATAATGAAAATGTTAATGGTGATGAAATTATAATTATCAAGGCCAATAAAATCTAAATTAATGGATAATTCATTTTCATCATCAAGTCTCAAAATTGAAGTGAGACTGCAGACAACAATATTATTAATAAAACAAACTTTCATATCACCATTGTTATGTATTAGGTAGGGCTGGTTTCCTGGCAATTCCCCCTCAACCCTTGGCATTACAAGCAAGAGTACATTCGAAATAAATCCAGTGCTTAATTACAACCAAAGGAGTTCAAACTTCATGTCAGAAGTAATGCCTCTCCTTCCTTGGAGGGAATATTACTACATTGTTGATTTGGTATATCCAGAAGAGAGTGCTCCCGACAAAGGATTGTTAGGCCACAGGTCATAGACACTTAAGCAAGATGACTTAAAGGGTGCATCAGAGCAATACCCCTTGCCCACAGACATAGGAAGTGTGAAAAGTAAGATCTGCCTGAATTTTTATTAAAATAAGAACTAGTAATTCTTGATGACACCGGCCTTACGCCTCCCCCCTCCCCACACCCCCCCCCTACAATTCTATTGAATGGGATGAGCTACTGTTGAGTGAATTTTGTCAACTGTCAGCTCTAGCATGAAATACCTCAGGTCATACTCACCGATAGAAGGACCTTGATTGACTATATGAAGGATTTCTTAAGTAACAACGCAGCGGTGCTTACACACGCAAATATGCCTCGAGGAAAAGTCTTCAGCTTGTCTATCTATATATTTTATCATTTTAGCACCTTCAGATACTTGTCTGCGTTTATCAGCAAAGTAAAACCATCCATTACTAAACAGAGTCGTACAACTGGCCCATGAAATACCCTCTTCAGCTATCAACCCAGCCAAATCTATCCAAAAAAGAAACCTTCAGCAATCGCCTCGGGGCCGCGTCAGCGTAACCGCAGGAGGACTGGAAGAAAACTCCGATTTTAGCCGACATTGTTCGGCAATAGCTTTCGTCTTGCTACGAATAATTTGATTGGCTCGAGTTTTTCCGACCTTACCGTCGGTTACTGCCGATCAAAAATGGCGGGAAAAACTAGCCGCAGAGCGCGGGGATTTAAGTGCAAATATTTCCAGAGAAGAGGAAAACGGAATTCTATTCTTCAGTGTTCTAGACAGGTAACCATTAATTTTCTGTTATTTTTTTTAAGGGAAAAACATTTCGTCTAACAATTTACCATACCGTTCATTTTTCGCAAATAGATGTCCCTCCTCTGAATTTATATCCCGTTTTAGGAATACAAGTCTTCGAAGTACGGATTACCTAGAGATTCTCCTTAATTTAAATCTAGCGAACTGATTCAATGGCTTTTACAAGTAGCGAGGACGGCATTTTTCACTTTCTTCCGCCTCAAATTTCTCGCGAACAATAAGAGGACCTCAATTAAAAAAAATACTAATACTAAAACCCCGCGCAATTAAAATACTCCGTGGAAGAACTCTAGTAGTGACATGCCGCAAACTTGGAATCTGCATATTTTAGGTTAAATAGTTTCGTTTCTTTTGTGTTTATTCCTTTATATAGCTTATTTATTCCTTTTTTATCTTACTCTCGTACTTGTTATATATTTAGGAATAAGGCTATTACAACCTTATGTCATCAATGGTAAAACGCTGTCTTTACCAAAAAAACAGTTAACGCTGAATTTCATTAGCTTTTAACGTACGAAAATAAGCTTTAATTTGACTGACATCAAGAATCAAGCTATCATTTATATCTACACAGAAGAGTAAACTGAAACCATCTCAAATGACTGTACCATTCAGTTACACGCAGTCTCCGTTTCTGTTTCATCACGTTCCAAATTCGCCATTTTTGTTGTCAACCAGGAGACCTGCGACACAATCACCAATCCCATTGGTTCCCGACGTCGAACTCGCGAGAAACAACAACTATTCTTCAAATAATGTACTTCGAAATGGTAAGCCTAAGTGTAAAGAAAAGTTCGAATCTGTGCAAATGCAAGAAAGTTTAAAGAAAGCCAAAGGAATTGTGGCAAGAGAACAACTCACCCATCCCTACACTCTTGGTAGAACAGTGTTGGTGTTACTCTTCATTAAATAAAGGAAGAAACGTTTGTACCTTTTTTATACATTGGAAAGAAACCAGCTGTCTTGCAAGCTAAGTTTTGCAATTGTTCTCTTTTCTTTTTCTGACAGGAACTTTTCTTTCTCCCACACCTGTAGTCCCATCAAATTCCAATCCAACAACACCACAAGCAACTCCAACCAGGAAAAATGCTTCTTCTGATTCACAAAGAGGTAAACTCCAAACTTTCAAAATAAATTATTTTTTCTATATGGCAAGGTAGTCCTGAGTTAAATCGAAACCTTTTGATTGGTTTCCACTAAGTCCTTGGTTTTGTTTGCAAAAGCCAATAAATTCAAGATAAACAAGTTTGGTCCAAGTGCCATACTTACTGACTGCACTTGTTCAAGCTGTACTGCCATGACCTCAGGCCAATATTCCTCAGTACAGTCCTCACACATGGTTAGTGCAAAATTAGTAAAATTGATAGAGTCCGGCAGCAATAATTGAGCTCCTTTGTATTTACTATGAAAAAAAACAACCACAAGGAAAGGACAAGGGCTTGAAATATAGACCTTTGCATTGAATTGCACTCATGAAATGGTAAACACAGGGTAAGATCCATTGTAACTTCCATAGTTGTTAGTTTTACATCAAAATGTTACATCTCTCAAATCCCTGAGCAAAAATGGTTTTTAGCTTTTGCTTTTATTGCAGTGTCAAGTAGTTAAATTGTGTGGCTAATGGCTTCCACAAATTTTAAGTTCATCATTTGAGTACTCTTATGGGTACATGCACTGGGTCAAAAGTTTAGTTTAGATCTTTTTGGGCAAGAGTCAACCACTGAACTGTGACATGAGAAAGAAGTACCCTTGCATTTTTTCCAGAACAAGTTGTTCCACATTTCTCTCCCATGATGGAAAATAAATCACTTAACAGAAAGGAAAGGAGGCTGGATATGTCACCAAAGCAGGGTACAGTTCCAGAGATTAACCTGTTTTCAGGGGAAGAAATATTTGCTTGAAGGCCATCCTGACCCTTCACACATCTCCCAATTGTACCTTGTGAAAAAACAATTTTTAACATCGAGATCAGGATATTGTATGGTTCTTAGCTTTGAAACAAATCAACATTAAATTTGGTTTTACTCAACTAAATCTGAGGTTAGATATTGCATGCATATTTACAAAAATTTTGTTGAATGTACAGTTCAGTCAGAGTTTTGGATGTACATTATGCAACAGTAAGTTATACAATGTTGGGCATTAGATAAAGAAGTTTGAATGAGTAACAACTGCACTTTCATGAAAACCTAAAATTTGGAATGTAATGGTAATCATTCAAACTTGTTTTTATGAATTAGCCTCTATTCCAACTAACAAAAACAGAAAATTGGGGCAAACATAATGTAAAATATTTGTGCACACCGTCAATAAATTATCTTTAATTCCAACTTTATTTGGTGCATTGCAGCACATACTTTGGTATTACAAATACAATTAGTTGAAGTTCTTGGATATTTTTGTTACAGACTTTTATGAGTAACTTTTTTAAACACAGTGTACTGAATATATTTCCCACAAATTGTGCAGCTATAAATAATTTTAATGAATTGTTGAATAAATTACCCACAAAAAGAACTGTTTGAAGTATTAAATTTCTATTTATAATTTCTAATATCAATATTTCTTGAGCTAGCAATTGATGATTCATGCTTTATCTGAGAGAAAACATCCAGGAATATAAACAAAAACAAACTGAAAAACTTGACCTAGAACTAATAAAGAGCAATGGAAAATGATAAAGAACTGTGCATTAAAACTTTGATCATTGTGTCAATGAGTTAATTACTACAGTGTATTAGTCCAATTAAATATTGCATTCTACCTAATTAGATACTAGATTTCCTGAGTTTCCAAGTGTGTTTAATACCAGCAGACATCAGTGGAGTCACATGTTTGAAATTGAGAAGATAGCCAAACTGTTCAAGCCATGTTCCCTACTCAGTTTTCTGTTTTCTCTTCTTCTCTTCTAGTGCTTTCTCATAATTTTCTTTGGCAACTGCAATGCGTACCCACTTGGGTTTTTCAGACACCAAACATCTTGCTATTACAGCACACAGTATCAAGAAATGCTCAATGCAAAACACAATAGCCACAACATACCTGAAAAATGAAAACAAATTGAGATTACCAAGTGCAAATTAATAATATTAATACAGAAAACAATGGGAAATGTTATGTGTTTCTTATGATCTCATTCATCCTACTCACCTTCCATATCCAGAAACAATGAACTGATCATTGTCAATGGTCTCATACATCCAGGGACACCAAACAGCAAGTTGTTCCGAAGAAAATCCAACAATTAAACTGTTTGTAAGCATGGAGAGGACCATCATCTGGTAAAGGACATTGTACCACACACCAATATTGGATACCCTGCGAAAGGACTTATAAATCTTAGCTTAGCAACCACACGGAGAATTCTAGGACAAGATATTGAGGACTTCTTTTTAATGACTTTTGAAGTGACCAAATAGAGAACTTTCTTCTCTTCCTGGATGAAATTATTCCTTGCCACACCACTCTTACATAACATTCACTCATACAGCGAACAATGTAGACAGCGAATGTGTTTAGGCATCTTTAAGCCTTTAACTCCCAAGATCTCATTAGTAATTCTCTTTACAGTCTGCCATACAATTCTTATGATGTCAATTTGGAGAATTTGGTATTGAACCAACTAATAATCCCCTAATTGATATTTTGCTTTATTCTCATAACTTCTATGCTGATATTGTTTTGATATTGTAAGGAGAAATTCTCTCCTGGTCACTCATGGGAGGTAAAGGGTTGATAAGGAAACAAGGAGCTCCTGGGGGACAGAAGGGACAAATGTCACTCAACAGCTGACCAGTTGCAGTACAGAGGCCTGGGGCTAATTCAAGTTATTTTGCAGGATAACAATAAATTGTTTTAGTCTTCATTAGTTTGAGCCAACAGACAAGTGAAAGACAGTTTGAATTTTGAGAATTTAGAAGTTCTGGGGTACTGTGTACATGTTCATGTTTACCTGCAAGGAACTAACCCTGGACATACCTTCTTACTCGTGGTCGTTGACACACATAAAGTAACTTGAACAAATCAGCTCTTCCCTCTATGAACAAGAACACGATGCTCACAACAGCAGCAAGTGGAAATGCAGAGGCAAACAGTGTCACATACTGGTGAACAAAAGAAATTGTTGATTAATTGCTATTGAAATTGCTGATCCTTGAAGTATGCAGTACATATGTTGTACATGAACTTTGTAATGGGCCTTGCTCACCATATAGTTTCTGCGGCTCAGTGGTAGAGCAAGGGAGCACAGAATTTGAACAGAATTTTTCTTTGTCCCACGCTTGAGATAAGACAAAAAACATCTTTCTCTATTTCTTTACCAAGCTCAAAACTTACCTTCTCTCTTATTCTAATAAATTAATAAACATACTTGACTTAATTTTTCCATAATATGTAAAATTTAAAAGTCAGGAATCAGTGAACTATTGGAATTTAAAATATACTCTCCTTTTTCATGTTTTTTGTACAATTACCTAACTTTATAACCAGATTAATTCTAGTCCTAAACTGCTAATTTGAAAAACTATACTTACCCCAAACTGTACAACCATTTCCAAATAATCATCAAACTGTTCATATTCCTCTAAAACAATGTCCCGCTGAGCCTATCATTAGAAAGATGTGCTAATTAAAATTAAGACCAGACAACCAGTAGACCAAAAATATAATTAAATTGCATCAAAAACAAGGAAAAATTAAATCTGAAGAAAACAATAATGCAACTTGTAGCTATGTTTGCATTATAAATGGTAGATAAAGGATGAACAGATCAGTGTATTCACCTGAGAAGGAATAAACGTTTTCTCTTCTGAATCCTTTTTGCTTTTAGCATAATCTCTCTGTATTTTCCATACATGACCTTTCTCTGTCAAATATGGGAGAATTGATTCTGTTACTAGGCGACGAATTTCATCACCTAAGACAAAAACAGAAAGGCAAAAAAGTTGGTGAATCTAAATATTGAATCAGTGGAAATACAACTGCAAATAATCCACTTTTTGCTCAAATGACATTCCCAATTCCCCCACCCCCACCCAAAAAAAAAAAAGTGTATCCCAAAGGGGTATAACTTCACTCACACACTTACCCCAAAACAGTCCAACAAGTTCTCTCCTCAGAGCAACAACATTGAGCTGGTAGAATGCAATGTAGAAGAGAGGAAGGAAGCAGTCAAAGACCTCAAACAAGACCCGTTTTATTATAAGAGAGTTGTCCCAATCTTTTTCAGTCCTGTAAAAAACAAGAGAAAATTATAACAATTGAGTTCTTTCTGTAACAAAGTACAAAATTGTGTTCCATTGTGGAACAGAAAAATCACCCAAGATGAATAATCATTCTGTCCATTGCCATATCTATTGCTTAACCCTTTGCACCCTAATATCAGAATACATATTCTCCTTAGTGTTCTCTTGATACATTTCTGAGCTAACAAAGAGAATTCATTTCACAATCAAGAGATTCTTTAGTTGATCATTTCCTTTATTCTCATAACCTCAATGTGTGATTCATGGTGATACTGTGAGGAGATATCAGATGCCAATCACTCTTAGGTGTCAGAGGGTTATTTGCAAAAAGTAATTTAGATTCCTAGCACTTAATAAATAAACATCCTTTTCATCAAATTTCATTTATATCTCAATGTCTTAACCCTTTAAGTCCCAGTAGAGACCCAAACAGAATTTCTCCTTACACTATATGTATAATATCAAGCAGATATGTAATGAGAATAAAGAAAGATATCAACTAGGGGATTATTGGTTGATCCAATTTCAAATTCTCCAAACTAACATCACATGAATTGTATGGCAGACAGTAGGGAGAATTACTGATGAAATCTTGGGAGTTAAAGGGTTAAACACCTGCCATTCCTTGTCCAGGTTGAAGAGAACAACTTGGCCATAGTTTCTATTGCTTTAAATCATCTTATGCAGCTAAAGTTTTTTTTGTATATTTGTGTAATAATTTGAGAAAACAGGTTCAAACCATTACCTATGATTTTCCAGATCAGTACAAAAGTGTGCCACAGAACGGTACAGTTTGTTCAAAATATTGATAACCACTGAATGGCCAATTGTAGGGATCAGGTAACCATAGTACTTGTTATCAGCTGCAAAAATGTGGCCCTTATAATGATAATAATAATAAAAAAGAAATTATTAAATGATCAACAACAGTAAAACAAAAAAGGAGACTTAGAGAGCACTTTTCATTCCACCCCTCATACAAAGGCTAACCCTGAATACACCCTACTCTCCAAACTGTTTTCCATACAGTTCCCATGGTACTGACAAGGAGAATTTGTTTAACAATCAAAGCTTATTAGGTTGGTGATCATTTCCTTTACTCTCATGACTCAACAGGTAGTATTACTTTTATTATTTTATGAACATAAAGGAGAAATTAGAAGCTGGTCACTCTTAAGGTTTAAGGGGTTGAACACAGTCCATAACCTTTTTTTTTTATAGGAGTTTTTGTTACAGAAGCAATAAGAGATTACATTACAATAGTTAAAAAGATTTCTGGAGTTACCTTAAGTTAATTATAGGATGGGAAGTTTTCAGGATATTCAAGGTGCAACAGAGTGGCAGAAAGCAGAAAGCAGAAAATTCACAAAAGATCTACATGTACAGTTTTCACATTTTGCAGAAATGAATGAAAGAGGGAGGAATATATGAGAAGCCATGATAATTTAAGATATTATATGAGAAGTCTGAATAATTTAATGTCAGACAAGGTTTCCATCAGCTAAGAAATTTAGTAACTGTCAGATTAAACAATTGTATGTTCTTCAATTCTCAGATAAATATTAATAGCTGAGTAGTGTTAGTTTGAAATATGATGTTTTGATCAGTGAATTTCCATATGCTAAATACAATTTATTTCCAAAGATCAAAATAGGATAATGTACTGTACACTCACTATCACTTACAACTAAGATAACTTGATATACATAAATTTAATAATGGGAAGATGGATAAGTAAAATGCAGTTAAAATTTTCTCTTTGTTTAAAATCTTGTTTAAATTAAGATTATGATTAATACAAACAAAGTAAATTACAAACAAAACTAGTTTGGATAAACATTTCAACCAAGAATAAAAGTTCACTCAAACAGCTTAGAAACTAACCGGTTCTGCAAAGTAAGCAAAGGATGCAATATAGACAGGACTCTCTTTATCCTTGATGTATCCATTGAAGTTCAGTGAACACAGCATTGCACCAATAGCCAACAGAAGGACTGGTAAGGTCAACATGAAACTTAAACCATAACGTAGCCATCTTTTCCATCTGGGAAAATACTTCTCTGGTTTGCCAGTTATAGGACTGGGCCGTATTTCACCAGAAAACTCAGGACGAAGCAGTTCTAAGTGTTCAAGGCCATGTGTTCGCCACAAAAAAGAATATTCTGATTCTTTTCTTTTCCATACCTGATAGTGAAATAAATTGATGTTTAATATTTAACAAATGATCCTACAAATGAGCAATAATTAGTGAGCTGAATGGGAAAAAAAATTGCTTGAGGAATTAAAAGAAATGATGAGTTCACAAGGCCATATATTGAAAAAATTAATTTCCTGACATGTCAATAAGTAATTGGTAAACTTACCCCCCCTTCTTTCATCGCTGAAAGATTAATTAGTAGCTAAAATAATTTAAGAAATTAGTAATCTGATAGCTTTTGTAGAGAAGTTTAATGGTAAATTTGTATATTTTCACAATTGACATTATCATGATTGTAAAACCTACTTCATGTTAAGTAAAGAGTTAACCTTTCCACTCCCAAAAGTGATTGACTAGTAACTTCTCCCTTTAGCAATTCCACACATCATCCAGCAAACAGGTAATGAACATTAACTCAAACTTATCAGGTAGTTGTTATCTTGATCTAGCCCCAAATTCTTGTAAATAAATTGCAAGGAAATATGTAGCAGCTGGAAAGGAGAATCAAAAGTCAGATCTTGGGAGTTCAAGGGTCTCAGGAGAGGCCATGATCTAATTGATTATCAAGTCTTACTTACTGTCAGAAAGCTGATTGCCCAGAAAGCCATTAGAACTTCATACAATGGTAACAGAGGGTTGTCATCCACAGTGACACCAGGTGGCTTGAAGAAATACAACAGGACTCCTGCAAAAGCTATTGGCACTAAAGTCCAGGTGAAACATGTCATCCATCCAAAATAAAATGCTACACTTTCTCCTACAAAAAAAAGTTACAGATTTATTTAGAGTGGAACCAATTTTGCTTAGCTTCCTCAGAGACAGATAAATGCCCCCTATACATTAAGAAAAAAACAACAACAAACAAACAACAATAATAACTTTCTCAGTGAATAATAAGGAACATAACAGTGTCTGAAAGAAGGAGTGGGGCACTGAGGATAGTATGATAGGGACATCAAGGATCATAGGAACAAAGCAGGAAACTGGATAAGATATCTACAGACACATTCATAGTATAAAGATATTGAAATAAACAGTTCTTGGTACTGCGTGTTTCTGAATTAAAGATATTTCTCCCTTTTAAGAGGGTCTGTTTTTATAATCAAGACAATTATCAATGTTATTTTTCACAGGCAGATCATGGGTCCTTTCCAGTAAATTTAGCATGTACATATATCATATTCATTAGTCTTACATTTCATTTCAGATTGGTACAGTTACAGATAAACATAAAAGCAATCCTAACATAATATTCATTTGATAAAGGTTCACTTTTACCATAGTAATCTCTAATTTCTTGCAAGGGACAAACAATCACATTTTGCTTCATTTTGTTCCATATTTTCTCTTGTTCGTGGGGTTGATGAAGAGGCAAAGCAGACTCAAAAATTGGTGGCTTGGAATGCAGCAAGTCTGTAACAAACGAACCCTCCCCTCTGAAGGTAACACCAAGAGACTTCAAATGCTCCTAACAAAGAGGAAATAAAGTAAAGCAATTCATGGTTCTCACTGGTGAGACACAATTTAAGCAGTTGCAGAAATGAAAAAAAATCAGGCTTTGATAAGAGTTGAACCTGTGCCTCCCAGATACTATTTGGGTGCTACTACCAACTAAGAAACTAGGCTACCAAGCCACACACTGGGAGTAGCACATTTTAAAGAGTTCTTCTTTCTCGTGGAAGAATCTGATCATAACTTTATTTTTTACTTAGAACATTTAAAATTTAAGAAAAAAAATTGTAAACAAAATGATAATTGAATGTAATTTAATGTCGCACAAGGTTTTTATAAGCTAATAAATTTCATAATTGAAATTCAACAATCATGTTCTTCAATCCTCAGATAAATAAATAGCTGAGTGCAGCATTTTTGCTAGTTATTCAAATAAAAAGCTGCATTAAGTCATTGAAACACACCTGACAAGAGCTAGTATCATGCACTGTTCAAGGAGTAACCACAATCTGTGGCAAACTTACCACAATCATTGTTTTCTATGGTCTAGTAAAACATTATTTAGGATCAACTTACCCTGTTATACTGCACAGATTCCAAGCAAATCTCAAGCAGATATGCTCTTTCAGCTGGAGTGAAAAACGTTTCCTGATTTTCATTTCCAACATACTCACTAAGCCTTTCAAAAACAAACTGGCAAATCTGTGGAAAAATTTGTGAAAGTTGCAGCAATTTCAAGTTCATCAATCCTGTGAAATTTTTTTCTTCTAGTTCATTAATGAACAGCAAGAAACTCATTGTTACTGGCAGACAATAGATGGGCTTGATAAAGGTACCCTCTTCTCTACCCCCTCCTGTTACCTACTACTTTTTGGGGCAGGAAGGACAAAATGTAGCCTTTTCTAGGCTTTCAGTAAGTGGGCACTGGAAAAAGAGTGGAAAAGGAACAAAAATTGGTTGTGCCTGCCTGATCCTACTGTTTTTCACTCAAAGGAAAGGGTAAAGCCAGCCTAAGTATACATTGAAAGCAAAAAGAAATAAATGAGCCCTTGAATCAATTGGGGTTGGGAGAGAGGGGGGTTAGGAGGCCTGTTCAGAACAGAAAATGAACTACACCCTACAAGTGCTTCATATTGGGTGAAAAAACAAACTCGAGTCATTACGGGTGTGGCAAAAGAGGGTATTCGGGTGTAAGTAACCCCCCCCTTCTCTTTGTCAAGAAATGGGAATAATTTATTGCAATTAAAAAAAGTTAATTAAACCCTATCATCATCATTAGCACTGCCTTTACCATTATTTTGTGGCGGAAAAGTACAAAGTACAAACTTATCGGTACAAGTTAAACAATTCTGACAGTTTACACGCACTAGTTTGTTGCAATATATCTCAGTCGGATCTGGGAAATATGAAATTATAGCCTCTCTAGTTAAACTCAATAATTTTAAAGGAACAAAAAGCATAATAACTCTCCAAAAGAATCGATATTTCTAAGATACACGAAGTATTAAAACGTGGCCTATGCTAATATTGGTCATTAATATTAAACAAGAATAAAAAAATCTGCAGTGCATCCACTTGCAAACAACCACGATAAACGTTCCTACCTTGTTTTCAGCTGTTGCTCTTTTCTCCAAACCGGTCTCTTCCGCCTAAACAAGAAGTTCTCTACTCAGTAATATTTCTTGTTCCTTAACGGTATCGAAGGCCCAAATAATTTTTTAAAAATACTCTTTGAGCAAAACAATTTGTTCGCTATCTGACCTAAGCACCAGCCTCACCTTCTGGGCAAGGACATCGAACTGAGCGCCGATGGTTAGTAAAGTTTTCCCTTCAAATTCCTCTCGGGTGACACTAAACTTTGCAGAATTTAGACAATCGATGATGTACTGTTTTATGTCTTCTTTGTGGCATTTTTCTGAGAAGCAAACAAGAAACTCCCCGACAGTCATGTTTAGATCTCTAGCTTCTAGCTTTAATTTGGGATACAGCCAAAGCAGTGTCACGCTTTACATCGTGTGACAGACTGGTCAAGGATTACCTTCCCTCCCTCCCTCGGATAGCATCTTAAGACTCATCTGCAACCTAAAGGAACGCACCGTTATTTAATTTGGGATCTTTTCAGAGAGGAAGACTGTAATAAAGTATGGTATTTCTTTTAACTTTTTAACTTTTCTGTCAGTGAGCTTAGACCGCATCTCTTCGCCAAAAGAAAACAAGAAACTTCATCCCCAAAGCTACTAAACTAAAACATTTCAGTGGCACAATTTTAGCAGGAACGACAAAATAAATTAAAATAAAAAGGTACGGGGGATAGCCGATCAGAAAATTGAATATAAAATAAATTATGATAAGTGGATAGTCTAAATTAACGTCACTGGCTGCGGGTATTTTATCAAGTTAAGCTATCATTTGGCGGGTACTTATACCTGGAACCAATTCCATTCGAAATCAAGTCCCATGTTCTTATGACAATAAACTGGTTAAATATACACTGACAGATTCATCTTTGTTCGTTTATTTCTCAAATATTAAGCCGACCAAATTTTACTAACTTACTCTAAAGAAACATTTCTTCCAACAAACAACGTTTTTCTCAATTTATTTCACCAAGAATAGCAAAATTCTATATTTCCTGTCAACTTTTCTCTTCAAAAAGCGATTTCATTTTAAACTAGACTTGTATCAATTGAAGTATTCCCTGTTAAATGTTTTATTACCTGCGAGCTAGAAATTCAGTGATATTGTGACTGTCTTACAAGCATTTCTTTTGAAAAATGAAAAATCACAAACACTTCTCAAAGCAACAAAAGACTAATGAATAGAAGTATGCTTATTTCATTCAAAGTTTCACCTATCGAATCCCAAAGCTACGGAAGGTTGTAACACAATCGATCGAAAAATAAAACGCGTAACATCTTTAAACAGTTATAGTGATTTGTGCTCTTCCTCCTTGTTCGATCGAAGACTCTTACCAAACCATAACACTATACCGCAGTTAATTACACAAATAAACACCATAAGACCTAAACTGTTCCCAAATGTTGCAATTGGGAAACGCTCCAAATCGTTTCGTCTCGATTCCATTTGGATTTGAATGGCTGTGAATTGATCCGCTGCCCCAAGAGCAGTGAAAACATGGAGGAAGTGATGGCTGTGGCCAACGAAATCGAACACACCGGGTATTAACCGCTCAGGCATTCGCGACATGTTGGCTAACGCGGAAATTAGGTAGAAGACCGAGTGACGTCGGAAATAGGAGATGGCGAGCTGCTCTTCCGGCGTATCAAACTGGGATGGTGAATCCACAAATACACGATGTAAATATGGGAAACTGTTGAAGAAAAACGCTAGCACAAAGCAAAGCGTGCGAATAACGTATTTCATCTTAGGCCATCTGTGCCTCGAGGCACAACAGGTGAAGGTTGAGAAAACGGAAATTAAACATGAAATCGCTAGGAAAGCGCTACAGGAATTGAACAAAGTGTCACTACTATTCAGAGAGCGACTGTAGAAGTAGAATGCTTGTCCTGCTCCGACACTGTAAACACTTATTGCTGAATAATCGAAGAAGAAGCAAATGTGTCGTACTCTCGGAGACATGGAGTTGAAGAGATGTGCTCCAGAACTCATCAATAAAAATCCGCAGATTCCAATGGCAAATGATAGCAAAGGATACACATAGGCGTCCTTGATAAGAGAATATTTCGAGAATAAGAACGCAAAACGTACCAGGAAAAGCAGAAAAGGGACAAAGTGTGTCCAAACGTTGACAGTTTCGTTCAGTGGCAAGAAAGCACTCTTCACACAATCCATCGCCGTACTGTAAGGTTTGCGATAGCCAGAACAGATGAACATTTCGCGGAATTGAGCGGGAACTTCATCCGAGCGCAGGCCGAACTGTTGCCGTTTCTTCTCCATTTTGGCTTAGTAGCTAAAAATAATTTTACAATTCTTTTCAGGGAACTCGCTTGGTACAACTGATAATTTGGTCTCAGTTCACGGCGTGATACTTCAGTTTTTTTATTTCAAGCCGGTGAAATAATTGTTCGCAGTAGTGCTGCACGTTCATTGGCTGATATTTAATATTGTGGTTTTCCTTTCATGAATAAATTATGTATTAATAATTAGACAGCGTCTCTTTTTGAACTACTTGATCTTGCTTTCTTGAAAAAAATGTTGCATATCAACAACATAATTCAAACTTGTGAATTTCGTTTTTTTTATTATTTTTTTTCTCTTTCCTGCAATCCCAAACGTACTGAAATATACAAATGTTTTGGGTACATGATTTTCCATTGAAAGAATAAATTGGCCTGGACTAATGGAAATTTGGATTGAAGAACAGAAGTAAATGTCAGTTAGGTTGACCAAACCTTCCAAATTAAATAGACAAATCTTGGGAAAAAGAGTGTCACCAATGACCAAGTTGTTAGTACTTTCAACCACTAACTGTAATCAATTTTGAGCAAAGAAAGGGGAACAGACTGGAAAATCAGAGTTTTCACACTGTCCTCTTCTTGTCTCCAGTGGAACTAGTGAGGAAAATTTGTGTGACAAATCAGGAGCTTTTAAATTGTTGATCATTTCATTCATTCTCATGACCATTAGATTGATTCAAGCAAGTTTATTGGAGAAATTTTCAGTCAGTCACTATTAGGAATCTAATCATAAAAAATTACAATTTCTCCATTGTGATTGGTTTTAAAGACTCCTATTTTCCACAAATTCACTTGCCAAGTTTTTATTGGACAGTTTGTTATCAGACAGTTCAATAAGCCAACCACACTCAAAGTTGTAGTTTGAATCAACCAATCACAACCTTGGTTTCAATCACCACAGAAACAGTGCATAGACTCCTAAATTTGGGCTTTCTTCAAAATGGAGATTTTTTCCCCCTTGAACAATGACAATATTTTAGAGGACCAATGATTTTGTTTATCCTATGGCACAAATGTTTATGCCAACAGTCCAGATTGCAAATCTTGGCTATTCTTCTTTTTTCAGAAATTGTAACTTTTATGATTAATTGGTAATAATACTTTATGTCCTCCAATTCAGTCTGTAATCATACTTGTAATAAACAAATCAGACTCCCACTACACAGTCATCCAGTTTTGTTATCACTCATATGATTATAGACTGAATTGGACTCTACTCAGTCCTATTACCATTACAAATAGTGAAGAAATGCAAGTGCAGAAAAAATTGTGTGAAATAAGTCAAATAATACTAAGAGTACAAATGACATGTGAGTTGAGTGTAAATATCCTACAATATTGAACAGTTGGTTGTTTTGCACTGTAAAAAAACCTGTTTAACAGGTTGGCTATGCACACTATGGATATCAACTATAGCAGTTGGATAATAAACAACTTTTTAAGTCATTTTGGTGTGAATTACAACTGAGTACTTTCACCCCTTGTTTGTATTTTGACTTGCCCTATGGACTCAGTAAAATACAGCCATGACCTGTAAAAATACAAAGTGATATACGCAAAAACTACTAAGAAGGTATATTTACATATCTGCAACTATGTATCATGATTTGTCAGGGTTTTCAAACACTTGAAAAAAATAAAAGTCATTTGGTTTTCTCTTTCTTTTGTTTGGAAACCCTGATGAAACACTTGCACTCATTTTTGAAATAGTACATCAATAATTTTTTTCCCTCCTTTAGAATCTAAAACAATATCACATAGAGTTCTAGCACCAGCTTTCGTAAATTTAGCTATCCTTCAACCATTACTATCTACAAATTATCTGAAATATTTTCATTACTGTAACTATATAATGCCACATCTGAGCAAAGTTATTCCTTGTTATTCCCTTCCTAATATATTTCTAAAAATCACTATTTGTCTGTAAATCATTTTGCCTTGATTGCATGCATAATATATGTGAATTTAGCACAACAAAAATTGAAAAAGTACCTACTTTGAACAGGCCCTCCCCCCTCAAAAAAAAGCTAAAAAATGAAATAACTCCTCTAATAATAACATCTCCAATATACATTCAACATTCTTCATGTTCTTCATTGGGTGTTGTCATGTAACACACTATCTGGTAGGAAAGGGGAATAGGTTTGTGCCATGGAAAGACCAAAAAACAGTTGCATAGGAGGCTTCTGAGGCACTGCATTAAAAAAAACTTAAAAAATCCCATGTCTCTCTTTAAAGCTCCTCCAGAGAAATATCCACAATCAGTTAGAACTGGTAAGTCTTTTCTTAAAGAGAACATGAGGAATCAATTAATGGTGGAACGTTCACATAAATTTCTGCTTCGACGAAAAGTTGACTACCTACAGCTAAGATGAGGCTGAGGCAATTCATATTGCATCTCCACCAAAGTTTTAAGCTACATGAAGCTTCCATTTGTTTTCTGTTGTTAAAACATAATAACACACTCCACTTCTTAATCCTTCACTTCCAAGATATCATTAATAATTCTCCTTACTGTCTACAATACCATACATATGATGTCAGTATTTCAGTATTAGATCAACTAATAATCCCCAATTAAAACTATAACAAAATTTGGGAACATGATTGGTTATCACCAGCCTGATCAAACATGAAAAGGACAGTGTACACATCATACTTGTAATTGGATAGTACTCATCAAGTGTGGGTGCTGTTGCCATGCATTTTACAAAGCAAAAAGTTTGAAAGTATATAACCAATCTGGTTTTTTGTCATAGTTTTGATTAATTGGTAACAGGATTTAATATCATCCAATTCTGTCTGTAATCATATGCCTAATTGACAAATCGAACTCATACTTTTTGGTCATTTGATTTGTTAATCACTTGTATGATAACAGAACAAATTCAACTCCACTCCGTCCCACTACCATTACTCATTGATATTTCCCTTTGTTTTCATTCTCATTCTGTCTTGGTCACTCATGGGAGTTACAGGGTTAAAATAAGTGAGCCATATGAGGTGGTGTGCTCCTGCTTAATAATCAGGCTTGTGAACTCAGAATTTAGTCAAGGGCCTTTTTTGAGCCCTGGCTGTTTCATGGTTTTGCATGTTGGGTGAGACACTTTCTCCTCTCACAAAGCTTCTCTTCATCAAGGTGTATAAACATGTTCAAGCAAACTGTCAAAATATCAATGGGTAACCCATGACAGAGAAGCATTCTCTCCTGCAGGAGAAAGGATACTCCTAAACACTACCTCGTGCAGTGTTAGGGCCACTACCTCCATACAACATAAACCAAACATGTAGTGTAAAACACTGCAACATGTAATGTTCAACAAAAATCTATTCTCCATCCACAAAGGAATGTCGACCATTTTATGTTGATTTACACTTGCATTTGGACTTCTTTGAACCTTTCATCAACTTTACCTTATCATCAGTCTCAGCCAGTTCAATTTTAATTGTACCAAGGTCAACAGACCTTGTGAGAAGCTGAATCATTTTTTTGAACATGTCTTCAATATCTCCAACATCTAAAGCACTGACCTCTAAGTAGCTTAGCCCATGACATTTGGCAAGCTCTTCACCATCCTCACGAGAAACTTTGCGATTCTCTCCTTGGTCGATTTTGTTGCCAATGAGAATAATCAAAGCATTAGTTTCAGTGCAGTAAAGGCGAGCTAGGTCAAGCCACCTGGAAATGTGCTGGAAAGTTTCACGATTTGTTACATCACACACCAGAAAAATGCCATGTACTCCACGAAAATACATGGCTTGCACTGCAAAGAACTGCTCTTGTCCAGCAGTATCAACTACTTCTAAATGTACAAACTTGGAGCCATACTTAAAGGACTCAATGTCAACTTCTAAGCCTATGGTCATTGTACTCATAAAAATGTCATATGCAGGGTTTCGAAAGCGCTGAAAAAGGCATGACTTCCCCACTCCCCTATCGCCTATGAAGAGGATCTTAAATTTGTAGTCATAACTGGGTTGACGCTGCACCTTCTCAATTACAGCTTCTTCATCCATTTCATAAGACTCCGAATGCCGCACTAGGTTCCACTTGTGCTTCTCTAATTCTATTTTGATATCTTTAGCTGATGGACGACGACTGCTTTCGTTCTCCAAACACCTGAGTACTAAACTTTGTACTAAATGATCTCCCATCTCGTTGATGTCGGCTTTGCGACGTTCACGTTCACTGATCTTCTTCCCGTCTGAAAGAAATTAACATAACAGAAGAGTTATGTTAAAATCTTTACAAGAAATAATTGACTAAATCACTTTATTGAAACACTTTAATGTAAACCAGGCATTTTGAAAAAATGTTCCTTTAGGCAGGAATTTAATGCTACTAGAGTGTGATTTTGTTGAGTTATTAGAAAAAAGATAAACAATGAACTTCTTGTGATGATGCTCTAAAAGCAAGATGGCTATTAGGCCACTTGAGTAGAATACTAGGACATCATGTGTGTGTGGTACATACATTTTCAGTTGAGTGAGGGTAACAAGTTTGTCAACCACATTTTGACGTTAAAATCATATTGTTGTCATGGGCAACTGGCTGTTTTTCCAGTAAGGACATGTCTATGGGCCTCTTTTGGCAGGTTTTCACCTGTGATGGTTGGCAATGCACAGCCATTAATTAAGACTCAGTTACCTTTGGAAACGAGGAAGGTTGCCCATGATAAAACAGTAATTTTATGACCAAAACCCCATCACCAAACATTTATTGCACATCACTCAACTAATAATCATAATACCTTTGGTAATTGGTGAAATTGGCCAGACTTTAGGCTCATGACCAACAGCCATGGCCAGTAACATGACACCAAAAGAAAATATATCTACTTGGGGACCATACTTTGCATTGTTCACGATTTCAAAATTCTCCATAGCTGGATATGTTTCTGGTGCTGCATAAACTGGTGTGCCTCGCACGGGAGTTGCATACATTTCGTACCCTTGGACAAAAACTTTAGCCACGCCCATGTCCGCGATCTTGGCAGTGCCGGTATCTGTTAGTAGGATATTTTTTGTCGCCAGGTCGCGATGGACAATTGGATTTTCTAAGCCATGCATAAACTGAAGACCTTGAATCACGTCTAAGGCTATGCATATCAGATTAATTAGTGGGACTTTTGGGGACGACTTCGATTCTCTAATGAACCTTTCCAGATCACAGTGCAAAAGTTCTGTAATAATTATAGGTAATCTTCCCTTGGGAAACACAACTTCATGGAATTTGACCACGTTCGGATGATTGAGTGACTTGAGGGCATCCCATTCTCGCTGGAACTCTTCTCTAAAGTGGTCGATCATTTGGCCGCAGCTATCATTAGCGAGAACGGCGTGAAACCTTTTCGCTGCCACTTCTTTTCCTTTCCATAGAGCTTTGTACACTTTTCCATACGATCCCCTTCCAATTTCTATTTCTAGCACAAGGTCCTTCACATGAGACTCGAGTGACTCTCCCTCGGCTTGTTCCTGATTCATGCTACGAGTTCGTAACTGCCGGTTCTTTCTTCTTACAGCGACGACTTCTGAAACATGTTGGGCAAACAAGATAGTGCAGATTGTAAATTTAAGGCAAATCAAGTGAGATTTTCCGAGTATGCAGTTAAAAAGACATTAAATTAAATATTTTTAGCTAATATTTCGCATCTTTTAATGTGTCCATGGACGCCAAAATCGAAATATACCATCGCTATGCATTCTGGTTAATGTTATGTCACGCACCTTACCCGGACTAAGTAAAAAAAACAACAACAACAAGAAACTAGCAAAGAAACCTGTCGAGTTCCCCTTTTTGACTAACTTTTAGCCATTTATTGTTTCTACCTCACATAATGGTTAACTTTCCTTGGAGTCGAAGGCGGATTCGCCCAAAAATTTCCGATAACGCCTCTTTTATATTTCCGAAGGCCACCTCGAATGATTACAATGGTTAAGGTTGCGTTCCATTTAAATTTTAATCATGAAACGAAAAAAAATTATCACAGAAAAGTACGATAATTCGTAAACAAATCTCTTTTCTCGTATTCGAGCGAGTCTATTATGTTTTATTAACTTTGATAAGACCACGCCCTTTACCAGGGCATGCGCATAGACAAGAGAATATCAAGTAATTTAGTGTTAACAACTGAGTTGAAAACGTAAATTGGCCATCGTAAAGGGTAAAAAAGCTGACGTTTCGAGCGTTAGCCCTTCGTCAGAGCTAACGAAGGGCTAACGCTCGAAACGTCAGCTTTTTTACTCTTTACGGTGGCTAATTTACGTTTTCAACCCAGTTGTTAACACTAAATTACCTGCTATACTCTCCTACCGACGCAGCACCACAGTTTCTTTAGAAACTAACCCCCTTTATTCAAGAGAATACCAGTTGATATTCTCTTACCCATGCGCATCCAAGATAGAGAAGGAGACTACCCTCCAAGCGAGGAAGGATAGAAGAGAGAGCTGCCCTATTTGCGACGCATAGCTAAGACTTTCAAAGTGGGGATTACATGGACGAATTTTATTGCGCCTTACGTGAGAGGCTAATAGCGCTCCTTTATCTTGTTTATTGGCAAACCTGAATTCATGCAGCGAAAAGGACCGAAAAATACAGCGAATAAGCGCCCACGTTCTAATAAGCACCCTCCCCCGATTAAGTGCCCACTCTTGGGCCGTAATATTAAACAATCGCCCCCCATGAACAAGCTTCTTTTCCCTCCTTCTTCACTCTATTAAATAGTAGGGATACGAATTTCTAATAGGGATCCCAAATTTCTTGATATTTCTGCATAAACGATGCTTAAAACCTTTATTTTTCGTTCTTCACAATAATTAATGACATCGGTCAAGAAATGTTGCCTGAAACTTAGCTTTAAAGAGTTGCTCGCTCCCAAATATTGGCAAAATGTATGAATAATTCAAATCTAACGCAACAAAACACATGGTTCATTCGACCTCTTGCCTGACGATATGAGGGAACTTGAACGAAACTAGCTCTTTTGATTGTATTCTCAGAGATAAACACTGAAGAAATTCGCATACATTGAAGTTTTCTACGAAATCGTTGACTTCCCCGTGCTTGATATGTCCTTGAACCTACATTTTGCTCTGAAAAGCAAAATTGTTATGAAACGCAAAAATCGCTCGAGGTTTCTAGAACCGCAAAAAGTTGCTCCAAACGCCAAAAGTTTCTGTACGTGATATGGTTCCAGGTACGTGACTGGAGTCTCTTACAGAACCCCACCCAATCGTGTTCCACCCATCTGGCGCCCCCCATGACTCAGTCACTCCTCATCTTCAAACGGACGTGATATAATAGCCAGGATGAGAACGTTGAGGAAGATGTCGATTAGAATATTTATTTATATTTCAGTCAGAATGTCGCGTATGGCTTATCTTACAACGCCACACCTCAACTTCAGCATAACGTATGTGCGGCGGCGGCGAAAGTTAAATAATTTGCCGTCGGGGTTTCCGTTCTCAAACCACACAAATTTTGGTGATTTCGCGTTGTTGTTTTGCAAAGGACGTGCTGAGCTATTGTTCTGCCCAGTATGTCTTTTGTACTGCCACGTCCTCGTTGGCGTCACCATAATGGTTTACTTAAGGTTCCTAATGAGAAAAAATCGGGTCGTGAACCGTCCTTGCCCGTTTAAGATATCACTTTAGCTAAGTGATCCAGCAGTTTTCTTTCTAAATATAACTTTCCGTTTAGCTTGAGGCCATACATCCGGCTTTTATGACCTGTAATTGGATCTCTAAGTCACCCACTCACTCAATAATGTCACCTTTTTTAAAAAGATATAACCCGATCGTATTTTCTGCTTTCCGTTATATCTTTTTTAGCTGAAACATAAATAAGTCAGTATTTGCTAAAGGAAGGCGTCATTGCACAAGACTTGACGCCTACTAGAAGTAAAGGGATCAAACTTAGAGTTATTTAAGTTAGATAGCGGAAGTGTTTAAGCTGTAATTCTACAAATCGACTATAGACCAGTCATGCGCTCGCATAGAACTTGTGCGTGTTCCACTGAACATTCAAGGGCGCCATCCATTAATTGAATTATGTAGTGATGCTAAACGGTAACAATCAGAGTAACAGTCGCTAAAAAGTTTTTTCTTAATGATTCAATCACATAAAAAAATAAACTTCTCGTCTTGAGGATCTACGCATTGTATTGTTTATTAACGGCTAGGTAAGAACTTAACTGGTCAATTTGTGGCTTCATGGCACTATGAATGGTCATTTTCATCGAAAAATGCTCCCTTGGTTGGAATCAATTAGATCTTTGGTGAAATCCTTACATCCGGTTTGTTTTGGAGATCACGCGAAATCAGCTAAGTCACGCTTTTCAATTAGAGATATTAGTCGAACGCTTTTCTATGACAATTGTAATGCAGACATTTCCACACCAAAAATGTTTATTTTTGCATGAGTCCTATCCACTTTTCTTTCCGGTTAAATTTTCAGTTTACAAGTACTCGTCCGCCAAGCGCTGACACTCACGACAACCTCGTTAAGTACACCGCTCAAAAATTTAATTACCCGGTCGAGCTGTTGAATCTGGACAATCCTTTATTGCCTAAAGGTAAAATTACCCGGATGGCCGAAAATTACTTAGTGTTGATCAATTATAGAATACACTTTTAATCTCTTTCTAGGAGTATTTAATGCAAATCAGATTTCCCCCTATTAGGAAATTTATTGAGTGTTAACCGAGAGTTTTCCGGTAACTGAATCCTGAAAGGCCGGTGACTTCGGCCAGAATCCAACCATGCACGATCTTGTTTCGAAAATTATTTTTTCAAAACTGGAAAATATATACTGCATATTCTCATTGAGTTTTAATAAACTTTTCAAAGGAAGCAATGTTTTCTGACATTTCCTTACTCTAGAATATTTCCATTAGTACTAATACTACATAGGGGTTAGACTGACTCCCTCTGTGTAGAATGTTTGTGTTTGATGAGGGGCAAATTAATAGAGATAAAGAGTAAATTGGCCTTATTCCAGGTTTCCTAAAACTCCGCCCACGATGCTTCGAATTTTTTTTTTTTTTTTTTTTTTAACCAGACAAGAGTCGAATGAGAGGAAATCGGCCTTGCATATACAAAACTTGAAGTGAGGAAAATAAAAACTTCTATTCTATTCATTTCAGTCGTTATCGGTATCTGCTGAATGTGATATTCAATATATTTGTCTTTCTTTTGACATTTTTATCCGATTTAAACCCGTCCTGACAGATAAGCCGTCTAAAATAATCTTTATCTCTGGTAGCAAAGAAGGAAAGCAACCCGATTTCTACTTTTTAAGTTTCACTGCTTCTTTTCAGAACGCTGATTTCTTTTTTAAGATAAAAAAATAAAGATGAACACAAACCAACAAGCGGAAATTGAAAATTATGCGATTATTTGAAGTTGTAATAAACGACTGTGAATATATGAAAGTCATATATTTGAACTGCGGATAAAGACGTAAACATGAAAGCGATCTTCGCTGTGATAAACCGGCACTACTTGAGCAGTAGTGAAATTAAGGCCTGAAAAAAAAATTCAGGCCTCTACGGGATTTGAACCCATGACCTCTTCGATACCAGTGCAGCGCTTTACGAAGGTTTGAAGTTGTATTTAGGAAAAAAGAAGATATTCCATGCAAAAAATAACTTGCTTTGGAGCGTTTACGCAAGTGACTTACCTCGAGCGAGACTGCTCCGCGCGATTCGTGTGCTTGCGTGTGAACACGTTTGGCGCGTGCCAGTGTTATTTTTCGCGCCGATTTCATAGTCAGCAGGATCAATTGGGAGTTCAAGGCTAAATTATTGGATTATAGATGAGCTGAGTGGAAAATTGAATATTCGAAGTTAACGGAAGGTTTCCGTTCTTATTTGAAGTCTGCAGCCTACTTTCGTGCCAGCACTGAGCTATCTAGAATAATGTTATATGGCGGTTCGTCTTCTGAAGGGCTTCAGAAAAGTACTCAATTAGTTTCCTATAATATCTTGGGTTATTTTGAGGATACGAGCTCCTGGACCTGTTGGCGGCTTCTGACAATAGCATTCTTTCTATGCCCGCTTGCTTTTGGATCGATGCAACAAAACTTTTCAAACACACAATTAATCAGGAGCCTCTCCGACTCTTGCATACATTGCCTCATTTGTGTCATTTGTTCACCGGCCCAGTATGGCGTACCAAACGCCACGCGATTCCAGATTTTTCAAAAAGCGTCAATCACGTTTCATAAACATTGGAAGGGTTTAATCTATAATTTTCATCTACGAAAAAATTCATGGATGCACCCAAAATAGACCTGGAAGAACTCAAAACATGCCGGTTACCCAACCAATTCACAATCCACTAAATTGGTTTTTAAGACATCGGCTTTTCGATAACGCATGCTCATGAATACTGCTCTTAAGAAGATTACTGGTTATGTGTTACGACAGCAGGGGGAACGTTTGAGAAAAATAAAATTATTCAGCTCTTGTTGACAGTGTTTAAAACTCCATGGAAAAGAGGAAAGCAAATAAAACTTACTTAGCGCACTTTAGTCCTCTTGATGGTGAAAGTGGGACTGTTTGTCGAGGAAGATTGTTTGTCTCCCTTGAAACAAGGAAAGCACTCAGTGCTATTTATTCTTTTAAACGCGTGTCGTAAAATGGCTGGCACAAGTGGTGTGAAATGTATATAGAATCTTGGAAAAAAGAGAAAAAAAGCGCTTGATTTATAACAAAAAGGAATTTCAATCAAAAAGTTTCTCTTTCCTCGAACGCGACGAGAATAACTTTAAATTGACATACGAAATAAACAGAAAAAACGCCAGCCTTCTGACCCTTTTTGCTATCCATTAAGAGCCGTTATGGCGATGGTTTTGTGTTATAAGGATTACGTGAAAGGCACTTTGCGTATTAACAGGCTGGAGGTCACAGGCTACCCAATCAAGCCGATTCGATTAAGCGGTTGTGTTTATTTGTGCAAGAATTATCCGAAGTAACTCAAACGATTCGAGCGTACGTATCGCAGGCCATGGAGCTAAATTTAACATGATGTTTAAAAATGGAATGAATTGTGACCCTCGCAGTTAATTTTTGAACAAAAAGTGAAGGGCGTTATGCGGGAGCATGACTCGTTTAAGTCCAACAGAAAAACTATGTGCGCTATCTGATTAACCAGAGTTTTAAGCTAGACAAAAATTGCTAGAATCTTAGAGCCATATTGTCGTTGTAAAGGTTGCAGATCGAGAGGGGAAAGAGAAATGGCGCCCCTAGAACAATTGTGAATCTTCTTACCAAATGCTCTAATATAGATTAGAGATTAAGTCATGCTAAAGTCGGTAAGGACAGTACTTTCTTTAAAAACTCCTGGGGGATCGATCCTGAAGGATTTGCGCGTGATCGTAACTTTACCTCCCAACTTTATTCGTATATATATCCATATCTTCTTCATTTTATCATGTTTACGGCGGCGTTTTTGTCGGATAGATTTATTTGATTTGTCTTTTGAATCCTGTCATGAGTGAAATTACACAGTATGTCTAAATGACAGTTAGAGCATAACTTGACTTCTTTTTGGTGATAGGCTACAGCCATCTGTCAATTAATCCGGCCATTTTATCAGCTAAAGTCTTGGTATTAGGTCGGCATATTTCATTTCATAAACTCATGACATATCAGGTAGTATCGATTTTAACTTGTTGACAAGAAAATACTCCGTGGGAAATAAACTCGAACTTTCTCGCCGGAGGTGTAGTGAGCTGACACAGAAGTAGTGTGAGAAATCCTTGAACTAAAATCCTATGGTGCAGTGGTGAGAGCGCCGTGGCCTGGTTTCGATCTACACATGTGGGTTGAATTTGTTGTTGGTTCTCGTCCTTGCTACGAAATTTTTCTCCGGGTCCTTCGGTTTTCCTCTTTCCACATAACTAACATTATTCCTTTTTGTTAAATATTCGAAAACACAGATGACAACGAGATTAATACGAGGGCTGCCACATGCATGTACGTAATACTCACCGTAAACTTTGTAGCCTCTTACTCTCTGAGTTGCTTCTCTCTTCTTCATTTCCTCACCCGTTAGACTTAACAAATCTGTTCAAACAACTTTTTAGGTAACGTTCTCTTGGGCCCCCTTTCTTGAAAAAGCGGCTCTCCCCCTCCCCTTAGATTAAAGAAGAGGACCCAGTGGGCCTTCTCAAGCCAATTTTTAGAATAAACCTTGGTAGCTAAAAACATGCTTGTACATTTTTACACAAGCACTGGCGTCTTTTACTGCAATGCATCAAGAAGGGTAAAGTTTATGTCACCTACGTCTTCAGTAAGCTAAGGGGTGTTTATCAAACATCTTCTGAAGTGTATTCCTTACATTATCCGGAAAATGAAATTGTGAAAAGTGATTACTTTGCTCCACGTATTTTCAGTTTAGTAAGAACTGAGTTTCGAGGAGTTGGCTAAAATGTTCGTAAGTTTACCGTAATTCCTCGAATAAACGCCTGGGCACTTATTTAAAATTTCACTAAAAGAAGGGACACGCTAATCCACAAGGCAGGCAAACATGTAGAGTCCTTGCCGACATATCCAGGAACAGGGTCTTGTCTAAATTTCGTTTACCCTCTCAAGAGGATTTCGAAAATTTTTTTCGTGGAATGCTCGATCATTTTGGCCATGGACGAAATCCTGACCAACAGCAGCGTGAAAGTAAGGTGAATCAAAACAAAATGTTGGCCAGCCAAGGGAACATTTGAAATTTTTTAGAGGCTCTAGGTGAGTATCGTCCAGGAAACGTCATCAGAGTGGTATCACTAGGAAGCCCTGAGGAAGTGGAGGATAGATGACAATCCCAAAACCATAATATGGAATTATCATCCGACGCAAGTTCATCTCTGTTTACCGATGAACAGGTTAGGGGAGAAGGAGAAGGATTAACGCCCTTCCTTCCTGCAGAAGGGGGTCTCGCACGAGAGGGGGGGGGGTTGTTTGACATTTTGGCCGATGGGGTGGCGGCTTATACGGAGGAAGGCGGAGTTTAAGAGCGTGGGCGCTGATTGGAGGAAATACGGTATTTCTTCTAAACACAATCAAGAGCTAAATAGCGAAGTTTTTAGACCCGTCAAACAAAACTAAACAACATTTCTGTGATCTAAAATAAATATTTATTTTAATCATTAGCTGAAATCTTGTTACAATTATTTCCTAAATTAGTACTCTCTGTTTATATAAATATTATAGATAAATAAATACAAATATTACAAAATATTTATAAATATATATTCTAAAATAAATATATTTGTAAGGCTTTTTCATTGAAATAAAATGAACAGTTATAACTTTTAAATAAATAAAAGACGTTAATAAATATTTAAAAATAATCGGCAATAAATACAATCTCGCATATAAACAATTTGACAATTTTAGACTAAGTCAACAAACTATTTTAATTTAGTGGCCATGTAACAGTGTTCAAATGTACCAATAATGTGGTATTGTCAGTTATTTTATATTTGAGACAAGAATGCGTGACTAATTAATTTGAAACTATTTGGAAGCATTTTTTTGGTTCCTTTTGGGAAGGAAAATAATTTTGTCTCGAATATCGAATACTTTGTAGAATTCAATATACAAAAGTAAATTATATTTTGGTAAGATATCTCAGAAACATTTTAATAACAAGTTTTTCTGTTTCTCCCATAGAGAGCCATGTAAAATTAATATATTCAGGTAAATATACCTTCTTTTACGAAAGTGTGTTCAAATGAACATTTTAATAACATCTTTTTTTCTGTTTCTCCTATAAAGAGCCTTGTAAAATTAATATTTTCAGGTAAATAAACCTTCTTTTACGAAAATGAGTTCATATGAACATTTTAAGAACATGTTTTTCTGTTTCTCCTATAAAGAGCCTTGTAAAATCAATATTTTCAGGTAAATAAACCTTATTTTACGAAAGTGAGTTCATATGAACATTTTAATTACATCTTTTTTTCTGTTTCTCCTTTAAAGAGCCTTGTAAAATTAATATTTTCAGGTAAATATACCTTTTTTTACGAAAATGAGTTCATATGATAACAAAAAATCCAAAATTATATTCTCACGAATGGAGTAACTTCTGTTACAATATAAATACTAAATGAAATTTTTTTTTGCAATAAATACTTTAAATAATTTTTCTGAATTTCAAATAAATAACCTAAAGACTCTTAACATTATTTCTGTTATATGGTGTATTCTATAAACTGCACTGATCTTTGCGACGAGCGCACCTTTTTCGCTGACTTTGTTCTTCCATCCCTGGTGATCGCTAGATACCACCGTTTGTTCAGTTTTGATCTGTACCGCGTGTAGCCCTTAGACGTGTGTTCCTGATGAAAGATGCAACCAAGGTCTGTCTTCACTTGATGCGACGGCTGTGAAATAATACAAGTGTTATTAATGTCAGTACTTCAGTGGAGATGATCCTATCTGGTTTATATACATTGCCAGTTTGGGAGGTGAGTCCATATTATGAAAGACTGACCATAGAAAACCTTCTTTCAGGTACAGTAATAGATACCTTATTCATGGCGTGACAACCACCGAACGGAAATGAAAAGTTTTGCCCTATTAATTCATCACTTTTCTGAACAATACCGCCCTAAAGAGTTGTTTCTCTTTTTCTTTTTGGGAAAACTTCATTTCGATCTTCGTTTCATGACAAGATTCGTCTCAAACATTAGTGTGAAAATCTTGATAGCTTGCCCTTGCAACGTTGGCTAATTCTAAGGCTAGACGATATGATCTGTCTGGGCATTTTGGTATGATATTATCAGACACCGACTAATCGTTCAATCAAGGTTAAGAGACCCTGATTCAATCGATATTAAGCACCTTTTCAGGTGGTTGTCTCACAATGATTCATCGTTGTCCCTATTCACTGATAAGTTCATTGACACTTTCTTCAGGTTAGCCTTTGAGGCGGGTGTAACTCGCTGGCAGCCCATCCCTCTCGCTTATCCGTCACGTATGTACATCCGTACGTGAACGAACGTTCTCGAACACCCCTACACCTTATTCGCATTCATTTCAAAGCTCTTGACTACACTTCTATCTGCTATCGATGTTAAAAAAACTATCCAATCGCTTGTGTGTGGGGTATGTGGTGGTTTATGATTTTCCTGTATTACTTTTCGATCTCATCCAGTCCGGTATTGATTCTCAGATCTTGTTTAATACTTCACGGGAGGCTGCGCTCCAAACACTTTCCTGTCTGCGGTTACTCTCTCGAATGAAATTTTCTGAACAGTTAACGCGTACTCCTCAGTCTAAATGAGGTAGGGCTGTTTGAAATAAGTTGAACTTGAGAAAAAAATTTCCTGTTTTGCGTACATCCGCAATAAAAAAATGCAGTTCGCGAAGCTCATCCGGAGTTAGAAGCTCCTGAACACTAACAAGTGATTTCTTTTGTCGAGGGCACTGTCAACACGGAATCAGTAATCCGTATAAGGTAATTTACGACTGTGTAATTTCCGTGAGAAATCCTCGCCCAGCTTGGTTGGAACACCCCATAACTGTTTCCTTGACATTGTTTCGCGCAGCATGATTTAAAATATCGCCAAATCACCCAAGTGAGTGATGCCTGATTCTTTACGATAATACCCTTAAATGCCCCGCCACAGGAGGGTTACTTCTTAGCTTACAATACGGTTGAGACAACAAGATCCTTCACTAGACTCGCAATTACTTTATCCACTTCTCCGATTGTACAATACAACAATTCCTCTCCAGCAGAGAACTCTTGCTTGTTTCTACTGTACGACGAAGCTATCGTTACACCAAAAATTACAGCTGATACATTTTGGTGGTCATCATTCTACGTCGGAATTAGTAAAAATTAAAACTTTAAGGACTTACTCTTGTGACCACCGATCCGCTTCTGTCAAGACAAATACAGACACTTCCATCGTACGACTTCAATATAACCTGACCATGGGATCCCATAGATTCTAGCTTCATCGTAACTGCAAAACAAATGATAATATCGTGACAACTTAGCATAGCAAATTGAATAACTGTGCACGTCGATTTGAAAGTCTGCTGTTTTGTCACGCTCTTAAGAGAAAATTGCGCTGCTTAAAAAATCGCGCTCGACAGAAACGAAAGTTTGCAAATTTGGTTGGATGCAGAGGACGTACTTTTGTACAGTTAAATAAAATTCGCATCAAAAATCAATCAACTATGGTATCAGTTATTTCATAAAAATTGGAAATTTGCAAAATTGTGTTATTAAGTGTCACTTAAAATCGGCGGCGATGTTTACATTTGCAGTCGCAGTTCATAAAATTTCCCTTGAAATCTGGCCAAAATTCGTCCATGCTCAACTTTGAACTGTCCATGAAATTCGATTAAGATTTTCTTTGCCCCATTATGATAGTTCATCATCCAGACTAAGAGTTCGGCGGAAGGAGAAATCGATGGTTAAAGACTTACCGATGGGATCGTGTTTGTTTCCAATGCCGTCCACTTTATCGTGATGGATTCGCACGAATTTCGCGCTGTTTCTGGAATACAACCTCTTGTACGTATGGATTCTGACAACATTTTGGACGTTATTTACCACATCTCCGGGATTGATTCCGCTATTTTCCAATGCATTTGTTGCCTAGAAAAATAACGTTGTATTCAAATACATTAGACCTACCAGGGTGATGCGACTTTCGGCAAATCGTTAAGATTCGCGCTGCGGTTTCGGTGAGCTTAAGGTATAAAATTCGCAGGATATACCAGTTTGCTTTACAGAGCCTTGGATGCTATGCCGCCAAATGACAAATTAGTACAACCGCGCTAGGTAAACATCGCGTGGGCCTCGCGCGCGGCGGGTAATTGAATTGAACGTGGGAGTTTTGTAAATTGATTTTGTGCCAATTATAAGTTCTCGCGTTCTCGCGTTCACTCGTCTTGATTCACTTAGAGTTTCAACAAAGTCGCTTAAATTGCCAAGAAAAACAAAATTCTCGAATAGCAGGACGTTGACCCCTGACACCAAAGTTTTATTATCTTCCAGCTGTGCGGACTTAACCGGCGAAATTCTTTGTGGATAAATTGCTGTCACTCTTCTTTTAAAGTCAGACTGATATTTCAGTTCAGTGGTTTTCTTGTGCCGAGAAGCAATAACAAAACTACAAAACTCTTTTAGATACGAATCTTACTGATATTGCTTAAATGACGTAAATTCTTTGATGGAAGTCAACTCGTTGCGGGTTTTGTTTGTGAGACGAGCGTTCAATTAAAAAAAAATAATTTGAAAAGTTCACGAACAATTAATAGGTCATCTAACTATATTTAAAAAAACTGTGATGGGAACCGACCCTAACTTAAGGCTTAATACAACTTAAATTCAAGCTTGGAATTTTTGTTTTTTCAAACAAGGCATTTCGGGCAAACGCTGTTTAGTTGTTAAGTTAGATATGGAATTTCAATATATAAGAAACCGCCAACGATTTTGCTTAGAAAGGATGATAGACATAAAAACACTTACTGATGATGATGACTTTCTGGTGGGTTTAGCAATACATCTGCAAATTTGAACAAAGAGTACGCTTAAAATCTTGGAAGTCTTAGAGGAAGCCGGAGTCGAAGATTAAACATACAATGTCAAATTGGTTACTCACGGTGAAAGCCACAAAACAGAGAGAACCAACGCACTGAGTAGTCGCCTCGCCATTTAGATGTTGAGTTCGTACGAAATGTCACTTTCACGCGGCAGCAAGTTCTTTTGTATGTCAAGGAATCCAGGAGCAATTGACCTTACAGATACGAGATATGATTAACTTGTCTCGTCTGCCGACCAGCTCTTTATACAAACCCCGACCGGACACGCGAGCCTTTTAAACGCATTGACAGACGTCGTCAAGTGGTCGGCATTCCGAAAATTCCCGATTTGATCCGACTATTTCCCCACAAATACTGGACAATGTACCCCGCCCTTACTTGTCAGCGAGTTACACAATGCTGACATCGGTTTTTTTTAAACGATCCTGGGGAGTTTTTTAGCCCCGTATGCGCGGAAAGCGCGGGTTGGGTAGGAAGACTATCCCTACAGCCAACGACAGTAACAGCTCCATAAGTGACCAATTCAAATGGTCTTAAAATACAGAGCAGTTTAACGCAAATCCATCAATGATCTTAACATAGAAATTTTTTTTTTACTTTGGCAGCTCTCAAAAAATTTTCCGGGTTGGTTAAGACTCATTGCGATGCTGTTGACGTAAAAGAAACAAGTTTGATCAAGGTTTAAAGGAATGGATCTATATACATTTTAGCAGGAACTGCGTCGTGCAAAACTAAACAAATTTTAAGAGACATGTTATGCTGAATTTATTCCCCATCCGCTCCAAATTACGAAATAGTTACAAAAATATTCTTCGAAGTCAACGCCTTTGAAGTCCAGTTTTAGCTCTTCCTTTCCAGTGGGAGAATCATATCGTTAATTGATGTCGGTACATGGAAGTTTTGGCTGGCTTTTTTTTCACCTTTTACGCAAGCTATACTCCCAAGTATTATTAAAATTTACTCGGATCATTTGAGCGGAAAATTTTATGCAATAATAAAATAATTTCCAGAATTATTTGGCAAACAAAGGTAGGATTAAAGTATTCTATTCTGATAAAAGAAATGCGTTTAGGGCCCGGCCTGTTCAGCATTGCTGTAACTTCACGTCACAGATTTGAAGGTGTTGCAGGGGTTTTCCCAGAGAGAGACGAAGGCCTTATATTGCAACGATTACAAAACACGATGAAAATCTATTTAAAAAGGTGATTAATTTTATTTGAATGGTGAAATAAAGGATGTACATTAAATCATTGACTAGTAAAGAGCTTTAATTGTACGGTTCCTAGATGAAACCTTTCTAAGAAAGCTAATCAGCTTCGAGTAAGCTGTTGAGCATTTTTCGTTTAACTTCTGAAGCTTGTATGTTCGGTTTTCTGCACCGGTTGAAACCTGGCAATCATGTTCTTCATAAGTCAAAATATTCTCACGGCATAAAATCACCGTTTTATTAGGATTCAACTAAATTTCCCATAAATGTTTATTTGAGAATGAGTTGCGAGAAAGACGAAATTGTTTGTCCTTACTAAATATTAGTAATATTATTACCTCATGAACGTCAGCTTTTTTCAATCTTATATTTGCTGCGTTGATTTTGAAAGTAAGTCTGGCCGGAATTTATTTTTAGCGTTCTTTATGTTGGTTCCTCGATGAATTTGAGAATAAGACTTTTGTTTGATCATAGATAACGTCATTGAGTGGCGCAGCTTGTAATTAGATGGAAACAAACTCACTCTCGTAAGATTAGTAGGAACAGTGCTGAAGAAGTGCATCGAAATTAATCAAAAATTGCCCACAATTGCCACCTTATTTAACATTTATCGCATGCTTGGCTTAGCTCTTTATTTTTCAAGCTTCCGGTAATTTTCCATTCAAATAAAGAAATGAAATATTTAAAATTTGTTTCAAAGTTTCTGTCCTGGCGATTAAAAGTGTTCCGGGGAAATGTAATTTCTTCCTTCAGATATTCTTAAGAAATGAAACTGAGAGAGAGTTCTGCTGACTCGCTTGAAAATTAATTCAACTTAAATTTTTCACGGCGCCATTGCCATTTGCCAGGAGTGTAACAAAACAAAACAATGCCTAAGAAGCAAAACAAACCTTGCAACTTACCCAGGTATTCGTTACACGTAAGTCTTCGCCAAGTTGGAGCCTTTCCGCGTTTCCGCCTTCGCAGGAGACTCTTTGGCTGAGCAAACAAGGGCCTTTGGGTAACACCTATTGTCCGAACCATTTGTTGACTAAGTGACAGCCGGAAACACGCTCTCAAACAACTCAATACTACTTAAATAAAATTCAAAGGTCTGCGGAGCCTGAGGAAATATTTTAGATGAATGCGGTTTGGGTTTGTTCAGAGAGTTTGCAAATCGGTTATACATTAGCCTAAACACAATGCCGGCAACAGATCAAGACCTTCGTTCAAAACGTGTTGTAAACAAACCTCCAAACCAAATTGCCCCTCAGTTGACATTTTCAGTTGAACTTTTGAGAGTAGCACGTCGCATTTATGCCACCACAAAATTTTAAGCTCAAAAGTTTGGAGATTATAGCTCAGGAAAATCGGCAACTCGAGCTTGCCAGAGCTAATTTTTGACACCTCTTATTGAATGGAGTTACAGCGCACGTAATTTCAAGAAATTAGGGCTTAAAAATACAAATCTCTGAGGTGAAAGCATATTGTTGGCTTACAAGCTAAAAAACATTAATCAGCTTGTTTTTATGAAAGGCATTAATAAGTATAAATACTTATACTCTTTGTGCAGTTTTCTATCTTGGATTATCTGATTATTCTCAAACGGTCGCGTGCTCGGCAACAATCAGCAATTTATCGCGACTCGTGTAACAATACAAGAGAATGAACAACACGTACAAAAAAATCTGATTCAAAAGTAAAAATATTCCCATATTAATTCTTAGAACTAGTAGACCGAAGTATCATCTTACCTAAGCTCGACTGATCAATCTACTGTGATAAAAAATTCGAACGACACTCTGTTTTGTTTGATTCAAGTCGACAGCTAAATCAGCCAAACTCAGTGGCTTTTTAAAAGGCACTTTACTCTTTCCACGAACCTCTCTTATAGGCGGTTATAAATATGATAGGCATTTAGCATTGTTGTTGTGGCAATGGCTGAAGTTAACGCTCAAATGCCCTTGACTGAAAACTTTTTTTGCCCAGACTGGGTACTTGAGTAACCGGCTAGTTAAGTTACTCCAGGAAAAATCAGCGCATACAATCCACGAACCAATGGCGCGTTGATCTCATCACACTCATTGTTCTTTGCATTATGACCCGTGGTCAATACCATTGAGATAAACATTCATATTTTCACAAGTAAACATTTTACGATAACAAACAACACATCCTTATAGGGAACTAGCCATGGAACGCATCGCTCTCAAAGAGAAAAATTGAAAATATCGACCGGATTCCCTCACTTAGGAAGAATTAATTCCTGGTTTACACATTGTCGAAAAACTTGGCTTTATAAATTGTTTGAGTAGGTCATTTGCAATCTGTTAAAACCTTATTTGTCTTTCTCCCACTCCTGCCTCACAGATTCTTCTTTCTATTTGGGTGTAATTCTATAAAACAACAAAAAAATATTAATATCTACATTCCCTTAAAGTGGAAGATTATTTTTTCATGTCGTTACACTTGCATGACTCAAAATGCCGCGAAGTAATTGCATTGCATAATCATATTTCAAGTGTGAAATATAGATCAATATTCAAAATAATTCCCAAAGACTTAAATTTCTTGGACATCAGCCCTTTTGTGATCAATTCAATCACAGAACAAGAAATCTTGAAGGAGAACAATTAAAAAAATGCGGTTGGGGTTTGTCTATTTTGCAAGGAGAAACAACAGGCCCAAATTCCAGTTAAGAACTCAATGTAGATTTTGCCAACAGTGTTACTCGACTACGACAGTAATTAAATTACTCTTAAATCCCCAAAGGATTAATTGACGTCAATTAAAAAAATAATTCTTGTTAATTACTTGTATGAGCCACCAAACTAGGAAAAAATGGGAAATATGAAAAGAAAGAACACACAAATTAGGATTAACACTGTTAAAATTGAGATTTTCTCTTCAGCTCTAGATGAATTTATCCGCGAAATCGACACGAACTCAACTGATTGACACCGACTTCATAAGTTACTTTTCGCCTTACGTAGTAATGTCAATTTTCAGTTCCTCTTTTGCGTCAGCCGAGATTAGCTATTGCTAGCGTATAATTACGAATCACGTATATTGTAAATGAACTGCTTTTGGAACAGAAACGTCGATATATGTTCCAAGTTGGGCCCACGCACCCGCCCTTTCAGTTCCTTCTCAAAGATTCTAATCTAGAAATCTGTCGTCAGGACCTGCATATACGTGATGGAAATTTATTTACCGCTCAAACTTTCAACACTAATATTAGTGATAAGAGAGAGATGTCTAATTCGGAAATGATTGCACGATGTAAAATTGCAAGACCCGCCAAAATAAACTGAGATCTTTTATCATACGTGTTTGTTTAAATATAGTTAATTGGAAATTGTTCAATTTTGTCAGCGGGGGACGATATTGTTGGCTAAACTGTCCGAAGTAAAAACAAAATCGCGATGTCATTACAGGCTGTTCGAGTGATTGATATAACAGCCTAAGGATTGATATTATAGGTCGTTTTCGTTTCTTGGATTTAGCCGGGTTTACGTTAGGTCGATGATATCATAACATTGTTAATCTGCCGCAATTTTGATTTAAGCCTTTCCAGCAACTTTTCTATTTTACTTCCTTTCCGTTCGGAAGTTGCGCACTTGTCGAACAAACACGTAAACCAAAATTTATATAAAGAATTAAACAACAAGCAATAAATAATTTACGCTTGGTCATGTTCGAAAATGATCTACGGAAAAATGAACAATTTAATACGTACGTCATAAATGACTTAAATGACGTTTCACTGAGTTTCCGAAAACCTTACAGTATTGACACAGACAAAACAACTAATCCCTGAACAACTACTCTGAAAAATAATTCATTTTTCTCTTTAGTGCGGAATTGTACAGTTACCATTGTAGGTCTCTTTGGTGATAAATGCAAGGAGACGGAAGGCTTTTCCAAAGAGTTAGACACCTCAAACTTGCCAGCTTTACAAATTTGCGGTTACGAAAAAACGCGGAAAAAATACATCGCGCTAGAACGCAAAACTTGCGGTTGCCTAATTTGGTCTGTAGTCTTAAAGATAACTGTAAGAAATTTGGGCCGATTTAAAATAGATATAGGCCTTTAGGACAAGTTTTAAGAGGGCTCTACAAGGAATGCTT